CATAAATTTGAAAAAGATATCTGACAAGGACAAAGTTTTGGTGGCTACAAGAACGTCATTCGAAACCTTCTGATTTCACGAGAAAATTTCAAGTTTTCTACTTTTCGATCGAGTAAAGATCATACCAAAACGCTAAAAACTGTGTCTCAAGACTTGAATTTTTGAAAATTTTAGCGTGATCTGGAATAAGGCCTAAATGTTCATCAAGATTTCAACAAGTCTCCAAAAATTTTCTTTTAAGCAAGTATGCACTGGATAGAAAAGCATGGAATGTGCGTCCGGGGTCTCCAAAATCCCTTCGAATGATATTATTGATTAGGCCTTACAAGTTATTTCCTTTTTGAGAAACAGGTTGGAGGACAGCCAAATTTCGTAAAACGGATTTTTGTGTGCGGTTTTCTTGACGCTATCTAGAACTAGTAGCAGCAAATTTCACTTCACTTTTCCAAAAACTGGGGTTTCCGATTTGATTTACCTTTCAACGCTATAATTTCTAAACTCACGAGCTTAAAAATCGACGACTCTCGCCAAATCAACAATTTGCAATGTTTGAAATGTTTTTTGCTGCACCCGAATATCCCCTCCGGAATGAAGGACATACTTGAAATGAAGCACAATTTTTTGTATTATCATGTGCTCAAGTTAACGCAAAATCAAACTTTTTTTGGTGTTTTAAAATTTATAACACTTCTATGAAATTCAAAAAAACTCAGCTTTTCAATTAAAAAAAGAAAGAAAAACGTTCAAGTTAAAGAGTGATCGAAAAATGAAGAAATCTATCCGACGGAGACATAACCACAGCTGTAAATTAAGACAGAAAGTATTAAAAGAGCCAGACAGAAATTTTTTTGCTTATTCCGATGTAGCCCATAAAACCAGAGAGAATCGAGAAATAAGAAAAACAACAAAAATGAGAAGAAAGCAGTAAAATTTTTCGCATTCCAAGATTTCAAGATTTACAATTTAGGTCTAGGCTTCTTTCGGATTCAAAAACAAGATACTTCACTTTTTATTGACTTCTCTGTTTCAGTTTCAGTCATGAAATGAAGAGAAATTGACAAGACAAGGCTGTCTGTCAAGCAGTTTTCGATGACATTTTTGCGTGAGCCTCTCATTTTGGCATGCTTCACGGCCGGCTAGTCGAACAGAAAAAATCAAATAGGAAAAATGAAATCTTGAGCAAACAGAAAGAATGAAAAAAGAATCGCTTTCAGGAGAACGCTTCTCGCCTTCCCACTTCAGACGACAGTCAAACAGAGAAAACACCCACTGATTGCTTCTGAAACAATCTTCGTTTCGCGTGTTATACGCTATGAAAAATACCCTACCGACTTCAGTTTTTTGAAACAAGGTACTCGAACGTCTCCCCTTGGAAATTCTTTTTGAAAAAGAGCAGTTAGTATGATGGTTCGTTGAAAAAAATGCGATTAAAAAAATTGTACGAATTCAAATATTTTTCTAAAAACTACTGAGAAATCTAGAAAAATTTTTAGAAACTTTGAATGTTTTTTTAGAGATTCTAGAGTGGTTCCTATAAGGGACGAAGAAGTGGCCCTATAGTTTTTAATGCGTCCTCGCACAGGTTTTATGAGTCTTTCTCTCCGGTCGAGAAATTTTGTAAACATTTTTCTTCTTTTGAACTGATTAAGAACTTATTTCTCGAGATTACAAGATAAATTACGTGACGAAAAATACACAAGCTTTCATTTTATCACCGAAAACCTATCTAAACTAGCGTGATACGTACCGGCTGCCCTAAACAGGTGTGAATGAAAACTGTCACAATTTCTATTGGTGACTTTTAACCTTGTTAACTAGCATGCTTCCCTAAAGAGGCAGTTGATTGGAACTCCTATTGAGACCACCAGCATGACCCGTATATGAACCACTAACTGAAACCCTAATAGGGACCACTTTTGCAAGCTCTAGGGTCCCTACAGTGGATACTTCATGAATCCCTAGAGTTATCTTTATGGAGGTCGCCGTGGAGTTCGCAAGTTAAAAAAAGTTCCATGATTATGAAGTGTTTTGGAAGGCGAGAATTAGCCTCAAGATATTCTTAAAGTAATCGAAAGGGTAGAAGTCCGAAGAAAGTCCTCTGTACTCAAGTTTGAAAAAGAACTTCGGTCATTAGTGTAGAAATATAAAATAACCCAAGAAACTGTTTTTTTAAACTTAGACTAGAGATCATTTTTTTAAACGCTTCGAAGAGAAAAAAAGTTTCTCAGAAAGTCTGACGCAAATACTTTTTTTCTGCTCTCTTTTTAACACGTTTTCTTTATTTTTTTAAGTTTCATGCTCTGAAAAATTTTCTTAGCCTTTCTATTTTCCTTATTTCACTTTCTAAAAAGGCTGAATTTTCAGAAAGAGACCAGGAAAAGCCTTCCCGAGACCTGACGGAACCACTGAAAAAAAGCAAAAAAATATTTCATTTCATGGTCTGTAATAAAAAAACCCTACTCTCCTAATTATTATTAATAATATGCCTTGTAGTACTTTCTGTTATCGTCTGTCTAGAGACTTCATTTCCGTGTGGGGAGGAACATTTGGTAGACAGACTTGTTTTTAGAAGAAGAATTAATTTGCACCTGCTTTTTGCACCCAAACGGTTCTGGTTATCCATTATTCCTAATGAAAGAAAAGCAAAATATTCGATTTCAGAGGTTACTTCTGCAAGTCGCAGGAAAAAGATAAAGTTACACTTATCACTGGAAGTGAGAAATAACTGCAAAAAAAATTTTCAAATATATCATTTTTTAAATGATCTTTTTCTTTTTTCTCCACCAAGAATCCAAAATTCTACAACTTTCTTTTTTCGTTCAGATCGAAATTCATTATCTTTGTCTTCAACATAAATCAAGGAAACAATAGTATTTTAAAATGCACCTTGATAGCTGTCCAGGCAAAAAGTTCAAGTTCAACTTTTGAAGAACAAAAAAAGAAAAGCGGAAATCGAGAAAACAAAAATTAACTATATAAAAGCAAACGGAAAACGAGCGCTCTGGGAATTGTGGTCGAAATTTAAGGCAGCGTTGCGGCTAATCAAGAATCACTAGAGCCGAATGATCGACTGCCGCTGTGGGACCTCTTCAGTGGCCGGGATCTGCTTTTTTGGAGGCATGATCACCCTCGATGTTGCTAAATGGCTTCCTAAAAGCTTCCTGAGCATGTTGAAGAAGGAAGAATTCGTGCTCTTTTTTCGAAGTGGATTATTCCAATCAACATCTTTGAAACAGTAAAGATTGAACTATAGAGTTTACGAAGGCACGGAAAACTATATAAATCTAGTTTGGAAGTTCAGAGTGGTCCACGGTGGGTTAGCGGAAAAACAGACCCCATTTGAAAAAATGATCTCTATAGAGGTTTAGGTCCTGAACCCTAGTCCCTGAAGACCAAGTAGTCGATATAAGGTCTTTAAACTATTTGTTCACTTATGAAATTAAAAAAACAAACTAGATAAGTATATTCTGTTTTGACATTTTTTTTCGTTGAGATTTCGTATGGAATCATGATAAAGTTCGTATAGTTTGTGTACCACAAATTGGAATTTCACCTAACGACATTCCGCTCTTCCGCTGCGTGCCTTTGCGCCCCTTTATATTTTCATTTTATTTAAGAACTCGATCAACACGTGTTCCTAGTAGAACAGTTCATCTATTAGAAATGAGAACCAATTCAAAGCGAGACCGAGGCTCGCAATGACGCTTCGCGACGCAGCGGAACAGCGGAATGTCGTTCGGTGAAATTTCAAGTCGTGGCATACAGACTATAACAGAAATCGACTATCATGCTACCTGTAAAGCTCTATAGGGACATTCTTAAAAGCTTTAGTAGCCCCTGTAAGGCTTGGTAAAACGGTCCCAGGAGAAGATCCTCCAAGGGCTGCTAAGGCTGCCCTATAGGGACTATTCTGGAATTACGAGGTGGTTATTTTATATTATCACCTGAAAACATGATCTCATTCTCAACAGGATATTTTTTAAATGAAATTCATTCATTTTCCACAAGTTTTAATTCTTAGAAGGCTTTTTTCATGAACATTTATCGGTTGCTGATAATTTGTTAAAATTTTTTCTCCCTTAGTCGTTGTTTTTAGTAAAAGATGATTCAAACCCGTTCCATGACATTATCACATCAACATTTTTCTTACACTTCCTTCTCGCATCGTTACACAAAAATGTCAAAAATTGAAAATATGGGAATTTCACTCACAGTTTTTGTTTGAAGAGGAAAAAAAATTCGTTGTTTGATTTGATTTTGTTCAACTCATAGTATTCTGGTAATTTAATATAAATATACGGTAACTTGCAGATAATCTGCAAACACTGTGGCGGAATTGCAAATACTTCGTTCAAAAATCTTCCTGAAGTGTCTTTTTCAAAAATTTAGGGAAGTTTAAACCGCGCCCAAATTGCAGTAATGGTTCGCACGCTCTGCTTTATTATTGGCGTCATTACCTAAAAATTACTTTTTTCTTGCTCTTCTAGGCTACACTTTTTTTCATTTCACCAACTCGTTTTTTTATTTAGTAAACCTCACGATTTTTGATTTTTCATCCTACTTTGAAATACTTTTTTCAATTGGAAACTGCTTTTCATTTTCTTATCAGTGCATAATTGAGTTGATAAGGCGCCACTCGTTTTTTTTTTCTGGTATCACATATAATTTTTTTTCATCGCTTCAGTTTTTCTCTGATTTTTGGGCTTTCATGTGAAGGCTTCCTGCTTTTCAAATTGTCCAAGGTCAATATATGAAATTGATTTTTAATTTTTTTTTTCTACACAACTTGAGCGTTTTCCTAATTGAGCAGTTTCCAAAGAATCAGTAAACAATGGTTTTGCTTAGATCATTTTATATTGTAAAATAGTTTTTTTTTCTATATTCTAGCGCATTAATCCCAGAAAATTTAAACGATCTCAATCAACACTCCAAGCTCCGCACTTTAATTAATCCGTGCATATTCTCCCGGCTTCTTTTTACGCAAAATTTTTTTTTAGGCTATGACTGACGAAATTTCAATCGGAACTCCGCAGGAGCAAGTTCTCTATAATGAGAATTTGCTAGGACTTATTCTGAAGCACGCCCATGCCGAAACGGTCACCAGGGCCATGCTGGTCAACACGTTTTGGTACCAAATTGCCACGGAAAAAATCACGAAACTGAGGTAGAACTAGATTTCTAAAGTTTTTTCAAGTTTTTTTTTTCAAATTTGAAGTTTCAGGCGTATCGCCATCCTAAAGCTCCAAATCAAAAGGATTATTCGACGAAATGGCGTCTCAAAAGCGACTGTTAGCCGGTATGGTCGTGAAGACCTGTGTTTTGACGTAAGTCGGTTTGGAAGGAGATTATTTGAGAATACAAAAATAGGAAAAATAAAAAAACAAAAAAACAAGGGTTTTTAATGAGATATTGGAATTAAATAGAAGAAATAAACCGGGAGAACGGATAAATTTTTCATTCCTGTTCTTCTTGAGACTCGAAAGAAAAATTTATCGACGTTCCAGATTATGATCCTCGAGAGTTCAAAAATTTTTAGTTTTCGAGAAGAAAAATTCAATATCGAAGAAAAGCTTTAAAATTTGACGCAATTAATTATTTGCAAAGCCTTCGCACCTCATAAAAAAGGAAGTCATTCGCCTTCATATTTCCATAAAACCATCGAAAAAAATTATCTTCCTTGGGAGAGTTTTTACCCAAAGTCAGTTAAATCAATATTTTTCTTCTCAAATTTTTTTGCACGTTCTTCAATTTATCAGCCTTCCAGTTTTAGAATCCCGAGAGACTCATGTTGAAGTTGCGTCGCTTGCAACCTGAAGATTTTCGAAATGATAATTGCACAAGTTGGATACCTACCTGGTTCCTCAAAGGTATTCCCAGTGTGAGTTACTTTCTTCAAAAAAAAGAAATGAAAACAGAGCTTATTCAGATTGATATCTGTTTTGAAGCTCCGACCGATTTACTGAGCTACCTCGAACACGCTGATAAATGTACTACGTTGAAAATCAAAGGCAAATATGTTCTGGGGTCGTTTTCTGAACTGTTCAGAAAATGCTATGCGCCTATCACTACGTTAGTTTTTTCTCTGAAGCTTCGAATCACCCTTTTTCAGTGTTGAAGGGCCTGGAGCCGGAGGCAGAGATGGATTGAAGTTTACCGCGCAGGATTTGAAGACGCTCTCTGAAGTTTCCGGGAGAAGGCCGTTGCATACATTTCATTTAGAAGAAGTCAATGTTGACTTTGACCTTGTGCAATTCGAAAGGTTCATTAGGGTGAGTGTCCAATATTTTTCTCGTTATGAGATTTTTCATAATCATCAAATGTTACTTCTGAAAAATAAGGATTATTTGAATTTTCTGGCGATTAACCTTCAAAGTGTTTCGAAATACCAAGTTTTAAGCCGACTTTTTTTAGGTTTTTGGAATATTTGATCAGTTTGTTTATAATCACAAATCATCGAAAAAAACAGTGATTTATTGAAATTGAAACTGACGGAATCAAAACTTTTTGAGAATAAGTTCAACTCCAATTATTCCGACTAGTTAAAAAAATTATATTTACGAATGATTTATGTTTTAGGAGGCGAAGTTTTTTTGTCAAGCGCGCATTTTCCTGCCTGTGGTTTCGTTTTTCAGAAGCTGACTTCACACGAATGTTGAGATCGTTGTATGGAGAATTTTTTTCCATGATACATATAGATCCTGTCAAATGTACATGGTCGAGTTGGACTATGCCTTCTTAACGCTTATCATGAAGTTTCCAAACTGACAAGGAACATGGAGATGATTTTTTTTTCGCAACAAAATGTGTATTTTTTTATTTTCATTATCTGTAGAAATTTGTCATCGACTGCAATCTTTTTTTTGCCAAATGATTAAAGGTCGCTAGTAACGCCCTGTTACGCTTGTTTTTTTTTCACAGTTTTGAAATGTAAAAAATAAGTTTCCCGTTTTTTTATTTACATGTACCATAATTCCTCTGTCCCATTTTTGAAAAATCTCGAAATGATTTATTTTTGAAAATGTGCGAGATTTCAATGAATAAAAAACATTTTCCCCGTTTTTGGAGAAGCACAAGGAAAATCGCTTTTCAACACAACGTATTTCAAGTTTCACGGAAAGTTAACATTTCAAAACAAATTATCATGAATCAAATAAGTTCCTCAGTCTTACTGAGGTCCTGTTATTGAAAGATCATCAGTACAATCGGGAAAAAAAAACGCAAGTTTTGTAAATTATTTTAAAAATCTTGTGACAGGCTTTTTTTCCAAGATATAACATCCTGAAGCAAACAAACTTGTAAAATTGTTAAAAATTTAAGATGTTGAGAAATCATCAACGAACTTGTGGAAAAAGAAGGCTGTGAAAGTCTAGAAATGCCTCAATCCATACACAAAGTTTTGTGACACATCCGTTCTTTAAAGCCGGTACCTTTCAAACCTTTCAAGAGGAATGGAACGATCGTCACTGCAATCGATAGACCGATCGGAAGAGACAATCTATTTCTGCGTATCGCTAGCTTTTGTGAGAAAAATGTTTATTTCCAGCAAAACATCGCGCAAAATACAATGGTGCGTCACATTAGCCGGGAGCCGATGAAAGAATCGCAGACGTCTGCGGGAAACAGTTCATCTTTCCCCATTCTTTGCCATTTTTGCTTCCTGGCTGCGGCTGCCTCGTGTGAAAATGGCCATAAGTTCCATATTGCGCCTTTTTGTCCATGTCGAGATGTCCATTAGATTCTCACTTTTCCTTCCTTTTAAAAAATTGTTGAAATCGTGTTGCCTCCTCATTTCGTATTCTAGACTCGCAAGCACTTATAAGAATTAAGTTTATTAAAAAATGATCTTGCCTATTGCATGCTCAAAAGTCCTAAAAAGCACTTTTCAGTCTCACTTTTCTATTTTTGAATTTTTTTTTAAATCGAAACGTATAATGTTTTGTACCGGATCCCTGTAAAAAACGGTGGCAACAAAATGAAATATCCTTTGAGATTTTGCGACTGTCCTATACAGAATTTCAGAGTGACGTCATCGGTTAAATTCTCGAAGCTCCACCATTCAGAATCCGTCTTGAACTCAATTTTTTTTTTTCAAAAGTTTCTATTATTCCTGTCGAACTTCCTATCACCCTTTCAATTATTTAATCAACCGCTACCTTTTATGACTTTATCAATTTTGAGCCCATCTTGTGCCAAAATGAAAATGGACACGTATAAATAAACATTTGGCTCTTTTTTCACGGAGTTTTAAACGTAACCGTAAATCACGTAGACCAACGTTTTGAAGCTTTTCCAAGCCATCTTCGCCTTGTGAACGAAGGTCTGAGGAGATCCAATGTTATCCAATGTTCAAAAATTCAATTAAAACCGTTCAGTTGAAAAATGACATTTTATGAACACAAGATGGCCTTTTCCGGTAGATTTTCCGCGTTTTTTAAGAGGCAATAATTTTAAGGCCTGGTTCCAATGATTTCAAAGACAACCACCAGGATCGAGTATCATTCCGAAAATGCTCTTTTTATAAATTTTATACGTTGATGTCTCTTCACTTTTGGAGCAGAAAAACCTTTTACCGGCGATGGCTGAAGGCAACTTCGCGACGACTCCAGAAGAGAAGGTTCTCTACAACGAGGATTTGCTCGCCATCATTCTGCGAAATGCAGACGCTGAAACGGTCAATGCGGCGATGTTTGTGAACAGTTTGTGGAACAAAGTCGTGGAGAAAAACGTCAAAAAATTGAAGTTCGTTCGTTTTTATTTTTAGAAGACTTTTTTCCGTTTACTTCTCTCATTTCGTTGATGAATTTCTAGACGCGTCCCGGTGTTCAAAGTTATTGTCGAGCGAGAATTGAATCGAGATGGAAATGGGGTCTTCCCGGCGCTTGCTCACCAACACAGTCTGCGATCTATGACTGTTCCAGTAAGAATATTTGAAAAAAATGTCTAGAAAAACAATAGAAAAATTCAAAAAAACAGAACCAGCTTCATTATTTGACTTTCTCATAGTTGAATATTATAGATTTTCCAAAAAGAAGACGTAGATCATATTTGGTTTCTTTCGGAAAGTTTATGAAAAATTCAATTTACCGTTCTTTCCATATACTTTCTTGAAGTAAGAGCTAAACCAAAAAATGTTATCGTGATTTCTGATGATATCACAGGTGGAACTAAATAGGAATGAATAACGGATAAATTCAATGGCAAAATCATCAAATTTTAAATCGAAAGAGCCCCTTCAGACAAAAATCTATCACCAAACAAGGCTTCTCTGAAAGGAACACTGACGATTTCGAAAGGATGAAAAATCAATAATATAATTATTGATTATTTAGCCTATCCGAGTTCAATCACCCGAAGAACTCCTGTTGAAGCTTCGTCGCTTACAACCTTCCCTTTTCTGCAATCACTATTGCACGAGTTGGGTTCCGGCGTGGTACCTTGCAGGCATATCAAGCGTTTGTTTTCTTCAATAAAAAAATACGTTAAAAACTTTTTTAGTTGGAATTTCATTTTGAAGAGCCCACAGATCTTATCGGCTACCTGAAATTCGCTCAAACCTATGCCACGCTTCACATCGAAGGTGCTTACATTTTAAACTCGTACGCAGATCTGTTCGAGAAGCATTATTCGCCTCTCATCTAGTGAGTTGAAATCTCGGCTTTTTACTATATATTGCTCATATTTTCAGTATAAAAGGCCCCGGGGTCAATAGCCACCTCAAACTCACTGGCAGAGACTTGAGAACTTTGGCCGAAGCGACCGGAGCGAAACCGCTGACTTTTCTCAACTTCCTGGATTTTGAGCTCGAGTTCAGTACACAAGACTTCAACTACTTTGTCACTGTGAGTTTTTAATCAATTCTCACCTTATATAGGTTCAAAATAAATACGCAAATAATTCTTTCGCCAAGATAATTTGGGATATTCTCATAGACAAAATTTGTAGCTAGCCGTTTGAAATTCTCACGTTTTCGTACTTATTTGCAAGCTGGGAGGTTTGTGAACGTTTTTGAGAGAAACACAATGAAAAAGTTGAAGGACGAAGACCGATGAGAACTATTGTTCTCGATCAACTGATTTCAGTGAAAAAAAGGTGCTTGGGACGCTTATATTCCGTGATATTTCAAAAACGCTTTTCGAGCCGAGCTTGAGATTTTATCAGGGCTTCAAAGTCAGAAAACTCCTTTTTTTGTCATCTTCAACTTGAAAAATATTCCTTCCAGACGATCTAGGAGTCTTGAGATTTTTTCGACTCCAGGAAATTCGCTTCATATTTTTCATTTTTTTGTTCTTTCAGATATTAATGGATGATCTCTACTTTATTAAGAGTGTTACCGAAAATTCGGGCTCTTGCGAGAAAAAGCTGTAGTGTATTTTTTTCATTTCTCTTTCATTTAAATAATGCCCACTACAAGTGAAGATAATATATTTCTAAGATTTGGATGAAAGCATTTTCAGTCCTTGATAGCAGTGATCAAGTTTAAACAATCAAATTTTAAGAGATCGAGGTTCTCTCAGTTCCCGAACATCTGTCTGCCTGTGATTCCATTTTCCGAAACGGAATTCAAATCGATCATGTCGACTTTGGACAACAATTACGAGAGTTCTGTTGCGGTTGCCGTCCACAAATACACGGTCAAAAGAGAAACTTCTCAAATCGATTTCTACCTGAGCGGATTCACGAATACTCAAAATGCTTGAAATGCCTGAATTTTGTCTTTTTTTCTTGCCAGAATCAAGGCTTTTGTGCCATATGTCCGGATTTCTTATCTGATCTGTTTCTAATGTTTCCCAAAAAAAATTTTTGTTTTGTTTGCAATCCCATTCTTGCATTGTTAGCTATCAGAAACTTGATACTTCATTGATTTTCCCTTAATATCATACTTTATGACCATGTTTCTCAATTTTGTTTTTTTATCTCAGCTGTGAGAAAAAGCAAAGCAACTTCTCAAATTTCCAGTTTTTGATATTTATTTAAATCGCATATTTTTTTATTCTATTTCATTGGTCATGCAATAAAGCTCTGAGAGAAGAATTTCGTTTACAAGCTTCGGGGGCCCCGCGGATGAAAAATGATTCATCGTTGTTATTTTTTTTTTCAAGATTTACAGAAAACTGTGAGAGATCTTGACGTTGGAACGCAATTGGAAAAAAAACACAAAAATTCCACAGCAAAAAAAAAATCAAATATTTTTTCAATAGACATAAGCTCTCCCGTAATTAGTTTTCTGGTTTGTAATTTATTTCAAGAAACACATTTTCTTCTAGTTTCTAGAACTGAGATGAGTATTCGCTATACGGAAAAAAAGTTATAGCATTTTTGTGACCGAAAAGGACTAATACAAAAAAATCTATTTTTTTGAAAAAAATACAAAAATTTCCTTTTTGAAAAATTTGTTGATTTTTTTATTTGTATTAGTCTGCTGAAATCCCAAATTCTAGGAAAAAAAGACGCAAAGTTTTTTTGAAAAAAATTATTTATTATAACTCATATAAAAAGTTGTTTACTTTCTCTAATTGACATACAAAAAAGTCCCATATATTCAAAAAAAATAAATTTAACTGTTACTATTTTTTTTTTCTGTTCTTTATGAGTCATCTCGAAAAAAATCTTTTGGATTTTAACCTTTTCCATACGAATTCATTGATTCTGGAAAGCTTGAAGTGTTTCAAAAGTATTTTTTCCCTTTTTTGTAAACATGTTTGTTTGCGTTCTGGTACAAAAATGAATTATGATAAGTTGTTTGTGAATTTCTGTTCTTGTCACCCTGGGAATGAAATGTTCTCAAGAATCCATTAGAAATAATAAAAATTAGAGAGTTGGAAGAAACCGCGACGCGACCGCACCACCCACGCTCTTTCATGTAACTCGAGAAACGGTGATGTAAAAAAACAGAAAAAAAACCGGAACCGTACGAATAATTATCAATTCGTGAAACAATTGGAGTACTGTCAGAAATTTAAAAATTTACAAAGGTTGAGGTTAACTTGAAATTAATTTCGTGGTTTGAAAACCTTTTTTTTCAAAAATTTCGAGACTTCGAAAGTGTGTCTTTGGACTGGAATTGTAGTCAAAAACTCAAAAAGAAAGAAAAATCCAACTTTATCCACCGAATAAAACAAGCATCTAGTTCAAGCAGAGGTTATACAATTTAGCACGAGCGACAGAAGAAGGAGCCGGGGAAGTTGAAAGAAAGTCAATAAGCAGAGATTATATATTCCCACCCAAGCGACAGTGAAAAAAAAGCCGTATAGAAGTTGACCAGCGAAATCACGGGGTTTCAATATTTGAATTGCTTGAATTTGAGATAGAACTCGGTTTCGCGGTACTCGAACTGGTGCTCGTGCTCCCTGTTGGCAGTGTAGTCGTCGGTCTTGACGTTGTCCTTGAGCCACTCGACGAACTCATCCGCGTTTGACGGCATGACTCTGAGACGAATCGTCGCGTTTCTTCTGAACAACGTCTCCTGAAAATTTATAGCAAGTTTTTATAAGGACAGTTTTCAGAAGACATCTGACCTTCATGAACATCTTGAAATCGTAGAAAGTGTAGTCGGAGTCGACTTTCTGGATCTCCACGCGTTTCAGCGGACCCGAGCGCGACTTGATCGCTAGGACTTGCAAGTCGAGAGTCGTGAGATTGAGTTTGTTGGCTCCTCCACCGTAGATGCTGAAAAAGTTCGGAGTTTTGTTAAATGCATGAAAAATTGTATCGTTAGTGAAGCTCAATGCGTCGCGGTCGCCAGGCGGCTACATTGTATTCGCTCATTGAGAGCTTTTCAGCGCGCCAGACAAAAAACTGCTCACGCAAAACGGCATCTTCTATGAGAACTTTAACAGTCCTTCGAAGCGGTCTCTAATTCGAAAAAATAACCTGATAATCGGAGTGAACTTGTTGTCGAAGAGATCAGCAAACGAAGAGAGTTTGAACTCGCCAGAGATCTCGAGCGATTGCAGAGAGTTGGCGTGCACCAGGTAGTTCAGCAGATTAGTCGGACGGTTGAAGCAAAGATTGAGCTGTAAAAATTATTGATTTCGCTGAAAAATACCAAAACCGACATTCAAAACTTCCGAGTAGTACCAATTTGGAATGTGTTCCGTGTAGTTGTGCACTTCCAGTGTTTCGGGCCCATAGCGGCTGACTTTTCGGAAGACATCAGCCTCCGAGTTCATAAAGGCTACCTTCTGAAACAGTGAAGCATTGAAAATCGCCTAATTTCGAGCAAGAAGACCTGCTTTCTCTGGTCTGGAGTTTCCATCACCACGACCGAAATGAAAGTTCCTTCTTGCAAGCGAATAACCTTCACAGTGTCCACCGGCTTGTACCTGATTTTCTATCTAGCTTCCTTGAATCAGATAGAAAGTTTACTCCATGGAAAACAGGTTGTCGGTGATGATCGATCTCCAACGGTTGCTGACTTCCATGGCATTGGTGATCGTATTCCAATCAGCTCGTGAGAAGATTTCAACCAAGACTTCGGCTGGCAGGCTTCCCAGATTCACGGACATGTCTGAATGAAGGATTTAATGAAGGAACTGTACGACATTGAGGGTTAAAACGAAAAAAATGGCGAAAGAAAGAGCAGCTGCGCGCAGCCGGGCAAGTATGGCGGCGAATGAGAATGGAAATTTCCTCGTGATCTGAGCTGATCAGTCCCACATTTCGTTTATAACAGAGACGATGGGTGGGCGTGTCATAATTTCTTGAAAGGTCTGAGAGGGTGAACAATGATATCTTTTATTTCTTTTAAGAAAGAAAATGTTCCTAAGTGATTTTCGTAAGAATAAATTTGATTTGTAGGCGTTATAGGCATACAAACATATTTCACAACTATTGTTGGAAAAAAAAAGCAAAAATCACCGCTCAATAAAAAATGATCTCGTGAACAAGGCTCATTAATCCGACTTTAAGCTTGACTATTTCTCTCGAAAAACTTTAGACTGTTTCTTCTATTCTAGATCTCAAAAAAGTTGCAAGAATCATGTCCGAAAAAAAACTTGTTGGAAAGCCGGCGAGACATTTTCGAATGTTTATGCAAATTCGAGAGCCGGTCAAATAAAGGCGTTTGCAGGGGCGACGGCGAATATCATAAGGGCGCCGAAACGGTTTCTGCCTCTTTTTCTGCGCGCCCGCCTTTTTGAAACTCTCTGCGTCATCGAGACTTTAGGCCGCCGCTCACTGTAAATTCGCAAAGAAAAGTCTCGAAAGAAAAGATCAGTGATCCAAAATTTGAATTTTCAACGCAAAAGAAATGTCATTAAAAGGGACGATTGATAATATCTTTGAAATTGACCAAATATTGATCTACCAAATGAAAATTCTGAAGTATTGATCTAAATAAATAAGCCCGTTAGAACGAAGAGAACTAGAAAAAAATCATAAAAAAATTAATGAATTTATAATTTTGAGCTATTTCAAAATAGTTAAATAAACCAATCTGGCTTTTACAATCTTCCTTTGATTTCAATGAATCAATGAAAGTTCTAACTAACTTTTATCCATTTTTGAATTGAAGTAAAATCAATTTCCTTTTTAATGTCTCCCCTCTCAAATAGGAGGTTTTACCTTTACTGGAACAGTATTTAAAACCGTTTTCAAAGTCGAAAGAAGTAGAAATCAGATGCGCTATATATATCTTTTTTAGCCTGTGATGTTGAAGATACACAAATTTATGAAACTCGCGATCTAAACAAATAAGAATGTTTTCGAAAACTGAAAGATGTTCTAACTGAATGCAAATTTCGCTTGAATATCCACTCGGAAGAGGAACTTCACAAAAAAATGTTCAAAATTTTATTTAAAAAAATTGTGGTAAAAGCGTGAAGATTGATCGAAAACGTCAGAGAACAAGTTTAATTTTATAAAAATGTGCTTCATGGGTGACGCGTGCAGAAAGAAACTGGGAAACCGTTTATTGATCAAGTGTGCTCAATTTCAACAACATTACAAAAATACAACTTCAATTTCGGAATTTTATGAAGCGACTTTCCCTCTTCAGATTTTGGACTGACAAGTTAACAAGCGTCTCTGTAGTTGTCAAAAAGTTTCAAAAGCAACGGGTACTAAAAAATTTATTTCCTTAATTCTGATGAAACTTCATCCAGAGTGATAACCCATCATCAGAAATGCAGACCCAACTTTTTGAGCCATTGAGCCATAGCCAAAGACGACCTATTTAGGCCGTGAGACCTAATTGGCGCTGCCAGTCCTATGTGGAACTGCTTATTTTATAAAGCGCTGCTTAATTTATAAGGCGCTGCTTAATTTATAAGGCGCTGCTTAATTTATAAGACGCTGCTAGTCCTTTTAGGCGCTGCCTATTTTATAAGGCGCTGCCTATTTTATAAGGCGCTGCTTATTTTATAAGGCGCTGCTTGTTTCATAAGACGCTGCTAGTCATTTTAGGCGCTGCCTATTTTTTAAGGCGCTGCCTATTTTATAAGGTGCTGCTTGTTTTTCAAGGCGCTGCTTATTTTATAAGGCGCTGCCTATTTTTTAAGGCGCTGCTTATTTTATAAGGCGCTGCCTATTTTTTAAGGCGCTGCTTATTTTATAAGGCGCTGCCTATTTTATAAGGCGCTGCTAGTCATTTTAGGCGCTGCCTATTTTTTAAGGCGCTGCCTATTTTATAAGGTGCTGCTTGTTTTTTTCAAGGCGCTGCTTATTTTATAAGGCGCTGCCTATTTTTTAAGGCGCTGCTTATTTTATAAGGCGCTGCTTGTTTCATAAGACGCTGCTAGTCATTTTAGGCGCTGCCTATTTTTTTAAAGGCGCTGCCTATTTTATAAGGTGCTGCTTTGTTTTTTTCAAGGCGCTGCTTATTTTATAAGGCGCTGCCTATTTTTTTAAGGCGCTGCTTATTTTTATAAGGCGCTGCCTATTTTTTTAAGGCGCTGCTTATTTTATAAGGCGCTGCTTGTTTCATAAGACGCTGCTAGTCATTTTAGGCGCTGCCTATTTTTTAAGGCGCTGCCTATTTTATAAGGTGCTGCTTGTTTTTCAAGGCGCTGCTTATTTTATGAGGCGCTGCCTATTTTTTAAGGCGCTGCTTATTTTATAAGGCGCTGCCTATTTTTTAAGGCGCTGCTTATTTTATAAGGCGCTGCCTATTTTATAAGGCGCTGCTAGTCATTTTAGGCGCTGCCTATTTTTTAAGGCGCTGCCTATTTTATAAGGTGCTGCTTGTTTTTCAAGGCGCTGCTTATTTTATAAGGCGCTGCCTATTTTTTAAGGCGCTGCTTATTTTATAAGGCGCTGCTTGTTTCATAAGACGCTGCTAGTCATTTTAGGCGCTGCCTATTTTTTAAGGCGCTGCCTATTTTATAAGGTGCTGCTTGTTTTTCAAGGCGCTGCTTATTTTATAAGGCGCTGCCTATTTTTTAAGGCGCTGCTTATTTTATAAGGCGCTGCCTATTTTTTAGGGCGCTGTCTATTTTATAAGGCGCTGCTTATATTATAAGGCGCTGCTTATTTTATGAGACGCTGCTTATTTTTACAGGCGCTGCTCATTTTTTAAGACGCTGCTTATTTGTACAGGCGCTGCTTATTTTATAAGGCGCTGTTTATTTTTTCAGGCGCTGCTTTTTTTATAAGGCGCTGCTTATTTTATAAGGCGCTGCTTATTTTATAAGGCGCTGCTTATTTTATAAGGCGCTGCCTATTTTATAAGGCGCTGCTAGTCATTTTATGCGCTGCCTATTTTTTAAGGCGCTGCCTATTTTATAAGGTGCTGCTTGTTTTTCAAGGCGCTGCTTATTTTATAAGGCGCTGCCTATTTTTTAAGGCGCTGCTTATTTTATAAGGCGCTGCTTGTTTCATAAGACGCTGCTAGTCATTTTAGGCGCTGCCTATTTTTTAAGGCGCTGCCTATTTTATAAGGTGCTGCTTGTTTTTCAAGGCGCTGCTTATTTTATAAGGCGCTGCCTATTTTTTAAGGCGCTGCTTATTTTATAAGGCGCTGCTTGTTTCATAAGACGCTGCTAGTCATTTTAGGCGCTGCCTATTTTTTAAGGCGCTGCCTATTTTATAAGGTGCTGCTTGTTTTTCAAGGCGCTGCTTATTTTATAAGGCGCTGCCTATTTTATAAGGCGCTGCTAGTCATTTTAGGCGCTGCCTATTTTTTAAGGCGCTGCCTATTTTATAAGGTGCTGCTTGTTTTTCAAGGCGCTGCTTATTTTATAAGGCGCTGCCTATTTTTTAAGGCGCTGCTTATTTTATAAGGCGCTGCTTGTTTCATAAGACGCTGCTAGTCATTTTAGGCGCTGCCTATTTTTTAAGGCGCTGCCTATTTTATAAGGTGCTGCTTGTTTTTCAAGGCGCTGCTTATTTTATAAGGCGCTGCCTATTTTTTAAGGCGCTGCTTATTTTATAAGGCGCTGCCTATTTTTTAAGGCGCTGCTTATTTTATAAGGCGCTGCTTGTTTCATAAGACGCTGCTAGTCATTTTAGGCGCTGCCTATTTTTTAAGGCGCTGCCTATTTTATAAGGTGCTGCTTGTTTTTCAAGGCGCTGCTTATTTTATGAGGCGCTGCCTATTTTTTAAGGCGCTGCTTATTTTATAAGGCGCTGCCTATTTTTTAAGGCGCTGCTTATTTTATAAGGCGCTGCCTATTTTATAAGGCGCTGCTAGTCATTTTTAGGCGCTGCCTATTTTTTTTAAGGCGCTGCCTATTTTATAAGGTGCTGCTTGTTTTTTTCAAGGCGCTGCTTATTTTATAAGGCGCTGCCTATTTTTTTAAGGCGCTGCTTATTTTATAAGGCGCTGCTTGTTTCATAAGACGCTGCTAGTCATTTTAGGCGCTGCCTATTTTTTTAAGGCGCTGCCTATTTTATAAGGTGCTGCTTGTTTTTTTCAAGGCGCTGCTTATTTTTATAAGGCGCTGCCTATTTTTTTAAGGCGCTGCTTATTTTATAAGGCGCTGCCTATTTTTAGGGCGCTGTCTATTTTATAAGGCGCTGCTTATATTATAAGGCGCTGCTTATTTTATGAGACGCTGCTTATTTTTTTACAGGCGCTGCTCATTTTTTTAAGACGCTGCTTATTTGTACAGGCGCTGCTTATTTTTATAAGGCGCTGTTTATTTTTTTCAGGCGCTGCTTTTTTTATAAGGCGCTGCTTATTTTATAAGGCGCTGCTTATTTTATAAGGCGCTGCTTATTTTATAAGGCGCTGCCTATTTTTATAAGGCGCTGCTAGTCATTTTATGCGCTGCCTATTTTTTTAAAGGCGCTGCCTATTTTATAAGGTGCTGCTTGTTTTTTTCAAGGCGCTGCTTATTTTATAAGGCGCTGCCTATTTTTTTAAGGCGCTGCTTATTTTATAAGGCGCTGCTTGTTTCATAAGACGCTGCTAGTCATTTTAGGCGCTGCCTATTTTTAAGGCGCTGCCTATTTTATAAGGTGCTGCTTGTTTTTTTCAAGGCGCTGCTTATTTTTATAAGGCGCTGCCTATTTTTTTAAGGCGCTGCTTATTTTATAAGGCGCTGCTTGTTTTCATAAGACGCTGCTAGTCATTTTAGGCGCTGCCTATTTTTTAAGGCGCTGCCTATTTTATAAGGTGCTGCTTGTTTTTCAAGGCGCTGCTTATTTTATAAGGCGCTGCCTATTTTTTAAGGCGCTGCTTATTTTATAAGGCGCTGCCTATTTTTTAAGGCGCTGTCTATTTTATAAGGCGCTGCTTATATTATAAGGCGCTGCTCATTTTATGAGACGCTGCTTATTTTTACAGGCGCTGCTCATTTTTTAAGACGCTGCTTATTTGTACAGGCGCTGCTTATTTTATAAGGCGCTGCTTATTTTATAAGGCGCTGCCTATTTTTTAAGGCGCTGTCTATTTTATGAGGCGCTGCTTTTATTATAAGGCGCTGCTTATTTTATAAGGCGCTGCTTATTTTATAAGGCGCTGCTTATTTTATAAGGCGCTGCTTATTTCATGAGGCGCTGCTTATTTTTTTAGGCGCTGCTTATTTTATAAGGCGCTGCCTATTTTATAAGGCGCTGCTTATTTTTTCAAGCGCTGCTTATTTTATAAGGCGCTGCTTTTTTTAAGGCGCTGCTTTTTTATAAGGCGCTGCTTTTTTATAAGGGGCTGCCTATTTTTTAAGGCGCTGCTCATTTTATAAGGCGCTGCTTATTTTATAAGGCGCTGCTTATTTTATGAGGCGCTGCTTATTTTGTAAGGCGCTGCTTATTTTATGAGGCGCTGCTTTTTATTATAAGGCGCTGCTTATTTTTATAAGGCGCTGCTTATTTTTATAAGGCGCTGCTTATTTTATAAGGCGCTGCTTATTTCATGAGGCGCTGCTTATTTTTTTAGGCGCTGCTTATTTTATAAGGCGCTGCCTATTTTATAAGGCGCTGCTTTATTTTTTTCAAGCGCTGCTTATTTTATAAGGCGCTGCTTTTTTTTTAAGGCGCTGCTTTTTTATAAGGCGCTGCTTTTTTATAAGGGGCTGCCTATTTTTTAAGGCGCTGCTCATTTTATAAGGCGCTGCTTATTTTATAAGGCGCTGCTTATTTTATGAGGCGCTGCTTATTTTGTAAGGCGCTGCTTATTTTATAAGGCGCTGCTCATTTTATAAGGCGCTGCTTATTTTATAAGGCGCTGCTTATTTTATAAGGCGCTGCCTATTTTTTAAGGCGCTGTCTATTTTATGAGGCGCTGCTTTTATTATAAGGCGCTGCTTTTTTATAAGGCGCTGCTTTTTTATAAGGGGCTGCCTATTTTTTAAGGCGCTGCTCATTTTATAAGGCGCTGCTTATTTTATAAGGCGCTGCTTATTTTATGAGGCGCTGCTTATTTTGTAAGGCGCTGCTTATTTTATAAGGCGCTGCTTATTTTATAAGGCGCTGCTTATTTTATAAGGCGCTGCTTATTTTATAAGGCGCTGCCTATTTTTTAAGGCGCTGTCTATTTTATGAGGCGCTGCTTTTATTATAAGGCGCTGCTTATTTTATAAGGCGCTGCTTATTTTATAAGGCGCTGCTTATTTTATAAGGCGCTGCTTATTTCATGAGGCGCTGCTTATTTTTTTAGGCGCTGCTTATTTTATAAGGCGCTGCCTATTTTATAAGGCGCTGCTTATTTTTTCAAGCGCTGCTTATTTTATAAGGCGCTGCTTTTTTTAAGGCGCTGCTTTTTTATAAGGCGCTGCTTTTTTATAAGGGGCTGCCTATTTTTTAAGGCGCTGCTCATTTTATAAGGCGCTGCTTATTTTATAAGGCGCTGCTTATTTTATGAGGCGCTGCTTATTTTGTAAGGCGCTGCTTATTTTATAAGGCGCTGCTTATTTCATAAGGCGCTGCTCATTTTATAAGACGCTGCTTATTTTTACAGGCGCTGCTCATTTTTTAAGACGCTGCTTATTTGTACAGGCGCTGCTTATTTCATGAGGCGCTGCTTATTTTTTTAGGCGCTGCTTATTTTATAAGGCGCTGCTTATTTTATGAGGCGCTGCCTATTTTATAAGGCGCTGCTTATTTTATAAGGCGCTGTCTATTTTATGAGGCGCTGCTTTTATTATAAGGCGCTGCTTATTTTATAAGGCGCTGCTTATTTTATAAGGCGCTGCTTATTTTATAAGGCGCTGCTTATTTCATGAGGCGCTGCCTATTTTATAAGGCGCTGCTTATTCTATAAGGCGCTGCTTATTTTTTCAGGCGCTGCTTATTTTATAAGGCGCTGCTTATTTTATAAGGCGCTGCTTATTTTATAAGGCGCTGCCTATTTTTCAAGGCGCTGTCTATTTTATGAGGCGCTGCTTTTATTATAAGGCGCTGCTTATTTTATAAGGCGCTGCTTATTTTATAAGGCGCTGCTTATTTCATGAGGCGCTGCTTATTTTTTTAGGCGCTGCTTATTTTATAAGGCGCTGCCTATTTTATAAGGCGCTGCTTATTTTTTCAAGCGCTGCTTATTTTATAAGGCGCTGCTTATTTTTTAAGGCGCTGCTTTTTTATAAGGCGCTGCCTATTTTTTAAGGCGCTGTCTATTTCATAAGGCGCTGCTCATTTTATAAGGCGCTGCTTATTTTATAAGGCGCTGCTTATTTTATGAGGCGCTGCTTATTTTGTAAGGCGCTGCTTATTTTATAAGGCGCTGCTTATTTTTTCAGGCGCTGCTTATTTTATAAGGCGCTGCCTATTTTTTAAGGCGCTGCTTGTTTTTCAAGGCGCTGCTTATTTTTTCAGGCGCTGCTTATTTTTTCAGGCGCTGCTTCTTTTATAAGGCGCTGCTTGTTTTTGAAGGCGCTGCTCATTTTATAAGGCGCTGCTTATTTTTTCAGGGGCTGCTTATTTTTTCAGGCGCTGCCTATTTCATAAGGCGCTGCTTATTTTTTCAGGCGCTGCTTATTTTATAAGGCGCTGCTTATTTTTTCAGGCGCTGCTTATTTTATAAGGCGCTGCCTATTTTTAAAGGCGCTGCTTGTTTTTCAAGGCGCTGCTCATTTTATAAGGCGCTGCTTATTTTTTCAGGGGCTGCTTATTTTTTCAGGCGCTGCCTATTTCATAAGGCGCTGCTCATTTTATAAGACGCTGCTTATTTTTACAGGCGCTGCTCATTTTTTAAGACGCTGCTTATTTGTACAGGCGCTGCTTATTTTATAAGGCGCTGCTTATTTTTTCAGGCGCTGCTTATTTTATAAGGCGCTGCTTATTTTATAAGGCGCTGCTTATTTTATAAGGCGCTGCTTATTTTTTCAGGCGCTGCTTATTTTATAAGGCGCTGCTTATTTTATAAAGCGCTGCTTATTTTATAAGACGCTGCTTATTTTTACAGGCGCTGCTCATTTTTCAAGACGCTGCTTATTTTTGCAGGCGCTGCTCATTTTTTAAGACGCTGCTTATTTGTACAGGCGCTGCTTGTTTTATAAGGCGCTGCTTATTTTTTCAGGCGCTGCTTATTTTATAAGGCGCTGCTTGTTTTTTCAGGCGCTGCTCATATTATAAGGCGCTGCCTATTTTTTAAGGCGCTGCTTATTTTATGAGGCGCGGCTTGTTTTGTTTTGCGCTACTAGTCTTACATGGCGCTGCCTGTTTTATTCCATTATTAATAAGTCATCAGTGTGATTAAATATTTATTCCGCTTAACAGCATAAAGTACAGGATTGGTTATATGTTGCAAGAATATATACTGCGAAAATAATGTACAAAAATCATACAAGAAGTGCAACACAGAAGGCTTGGAGTTTCTTCAGTTATCGCAAAACCGTTGGAAGTTGAGGTGGAAGCGCGAGCCGCGGAAATTGAAGACGTACTGATGAGTCATATTAACCCTGAATTCGTCCTGCCTGACGACGTCTTGCATCCATTGGACGAATTCCTCGGGGTTCGTTGGCAGAGCTTCCCAGCGGAGAATTACTCTCTCTGTGAAGCTGGTCATCTGAAAACGAACGTCAGAAAATTTCATTTTTGATAGAAAGCTCACGTCCATGAAGTTTTTGAAGTCCGTGAAATTGAAGTCTACGAGCACACGCTCGAAAATGAAGACGTCCACCGGTTTGCCGGACTGGTTTGCAGCTTCAGTGAGAGCCCTCAAATCCCGGCCGGTCATCTCGAGCTTGTTAACACCGGAGCCGTGAATTCTGGGATTTTAATTTGAAAATATTAATGTTTTAAAACAAGTATGTCTCATGGCCTTAAAAAGAAAAACTCAGTTTTTTTTGAAATTAACTGATACTTGATAATTATTGATAACAAGCTCACTCAATGACGGGAGTGTACTTGTTGCGGAAGAGCTGAGAGTAGCTATGGAGCTTGTACCTTCCGGCGATTTCGAGAGTCTTCATGGAATTCGCTTGCTTGATGTACGAGAGAAGATCCGTAGCCACTTCAAAGTTCAGCGAGACCTGGGATTTTCGTCGGCAATTTTAAGAAAAAAAAGATTGAAAAACTCACGTTAATAATGCCTTTGAAGTACCAATCAGGAATGCCGGCCGTCTTTTTGCTGATCTCGATGCTGGTCGGAAAGTATCGACGGATCAGGTGCACAAAAGCTGTATCCTTATGGATGATGATAGCCGACTAAAAAGAAATATTTTCTGTTTAGTTGATAATTTTTTTCTATTTAAGACAAGTATTAGGTCATTTTTGCTTTTAATTTTCCGGGAAGTTCTTGAAAAATCTATTGAAGTTTGTTGCGTAAACATTTAGTCAAAGAGGAAATTGTTTTCAAAGTTCGTTTTTCATACCTTGTCTATTCTTTTTTCAACTGAAAACAAATTTCAAAAACTTCAGGAATCTCCAAAACCAAGTTTTCTGGTGATAGAGTACACTAACAGTTTCATGCGAGAGAAGCCCTATGGGAACCGCGACGACCACGGAGACGCAGTTGTAGAGAGGTAAGTACAGAACCTTCACAGCCGTTGCTTTTTTGCGCCTAAACATAGATATCGATGGATCCACGACAGTTTGGTTAGAAGAATAAAATGATTTTTACATGATAAAGGTCTTGAGGCAAAGGGTTGGGATGAAAATAACGTCATTTTACTGTTTTTAAAAATGTTGCAAAACGAGATATATTTGCTCATTGATAATAATAACCTGGCCAATTGCAAATTTTGGTATAGTCCGTTTTTCTCGATTTGAAAGGGTAGGATTTCTCTGCGATTTCCGCATTTCAGGGAGCTTCAAACTTCTGAAATGCTCGCCCTTCAAACTGGGATAACGTTCTTCGAATTTGAGTCTTTTATTCTCAAAAGCTATGAAATTTTCCGTTTGCGACTTTCAGTCTCTTCATTTAAAGTATCGAAAAGTACCAATTTTTCTCTAAACTCATAATTGCTGAGAAAATGGGTTTCTTGAAAAATTTTCAGATTGAAGATCTTTTTTAGATTCTTCGAAAAGTTTGACAGAACTCACGGCAAGAAGCGAAGATTGGTTTCAATAAGGTTGTTCCAGTTGCGGTTGACCTGGAGGCATTGGTTGACATCTTCAGGCTCTGCCATCTCCAGAACCCTCATAAAGAGCTCAGTCGGCAGAGCATTGGCAGGATCTTTCAGTTCGTCAGCCATGGCGAGAAGCTCAACTTTGTTAGTTCTGCAACCAAAAAATTAGAAAAACGAACAAATGCAAGATGGAAAAAGAGAAGAGACTCTCAGGGATCGTACAGAATTGTCTAAAAAAAAGTCAAATTTCAACACGTGTGCAGCCGCCTCGCTCTCGCGGATCGTGTGAGAGCGCCGATTGATTTCTTGTAGACAGCAAATGAAAAAAAAAAAGTTTTTTTTGAGACTTTATGCGAATTGTTCTTTATCACGTGTGCATGATTCATAAAATTGCGTCAGATAAACAGATTATGATGTTGACGACGATAATCAAATCATATCTGATCGGATAGGCTTCTAAAATGATCAACAAGCGTTTTCCGAGAAATAAAACTTTCCGGAAAATAAATTTCGAAAATTTCTGAAAGAATGCAGCTCAATCATTGCTTAGTAGACATACGCAGTCATTTTGGCGTTTTTAAAAGAATTTCTTGAAAATTTGATGGAAAAATCGTCGATTGAGTCAAACCCGTAGAGTGGCTGCCTGTGAAGTTTTTTTGAAAAGTTTGACTTTTAAAATTTAGGTTAACCAAAAAGAGAACTGCTAGCCGTCGTAGCTGACTAAAAAGAAAAACAAAAATCATATTTGTCACAGGTAGCCACTGGGCGGCTTTGATCTCAAGCCGATTGGAATTTTTTCAAGCAATTTTATAGCTTTTCATAAGGAGGCAAAAATAACTCCCCATTGTTTCTACCTGTGATTAACAAAATTTTATTGGAGGAATTGACATAAAAATGTTTTCTTGGTCATAATGTAGTGGTAAAGAAGAATAGCTCCGAAAAGACTGCTCAAAAGGTTTAATGCTATGATAAATATTTTTTTAGTAATAAGAATTGAAGAGATGAAATAACAGACGTCTTCTAGGAATGATAGCAAAAAAATGTCCATTTCATGGTTGACTGGAGCTGTTTCTCTTGTTTTTTATACTAAAAAAAGGGGGTTGGGCGAAAAAAATTATTTTTAAGTGCATGAGTCACATTTTTCCTCTCAAGGCAATTATTTTTTTGGTAAAAAAACTGTTTTTTTGGTGTCAACAGCTGAATTTGAGAAATTTCTCTGAACTCTTGGCCTTTAAAAAAATTTTTGCCTCATTTTTTTACTTCGAGGAGTCGATGGCAATAGTAACATTGGAAAGAAAACAATTGAGGAGTGAAAAATTTTCATATTTTTTTCATGGTAATATAACGTGAGAATATGAAGCCGTCTACAATTCGAAAAACAAACAATCGATCGATGTCAAAAAAATTTGAAGCTTCTTTTTGGTTCATTCCTGCAAAAAAAGAATCGGGGAAAAAAATCTGCGTGGAAACTACGCAAAGCTTTAATTATGGGTGCCACTCCTAAGAAAGAACTGGAAATCAGAATGTTTTTGGAGAAGAAAAAAATGTTATCTCTGATTATAATTTTCGTCCTTTCAAAGTTTTTTTGAAGTTGAAAAAAATATATATTAAGTTTTTGCAAAGAAGGTCTGTCTAAAAAAACACATTTTCACGATTTAAGAGAACAATTTGAGCAATCCAAACTTAAAGCCGAAGTCATAAATTGATAAAATTCAATCAAAATCCATATATTTTTCGAGAAACGACAAGAATTTTCGAAGAGAATTGTCCGCAATTTTCAAATTCTTTTTTTTTGCTTCCGCTCAAAACATGCAAATCTCTAAAAATCGAAACCCATAAATCCGGACGAAACCTCCAATTACAAGCGTATTTTTTCGCAATGATACCTTGTCCGGAGAGTGTAATAAATTTCACCGCAATTTTATTTCACGGCTTCAAAAACAAACAAAAATTGAATTCTTTTTTGATTTGTGGTAATGCTCAATTTGAACAGATAGCTGAATGGTCAGAAAGTGCAAAGAAGCTTGAGAGGTTTTTCGGAGCCAAAAAAAAGATGATCGCTTCAAAGCCCTACAGTGATTCTTGTTAAGAAGATAGTTTACACCTCCTAAACTTCCAAAGTTTTTTGAGAACGAACCGAATTAGTTTCCAGCACTTGGTAAAAGTACTAAAGCGGTATTCTAATGACTCTAAGCGCCAAAAAAACAGTTCTCAGTTCACATTGAAATAAAACTTGGAGGATCTGAAAAAAGTTATAGGCATTCGTCGTCCGGAAACTCAATCGATTTGATGAAATTCATTTTTATTGCAACATAAAGCTCGCCTCCAAATTCATTCTTTTAGAGTTCTGTTTCTTTTTAAACGTTTTTTAATTCGGAGAACATTATTGACGATTATCCCATGACGAGCCCATCGAGCGCGTTTCACCATCAGAAAATAAGTCGGAACGATTTTATTTGTTGATGCTTTCGAAATCTACCAGTTGATGGCTTTGAAATTCTCATCACAGTTTTACCTTTTTTCCTAGCTTTTAAAAATATGGAAAACTATCATAAACGAAAAATATCTTTATGAGGAGATTTTCGAACGGGAAAAAGTAATTATAAATCTCTAAAGCGCGTGATGATAGACTGAAGAGAGAAAAGTCCAATAAACATCCCGTTGATTGATTAATCATCTAAGTGCATAACAATGTAAACTCCTGACTTCCAAGTATCTTCCGCTTCATCACACGCCGCGAGTAATTAGTTCCCAATTAGCCTTTGCAAAATCTGTAAAAGGACTTCAGACTGATGACGCAAGCCTTTTAATTCTGTCGAACACATTTTCAAAACATTTATTACTACATTATTGCGAAATACTCCTAGAACTACCCTTCCAAAGGACACATCGTCAAAAGCAAAGGTTCCAACGCAAAAAATTTCACAGTAATAACGCAAATTCCATTCGAATCATCAGAGAAGCGGGTTTTTGAGAAAAATGACAATATTATTCACAGAAGTTAAGTAAGGGACACAGATTTGAGGGGATAGATAAATTTTGGCTTTTTCATGAAATAAAGATGATGATTATGCAACGGGGCAGAGATCATCAAATAAGTTTGGAGTAAGGTTTGATTTATACATTTTTTTTTTGATGAAAATTGGGATTATTGTGAAATTATGAAGCGGCGGCTTCTGATTTCTTGTGTCCGGCGGCAGCCAAGGAGAAGACGCACAGTACCGCGTAGCAGATTTGATCAGCCTGAAAAAAAATGGATTATCCACTGAAAAAATGTTTTTTAAAGCCCGTCCTATTGCGATCAATGCTCGTCTAATTTTAAACAAAAAGACCCTTTTTTTAAAAAAACTTACGCTTTAAAAATCTCAAAAAAAGTGAAATTACAGATTACTCACAGAATTACAGATTACTATTGCAATGCTTTTTTATTTCAAACATTGGAGAAATGAAAGAATCTTAAAAAAATTTTTTTGTACAAGATTGTAGAAAAAGGGGAATGAATAATCACTATTGCTGTTTTTTTCAAGTACTCTACTCTCAAACAGGAAAAATCATTTTCGAAAAACTTCCCCTCATTTCAACTAATTTTTTTCTTCAAAAATCTTTTTCAAAATTATTTTTTTTTTTTTTAACAAAAAAATAACTTCACATAAAGATCAAAGTAATACTTAATTTTTCAAAACTTTTTAAAACGGAAAACAATTTATCTCTGCTTTTCCAAAAACTTGAGGTTAGTTTCTCCAGCGTTGATTTTTGGAGTTTTCACTGCACTTTTTTCACGGTGAGACTGTTCCTTACCAAAAAATGTTTGAGAGTGGTCCGGTTGAGAAGTTTATGGAATTTTTCTGAGAGATACTTTAGGGCTACATGAACTCAAATAAGCGGAAAAATTGAGCATTACGTCTTTTAAGACAGTTATGAAATTTCAAGTGGCCAAAAAGAGCCCACTAAGAAGTATATTTCAGATTTCGTGCCCTGATTAACTATTACTTCCGCGTAAAGTTACAGATGGAAGTTTTTGACTGATCTATAGTTAGGATGTTATGAAGCGTCTCTCGACCAACTCTCAACTAAGACTCTTTTTGAACTTTCCTCGTCAAATAAAGCAGCATAAGTTGTCAGAGTTTCTTGATTTTTTCTTTTTCAACCTTTTTTTCAGACACCGACAAACTACTCAGCAAGCTCGGAGGGGCGACATCACGGTTAGTGCAGCTCAAAAGCTCAAAAACATGCACGCATAGGCTAATCGCGTTCGGCGGCACCCCGATAATTGCCACGTTATGAGAAGCTCTTTTCTTATTTTTTTTTTCCTTTTTCTCAGCTTTTCACCTCCTTTATTCTGTGCAGTGCTGTGAGAGGTGGAAGTGTATGTAGTTTGGTGCCTGACAAACACGAACACTCACATTCACCGGTGAACGAAGGCAGAAGAGGCGGGGCCAAGGCAACTGGAGTGGCGTCATCATCGTTGTCGTCATCCGTCTGGTAGCAGTCGGTGTCGGTCTGAGGGGCGGAGCAGCGAAGAGCGGAGAGCTTCCGCGGAACTGCCGCAGGAGACGACGCAGCCGAATCGCAACGCATCGCAAATTGCACACTAAAGACACGATGCAGCGTCCATGCAATCTCGACCGCCTGCAAACACGACGACAGTGCGATTGGAACGCGGCTGAGAGGCCCGTCCTGGTAGTGATCCATGGTGCAGGCTTTCAAATAATTCTCCAACCGTTAATTAGCCTGTTAGTTGATTCATTCACAGCTTGTTTGGGTGTTTGAAGGCGCAGAAGTTAGTAGGATGTAAGCATTTCTTTCATTGATTAACATAAAAGCTTGTTTGAGTGTTACGATTCGCATCTGATTTATTAGTCAAAAAAATCTTTTTGAGCTTGTAACTTTTTCGTATGAGGAAGGTACCTCCAACTCAATAGGTCATTAGGAATTGGCTAGAATAGTCTATATCGTATCGTATGAAAATCCTGGAAAGTTCCGCCTGAACGAACTTTTAGTTTTCAAGAAAAGGTCCATCAAAGCTGAAGAAAACTATTAAACGCGTGTGAAATAGACAGACTTGAAGATTATGAAGTTTTACGCTCGGAAACTCAGAAATTTCGCTCGTTGAGACTTTCAGGACTTCCATACAGTAGGGAACAAAAATTTAAAAAACTTAAGTGAATTCTCAAACATAATGTGAAATAACCTTAGCAACCAAATTGAACTAAATAGTGTACAAATGCGAAGAGTGTGCTTACAGGTTTTTTTTTTCGGTGAGACGATCGGTTATCATGTCTTAGGAGGGTCATTATTATAAATTCTGACTTTTTTTGTAACTTCCGCTGAAAAACTAGAAATTTAGATCAAACTTTGAGTCTCTTTTGATTTTTTTTCAAAATACTCATTTTTTTCATGTGAACAAACGAGGTTTTCACCTTTATACAGTAATCAGCGCATTTTCCAGGATGGCCTCTGGATCTACTTCAATTCTATTTGTCCTTTTTGAAGTTCTATAGCGAGCTTTTTCTAGTAAAAAGCTCATGATTTCGGGAAGTTTTATATCAAGCTTCCTTTTTTCGAAACCTCGAACCAAAGCCTTCAAACACCCCGACAAGTTGACTCGAATGAACATTACTATAAACCACTACCAGGAAGGTTTTTTTTGAGAGCACGTCAAGGATTTTTTTGATATTTGACAAGTTCTAGAAGCTCATACTTGCGAGAAGTGTCTCATGGAAAAATTTTTCATATCTTCAAAGCGAACCGACGCTTCATGCCTCAATCAGAATTCCTCAATTCAAACTTTGAGACTCCTATTTTAAAGATACTTGACTCGACGTGCTCAAGGTGGATGATTTTTCATTGGATTTAGTGCTTTTTAGGGTATTTTTAGGGTAGGAACTATCACGATGTTTGTATCGGGGGAACTTTCAGGAGGAAATGTTTTCTATTTGTTTGGAAATTCTTCAAAGAAAGCTCTGGCTCACCATTTGCGAGTAATAGCGCCTTTGCACGAGCTCTCCCTTTTTTCGGTCTGAAAAAGGTCAAACTTCATCGCATGATAGCATGGAATAAAATACCAAATTCTTCGAGAAGGAAGACGTTGCCTCCGAATGTATTGCATTTCTTGATGTTGGTGAGGTCTATGAACTGCTGGCTGTTGGCGAAAATGATTGCCACTCCGTCGCATCGAACCTGTAAACTTTCAAATAAGGACAAGAGTTGTTTGAGATTTTAAAAAATAGATGGAAATTTTGGGCATTTGGAGCAGCTCACTATAGTTTCTACAAGCTACAGAAACAGTGACAGGCGTGAAATATTCTGTCGAAAACGTCAGGTTCAGGATTCGTTCTTTGATTCTTGCGAAAATGTATACAAAATTATGGAATCTTCAAAAGCAAATTCACAATTGCTGCTTAAATAGTCTAATTTTGAGTTAAAACAAGTCTATTAGTACAAAAAATAAACTTCAACAGCCAAGATCTTGATATTTTCAAGGTTTCATTGATATTAACCTGTAGAAGGCCTCCTTGATTGGATTCAGTGTCATGTACTGGGAACTCGCCGCCAAGGGCACGACCTTCAACTGAGACTCTTCCACGAGCAGCAGCTCTCTCCATGGCCGACTTCATGCACTGGTACAGCTCACGGCACTGAAAAGATAATGATAAGGAAAACAAGTCCATTTACAGTTTCAAGGAGGTTTTTGAAAACTCAAAGTGAAACGTATCGAAATAATTTCGCTTGTGAATTTCCTTCAAATTTTCTACCATGAATAACTTTTTTTTACGTCTTTTGAACAACTCAGAACTCCGAAATAACCAACCTTCTTGGTGTGGAACTTGTGCATGTGGACTTTATCCTCATGCCGGCGCCATAGACACAAGACTTTGGTTTTGGGCGAATAGGTCATGTTGACGAGTCTTTCGTACCACCAACGCTCAGTCACAGCTCCTGTCACAGCTCGGAGAACTACGGCGTCGTCACAGACCTAAAATTATCATTTCAAGTTGTTCTGGGAATTCAAATGAATTATTCACCTCCATAAACATAATGGGTCCTTCAGAACTTGGTCCTGGGAAAACGGTAAACGAGTGTTTTTGCACCAACCGGCTTCCAAGCGGCCTTAGAGGAATCGAGTTGCCTTGCTAAATTTCAAATAATTCATGAATTTCGTAGAAGAACAATAAAACTTACAGTTTGAGGAAGTTCGTCTAGAAGTTTGTTGATCTCTTTCGAGCAGATCAGTCCAATGTGTGCCTTTCCCAGAAGGCGTCGAATTTTCTGAAGAAAATACCTTATATTTATCCTCAAAAACGTCAGAAATGGCTTTTCTCGCTCATGTTTTTCTTAGTAAACCAATGATGATTAAGAAATCCACCTGTTGGATCGCCTTCTGACCAGTCCCACACATGATCATGTAACCCGTCATATTGTGCAGAAGTGTTGAAAGAAGCCGATCTTCCTCCATTTCCAATCGCTTCTTTTCCAGATCATTCAAGGCGGCGTATCTAAAATTTCTTCCTTATAATCTGATCATTCATAAATTCAAGTATATATGGACTGTTCACTCACCGGTCAATCATTTCCGACGGCTCTTGATCCATCCCGACAATATCTCTTTCTTGAGCCACCACGTCAACAAAAGCATTCTCCCAGAACTGTGGATTTTGCCAGATTGGGTTCAAACTCGTTACTGCAAGTTTTTATAGTGAGAATGATAAAATTTGATCGGAAACTCACGAATCAGGTCCTGATAGATGTAGTGCCGGACAGGTTCAGCCGGTGTCGGGAGAACTTTTTGAGGTTCTGCCTTTCCGACAGGAAGTGAAGTTGGTGGAGACTGGAAGAATCATTTTTTTCACTCAAAAATTTTTCTTTCTCAGGTTTCAAGAGATAGAGCTCAGAGCGCTAATAGATTTCATATAAAATCAGAGAGAGATTTGACTCCTTAATCAAAATGAATTATTGGGGAATTCGCTGTTTGCGTCCTAAAAACCTCATTTGACGACTTTTCTTTTCTTTTCAGTTCTTTGTTCAATTTTGCTTTTTCAAAACCGAATAGTATTTTCCAACTTAAAAAACCAACCTTCGGTCCTCGGATCGTATCGGTACTCTCCTTCCTGCTGGCTTTGCCACTATCTTGCATAGAAATGACCGATTGGACAGAGTCTTGTCGAGGTGGCGGAGGTCTTGGAGGAAGAGGAGGCGGTCGTTTATTAGGATCCGAAGGTGGTTCAGTAGTTGGCGGCGGGAAACGAGGAGGCACTGGAGGAGCCACTTTGGTGGCAGGTGGGTGAACATTCGGATCTCTCGGCGGTATTGGCGGAGGACCATTCGGATGCGGCGGCGGCACTCGAGGCGGTAAGTTTTCGACTGGAGGTCCTTGGCCGGTAGGTACTGGTGATCTGAAACATTCTTGGATCATGTTCCATTTTCTGGTCACAGTGAAAATGGCTTAAAATGTATAGCTTGAAAACTTTTTCCCGGTTCAGTAGAGACAATAATAAACAATGGTCTTCAACAGTTTGAAAATTTATGCAAAGAGATTTGACTCAGATTTTTTATTCCTGATTTTTTTCTGCTTGAAATTAGTAATTATCAGAAATAGTATAAAGTACGCTAAAAAATTTTACATTCATCTTTCCTGAAAAAAAATTGGAAAAAAAATATTCAGCCGCTTCGCGACCGCAACGCTCTCCGTTGATATCAAAGTTTGGGTTTTTTTCAAAAAACTGACGGTTTTATAGCATTTCCATTAGCCGGTTGAGACCCCACTGGCTTGGTCGGGGTCCTCAGGTCGATCGCAGTGGCTGGAAGTTTGGGTCGGGACGCAACGTCTTTCGCGAGGTCATGAGAAGAAGTTGACGGAGTGGGAATCTGGAAAAAGTTGAATGGAAGTGAAGAAACCCCTTGAAACAGCAAGTTCATGTGAAGATGATTTTCAACTCACTGTACTAGGCGCCGAGCTATTTGGAGTCGCTGCATTATCTTCTCCTTTCGTCCAATAATGCGTATGCGCAATTTCCAGAACATGAAATACACTGGCAAGGCCGCAGCATCCGGGAGTGTTGAATGAGACCTGAAGTTCTTTATTTTCACCTTTACGACCTTCAAAAAATACCTCGATTCCGTCCAAACAAGCTTTGAGCATTTTCACGTAGGCTTTGTACTGGGCTCTCGTCAGAGGCTGAAAATCAGTTATTTGAAATCAAAAAAAAACTAGTATACTCACAATTTCCTTGACGTATTCGTCTTCCGATAACTTGTGCTCCAATCCCAAGTTCAGTTTTGAGCAGACCAATTCTCGGAGGCTTTCATCTTCCATGAGTCTGAAGAAAAGTTTACTGTTTCCAAATTCGATAAAAAACCAAACCGTCTCAGTTTGGGAGCTGCGAACATCCCAATCGACTGTCCAGCTAGCGCCTGGTCGCAGAATTCTCGCACCATTTGTTGGTTTTTGCTGGAAATAAGGAGATTTGATGGATGTAAATTCTATGAATTTTCTGAAGAAAATAAATCTGAAGCCAGTTTGGATGATAAAAGGTCACACTACCGGAAATTCCCAAGATTCTTGATTTTTTTAAATAATTAATCAATTTTTTTCACTGTACCTCTGCTGATTAGCCGCTTGAGTACTAGTAGGAGTTGGCGTTGTTTTAGTCTTCACCAAATGCTGGCTTTGCTCGATTTTTGTAGCGAGAGGTCGCATCGTCCGTTCTTTCAAGGCTTGAGCTCTCGGCGCTGTTTTGTGAAGTACCTGAAGAGAAAAATTATATTATTGCCCTGAGACATCGATTTACCTGGCTGAAAATGCCTTGACTTTTCTCTGCATAGCCATTGATTGCGTTCATGAACGACGGCCCCAGAACTTTCTCACCAGAATCAGTTAGGGACGATAAACCCTAAAATTCATCTTATCATATGTCTAATTAGGTCGTTGCTAGGCTACCTTGATCCTCATGCCTCTTTTATTCGGAGGTGTTTTTGAAGTCGGAGTACTGACGTCATTTCCGGTTGGGATTGTTTTCCGTCTTTGAGAAACCGGCGTAGATTCATAGTCATCATCGTCGTGGTCAAAAGAAAAAGCTCCTTGAGAATTCGATTTCAAGGCGAGATTTTCAGCTAAACGAGCAAAATCCGCCTCGCTGTCCATGGCAGAAGCTGAAGCGGAAGAAGCTGGGCTTGACCTCCAATTTTGAGAATTTTCATAAGATTTTATGATTATTATACCTTCCACTACTGAAAGAGCTACTTATCGAAACGGCGCTTGTACTTTGAGGCAGTTCTAAGGTCAACGGTTCCTTATAGACGTCGTTCACTTCGGCGAGGGGTTTCGTGACTTGTTCCCGGCCTGAATAGTGAAGATCAGTAACAATTAACTTTCAAAGAAATGAATAGTGTAATAGATGTTTTTCTGCACAGTAGGCGCGCAAGTCGCTGCTGGTCTGATGCGTTGAAAGAAAATCGCAAAAAAAGATGTACCTGTGCTAGTCTGCGCCTCTTCTGGATTGTCAAAAACCAAGTCATCAACGCTGCTGGAGCTTTCAATGGATCTTTGGTCTTCGTCGTCGCTTTCTGAATCGTTTCCGTCTCTTCCATACTCTTGATAAGACGATTCCAGGCTCGAGTTGTTTGGATAAACCTGAAAATATTAAAAATTCTCAGAACAAAGAAATGGTTCAACCGTAAAATGAACAGGCATCAAAGATTCGCAGAACCACTTGCTCTTATCTCCAACTTGTTCTGCGCTCTCGATTCCAGCTTGAACCCGGACAAACGTCTCATTTTTGGGACACAGACAACATTCGGCAAAATATTCCACGGCTTGAGTTCTGAAAAAAAATCGACTCTTTCGCTCATAGAATACAATTTTTACCTGCACAACTCGGTTATGAACTGAGTGCACTGAGGTCGACTTCTCAGGAAAGATTCAGTTTGAAGAGCGACTACTGGTCTTGGATAGAGTCTCAAAGTCCTGGTGTGCTCACTGAAGTCTCCGAAGACGTTCGGGGAGTTGAAGAACTTGACCTGGAATCTATTAATTTATGAGACTGATCCGAAAAGGTAAGACGTTTTGTAAAGCTGTTTTCTTTTTTTTTATTCTTTCATTCCAAAAGCGACCACACAGTTTTCTAAAAGCAAACCATGGATACACGACAGGCGACGTCAACTGAGTCGATGTCAATTGCATACGACGCTTCGACACTTCCTCGTCGTGTTTCGTTCAAATTCACCGACATCCTGTTAAGAGCCGCGCGTAAATTAGTCTGAAATTGAAAAATATTTTTCCTAATTTTAGTTGGAAAACAAACCTTCAGCTCAGTGACGTCAGGCTCCGGCATATCAGGAATGTACAGCTCATCAGGAACATTGACGTGGTTGGTGTCAAGGTCGACGAGGATGACGTCGGAAGGCACCTCGTGGATTCTTCTTTGTTGGAAGAAAGAAGCCGGAACGCCGATCAGGAATGGAGTTGGAGCCAAGAGAAGTTGCTCGGCCGACGGCATGTAGGCTGGTAGAAGTGGAATAACTGGGAACATGTATTCCAGAGGGTAGAGCATTGCCACAAAAGAAAGGACGCACATACTGACTGCATTGTAGTTCCGGGATTGTATCACAACCTGAAATTAAAGCTTTTTTTTAAAGTGCGATTAAATGAGTCTTCAAATGTCAAGTGCATTTGTCACTAACCACCAGAAGTATCACAAAGACCTCAATTTTTTTACGCACTATCTCGCGTATTTCTCGTAAAACCTTATAAAATGTTGTCACAATGGTAAACTTTTTAGTGAATTCGAGTCGTGGCATTGTTTTTCAGAACTCGTACATGCGCCTTCAACATTTGAAAATTTTCAAGACCAGATTCTCTAAAACGTGGAGGCTTTGATAACGCGTTTGAAGTTATTTTGTCACGCAAGTCGACGTCAATTTCACATAAATCTTTCAGTCCCCAGCCGATTTCTAAACTTATGTTTTGCACTTTTTTCAAAGAATAAACTTTACTAAACTGAAGTTTTCAGCTGACGCTTAATTCGAATAATCAAAGACAGAATTTCTTAAGCCTCAAAATGTAAAAATTAATTCGAGTAAGCTGTACCTTGAATTCCAGCATGACCGCGGTCAAAACCCGCAAAGCAATGTCGATACCCAATAACTCGAAAGGAATGTGCAAAGGGAAGTCAATGAGCGAAAACCGCGTGTGGTCCGGTAGGGCAAACTCGAAAATCGGCGCGATTTCCAAGGGCATCACCTGCAATTTCAGTTAAACTTCAAGGTTCCTGTTTTTTTTTTTCGAAATTTCCTCTTTTATTTCTCACCATTTCTAAACTCAAAATTTAAAGGCTTGATAAAATGAGACCATTTTTGATGTTTATTAGGAAGCTTAAGAACCTTTGTTCAAGGATCGTTTTGATCCATTTTGAGAATTTTCTAGTCAACAAATTGTATACCTCCAGCTGAACTTTCGTTTTCCCCGGCACCGGAACAGGTGAGCTGAGCAACATCAGGATCCAGGTCTCAATTTCTTTCATCTCCTTCATCACCTCCGGCGGGATCGCTTCAGACCAATGGCCAGTGAGGACCGACCAGACGACATCCCTATCATTAGAGTTCGCTATTTTTCTGCACTAGGTGATTTTCGAACAAAACCTGTGGCCGGTCGCCTGCGCTGCTCGGTAATTGCAGCTGTCAATCAGACGCTTGAGGAGCAGCAGAAGCTGGTGGAAAATGGAAACGAACGGATGGTGAGAGATGAAGCACAGTGACGTCAGCGACATCGCGTAGTCTTTGTGGCTAGAAGTAATCATTTTTATCAGAGGTTTCTGGGTCAAAAGATTTTATTTTTCGCTTTATCCACAGTTGAAAATTCAATATTTCGATTTTACTCTTTTATATCACATTACTGCTTCTTCTTTTTTGAGATACCGATAAACAACTATTCTCACCACTACTAGCTATTTTCAAAAAGAATTTTTCCCCTCTTGTCAGCACCAAAAATATCTGACGTATTCTCCCATGCCGAATAGTGGCGGAAGCAGAAAACAACTCACTTCTTATGCGGGTGCGGCGCATTTTCTTCCAAACCAGGCAGAAGGGCGAGTTTTCGCTCAAAGGACTGGTAGAAGTTGAGGCAGATTCCGTATCGAATTTTGGCCGAGTCCTTCTCGGTCAGCATGAAGACGAAGAACTGCGGATCCTTTCGCAGCCCTTTTCTGGACCGGGAACCTGGAAAATTTGGTCTGAAACTAGCTAGCCGTGAATGGAGGATTTTGTTGACATTGATTTTATTGGGCTTATCCAGCTGATTTTCAAAAATAAACTTAATGAATTTGCGAAGGATTCTCTTACTCAAAGTATTGCATCCTTCAGGCTGGCAAAATACAGTCACATCCGTCGGCAAGATAAAATCCTTGTGGTCATCGGTTGGATATCTTCAAAAAGTCCCAATAAAAAAGTTCTTCCTCTTTAATTGAAACCTTCTCAAGATTTCCGGATATGTGATTGTATGCGTGGCGTCGGAGGAGCTCGCTTGACTTGATCCTCTGAAAATTTTCCGTAATTTGCATATTCTAGCGACCCCACATGGCTAGTAATAAATTAGAACTCGGTTGGAAATTCGAGAATGGAAATGGTGAGAAAATGAATTTTTTTTTTCGCTTGTTTCTCCCTTTTTTTGAGCCTCTTACAAATTTGAAATTTAATTTCTTAAAGTTTTCTTCGAATTGGTGGAATATTTAGTAGACAGAAGTCATTTTTACGATGCGTCCGACCTGAAACTACTTCTGCCTGTGGCTATCACACAGCTTGAGAAAACGTTTCAAGGTTAGTCACAACTAAAGATCGATATCATAGTTATATATAGCATAGTTTTGAACCAATCATTTTTTGAAAACTTTCAATATTCCGCATCCATTTAGATAAAGAATGATTTTTGTGGTTATTTTTCTTGACAGATATTTTTGCAGTTACAAGCTTTGTGAAGAACTGAAGCTCGGTAGAAAACTCGTGCATTCAAAATGGTGGGAAAATGAATTAGCTTCAATTGCTTTCCTCCTCGGAACTTTTTTAGTATTTTCCTGGCCGACTTCACTCTCTAATTTTTCTACTCGGTGTCTTGAAAACAAGGAATGTCGTTCAATTCTCCGTCTTTTTTTGAAATGGAGCTTTCTTGAAGTGGACTGACGGACGGCGGAGGCCAAAGAAGCATAATTTACCTCGCGCGGTTTCGGCGTCCGACGACGACGAAGTAGTCGATGAGACGTGGGCAAAGCTCTTTTTCCTTCTCACCCATCGCATTTGAGGAACATCGACATACCTTCGATTTCAATTGGACTTGAGAGAAAAGATTTTGAGCACGAACATCAAAAAACGCAAGAGAAATCGGAAAACGCAGGCAAGAAAAGAAGGATTTTAAGATATGGATAGGATCAGGTTATGACTTTATTTTTTTATTCACCCATTATCTTGAAATCTATTTGTAAGTATATCGAATATCGACTTCAACTAGAATCGGAAAGTCAAAAAAATTCGAAAAATATGAGAAACCAAAAAAATAAAGACAAGTTTGAAGTTTTATCTCCAACTAACCATAAACTTGAAAAGAAGGAAATAGTTTTATTTTAAACTGAAACAGGAAACAGAAGTCTGAAGATCAAAAAAACCGGGCGAAACTGCTGAAAAAAGAGAGCTGAGGAGCAAAAAGGGGGATCTTGAGCTTCATTTGCAATTAATGACTCAATTTGCACTATGAAACGGAAAGTGTGACGTTTCGTCGTCTATTTCATTTTAATTGAGCTAATGAAACTATCAGACTTTTTTCTATGAATATTTCTGAGAGGAAAAAAGGAAATGAGTGAACTGTTTTTAATTACTCAATTAGCATTTTGAACAAAGGTGTGACGTCTTGGAGGTTGACTTTAATTTTATTCACAACTCCCCAGCTCTAGGAAAAATGAGGGAGACGCGCAAAAAAAGATCTCGAGCTCCCCACGTAATTAATCCAATTAATGACTTAATTTGCACTATGAGGCGAGAAAAAGTGTGACGTTTCGAAAGATTTTTTTATAGAATTTGAACTTCAACGCTAGAAATATTCTTATTGAATCTCTTGAAGGAAAAAAAGAAAAAAACATTCAGGAATTTTTTTCAGAAAACTTTGTTTGTGATTGGTTAAATTATTTTCCCTACTAGGACTGCAGAACCCGAGATTCTTTCTGAAAAACTGATGAAAAAGAGAAGAAAAGAAGATAAAGTCTAAAAAAATGTTGAGGTTTCAAAAGAGTTTCCGTTTTTTTCTTTATTTAAAATAAAAAGTTTTTTTCTTGGATCTAGAAATAGTTTAAATGACTTTAAATATGTATTCATATTTATCGACAAGGGACCAAGGAAAGCATCGAAAGTTGAATTTTGAAAAAAATCCGAACAAATTATAAGGAAAAACTTGGCAACTATTATTTATTTTGGAAGCATTCCAAGTAGAGAGAGCAAATCTAAAAATTCTAAATTACGAAGCGTAGGAGTAGGAAAAATTTTTTTTTTCCATAGAGAGCTCAGTGGAGGGCACACGAGCCGACGGCCGCAGGAGAGAAGAATGGCGGCACCTCCTCTCACTAATTCGCAGGCGGCCTCCTGCTCCAGCTCCTTCAGACCGACTGCAATCCGTCGGTCCCAACTTTGAAATCTCCTAAGATGGTTCAGATATCGCCTCTTCTAAGAAAAACGGAAGATACAATGAAAATTGAGTGTTTCTTACTGATCTTTTAATATTAGACTTCCTAAGAGCCTTTTTGTATTTTTCAACCTTAATCTCTTACTATTTTTAGTTTGATGTCTTAATTTTCCGTACTATTTGTTCATATAGATTCGCAAACGATAAAATAGACCAATTTTTCAAGAATCTAGTGGTTGTTTTTGAATAACCGGAAAAAAATGTTTTGATTTATTTTTTTCATATAATTTTTTTGACATCTCTGGTATCAAATTTTTTTATTGAAATTCAGATAAAATATCAATAATATGAATTACCCTGTGTTTTTGCCGAGCGCTATACAATTGATAATCGCTGATAAATGAACTTTGATAAGTTGATAAGCATTTTCTTGTGTCCTTAGGTCACTCAATAGAATTATTTTTTTCTCATGTTCATCAATGTTTTGCAAATACCCTTGGTATAGAAGCTGGAAAAAAGGGCTCAAAAACCCTGCAAAATGGTCTCGAAAAACCAAAAATCCAATTCAACTCTACGATTGAAAATTAAAGGTTTCCAAAGAAAACAAAAAAAAATGCGCTTTTTGTGCACTTCACGATATTTTCCTAGGAATTTGAGAGAGGATTATTATACGCTTCCTTTTTTTGCAGAGGAAAAATTACATGGTTTGCAATGTGCTTTTGAAGAAAAAAACGAAAATCATGCAAAAAAATTGAAAGACTTTGCACTTCTTTGCAAAAAAATTTCTAAAACCTGAGGGTAGCTTTTGAATCGAAACCAAACTTTTTGGATGATTTTTCAAAGAAGTAAGCCTTCTTTTATAAGTTTTTATTAAGTTCATGAACGAATTCGAAAAGCTATGAATGCTTGGAAAGTGGAAAAATAATCACAACAAAAAAAGCTATGACTCATGAGAGTTCATTTGTCCGTAGAGCGCAAAAGGCCGCTGCAAGTTATAAATAAGATAAGCTTCAAAAATCAAACTTTTCATGCAGCTTTTGCTATTTTTGAAACAAATTTTTACATTAACCCTGTGAGTCATACAGGCCGGAATTGACTGAAACCAACAAAAACCCAAAAAAAAAAGGTCGAGCTTTCGGAGCCGTATGTTCCAAAATGGGGAAAAATAAATCCGCCGCTGCACTGTCTCCCACGGGCGCGTTAATCGCCATACATCAATCACGAGTAAATTCACATCCTACCAAATGGACAAACGGTTCGAGCAAACGAAAAACGGAAATCTTTGGCTTTTTGGCCTTTACAAATCGAACATAGAAGGGAAGAAAAGTGGGAACAAAGCGCGAAAAAAGGAGTGATGGTGGGATGGGAATCTCATGAGAATTGTGAGAAACAGCTAAAATCTAGTGTAATTCAACACCTCCAAATATGGAGGCCCAGCCAAGTGTTTTGTTCGACTTTTGATCGATTTTCATTTGCAAAAAAGGGGTTCTCATTAGTTGGAATGATTGAATAAAGTGCTTTTCTGCACGAAAATAGGAACGCCAAGTGCTGACTTTCCTGTTTCACGCGACAATGCAGAGAAAAAATCAATAAACAATTTCTGGAGTTTTAGAAGGGAAGAATTGGAGGGAATGATCTACAGATAAGGAAGCCCTGCGGCGATAACAAAAAGGCAATAACAAAACAAGGTGCCGAAATTGGATTATTATTGAAGAATCGAAAAACAAATTTTGAGTGTGAGAATTTTTTATTGAATGCGGTAAGTCTGACGAAGTTCCTGAGAGAGCAATCTTAGGGGGACCTCGAAGATTCCTCTCTTGGCATCTCCACACTTCCCTTTAGAAAATACTAAAGTTTGCGAAAGTGGTCACTCTAGGGAAGCTTGCTTGTCATTCATTTTTTACACTCTGTTAAAAAAAAGCGTTATCAAGTTTTATTGAAAAAGTCTTCAGAAATGCAAATGAAAAAAAAATCAAAAGACCAGTCAAGCTTTTGAGGCTCAGGGGTGCGAATTTCAATCACTATAGGGACCAATTAAATTTCAACCCTCTTGAGAACAGTCAATTATCCCTTGAATAAGCTTTCATCCCCTCACCCTTCTAGAGACCATTTTGACCTTTCTAAAAAAATCTGTAGTAAATTTTTTTGGTGTTATCATTTTTTTAAGAATGATAAAAATATGTTCAAGGTGACCAGAACACATAAACTTGGGTGATGAAAACAACAAAAAATCAGAAGATTTGGCTCATTTTTGGTTTTTTCTCTAACTCGACCCGTTTGAGACTTCCAGCTCACTTTGTTGCTGTATTTCTGAAAATTAGGAAAACGACAACTGCTTTTTTTTATATTGCGTCTAACAGTTCAAGAAACAATGTTCAAAAAAAAAGGAATGACGCCACAATTGGTAATAACATCCAGGGAAAAAACGACATAAAAGAGTGCCTGGGCGTGTGAATTAACAAGAGGTCCTAGAAATGTCAACGAGAAACAAATCAAGCCGCGAAAAAAAAAGATGTTGCGGTTTGAAAATGGAAGGCGTCGAGGCAGATGACGTGAGGACAGCCCAGAGATTTCCTGTTAAAGATTCCGAAAATGGAACCCAAAAAGGGAAAAAAAAGGTCACGTCACAGAATCTATTTCGAGTTGCGAAGAAAGGACACATAGATGAAATTTGGTCGGAGTTGAGCTAAATTTAGACGAGGTCGAATTGGTCAAATTGCATTAAGAGATATGGCTCAGCAGCGCTTTTTACGAAAAAAAAAATTGGACTAAATAGTTTAAAGTATCAAATTTAGATGTCTTCATCGATATAATATCCTTCACGAAAACTTTTCTAAATGAAAAAACTCAAGTTTGCAAAACTTGAACACAGGAGTCAGATAAAAATGATGATAACCGCGAATTTAACATTTTGTCGATAAGAAGCTGATTTATAAGACTGATACGGAAATAATAATGAATGGTCTTGCGAATCACGAAAGAAAGTGAGAAAAAACCAACACCAAGACAAAAAAAACTCAAGCTATAACATAAGAGAACACAGTTCAAGTCAAATGAGTTATTATGAAATTGGGAAGAAATTTTCAAAAAAAAAAAAAAATCCCAATGAATGGTTTGGAGTGAATAAAAACTAAAGAAAAAACCAACACTTCTATCAAAAAGGCTTACAAAAAATGAAGATTTGTCTTCGAAATCGTTTCGAACTTGACTTCCAAATCTAGACGTGACTTAATGGACAGAAGTTCAAAAAAAGAATCAAAAGATACTCACTTTCGGTCTTCGAACTCAATTAAGGTATTGCACTTTGAACAAAACATGGGTTCTCATGCAAACGATCCCTGAGTTATGCGTGAGAGGAAGCTTAGAAACATCAATGAGGGCAATGAAGAAAGACAAAAAGGTCTCCATTAGGTCGAGTACAAAATTCAAATTTTGAATTAGAAAAAAAGGAAAGTTCAAAAAAATAGATCTCGAATCAATAAATAATGGTAAGTCCTTCAAAAGCTTTAAAAAAATTAATAAGGAGTAAAAAAATATGATAAAATCTAAAGTTGAAATTTATAGTCCACATAACCTAAAACAAAAAAAAACCCAAAAAAAGTCGAAGCTTGGAAAACAACAGAAAAAGAAAAAGAACTTTACTCCGAAAAATACAGAGAAAAATTTTTTAGACATGCAATGAAAGGGCAGCTGTGAATAAACTATGACAAGGGTCCTTAGAAGCTCTGAAACATCACAAAAGAACAGAGAAACAGAAAATCACCTACAAACATCAAAAACCAGAAAAAAAAGCAGCTACAAAAAAACGAAGTAGCAAAAAATAAGTTATAAATTGGAGGTGACCAAGACCGGGAGATTTACGCCAATTTTCTAAGAAAAAAAAATGGGAATCGCCTGAAAATATGGCCAAACGTTGAAAAACTAAATCTCGATAGGATTTTTGTCACAAAGGTTAAAACAGCTTCAAAGAGCTTCACAGTTTTGAAAAGTGGTTCGAATTGACAAATTGCTATTAAAAGAATTGTAAAAGCTTAATAACATCACAATAAGAAAAGAGTAACAAAAAATAACCTACAGACATCAAAAGCCAGAAAAGTTGACTGAAAACTGTACGAGCCAGCAAACCTGAGCAATAACATATTTTGAAAAAGCCGGATTTTATCTAAATTTTGTGGAACATAATTCAGCATACTTTAAAGTTTTGAAGATTTGAAAAAGTTTGGAAAAAGTGAAATTTCAGAATTTTTTTGTTGTTGAAAGGCAGAACTTACAAGTTTAGCCAAGATTAGTCCTAGAGCATTTAAATAAAGAGCACAGCAAAAAATAGTTTCAAAATACCCTTAAGCTTTGGAACGTCTCTAAACGTTCAGAGATCTCAATAAAAAGCAGTGAGTGGACAAAAAAAGCAGCTACAAAAAAGGCAAGCCAGCAAAACCTGGGTAATAACCTAAAGGCGAGAAAAGCCGGGAGATTTAGACCAATTGCTGAATTCCGAGTTAGGCATGCAGAGGGTCGGCTGTGTGTTTATCTGCTACATGCAGAAACGAGAGTCGACGCCTCGGGGGCTCTCGACGTCGCGCTTCTCGAGGCACGTGGATGGCCGCACATGGATATTGATTCCCTCCCTTCTACGGCCATTTCGTTTCGTCATTCTCGAACTATGCAAGTATGTATGTAGGAATGTCGTTTTTTCCCGCCTTCATTGTCTGCCAACACATTTTTCCACGTCTTTTCGGTTGGACTTTGTTATTCTACAAGCGTTTTGTAAGGAATCGTTGAGAAAAAAAGATCTCTTTGCAGAAGATGAAGCTCATTTCCCTCCCCATTCTTGAATTTTTAGATTTTTAGCAGCATAATTTTCAATGTACCTAAGAAAAATCCTAAAAAACTCCCGTCCGAAAAATCTCGGAGAAACCTTTAGTTTTCTGAAAAAAAAACTCAAACTCTTCAAAATTAACGTCTCAAAGCACTTCAATGTCTTTATCCAAGTTAGAAAGAATATATAGAATAAATTCGCACATTTCCAACTTTTCAAAATTATTTCTTTCTCTTCTTTTGAGTTTTTATCAAGAAACTTCAAGTACTTTTGGAAAATGTGTGTGGAAACCTTTGAAAAGAATTTCCAATGCCTGACTTTATCTAATCAATCGATAAAATCTCAAAATAAAACCGATGAATAAAATTATCAACTGCAAACCGGTGGATGAAAAAGGAACTTCATTTAAAATTTGCAGGATATTTATTATTTGCCTTCTTGGAAGAGCAGCAACAGACAGTATTGTTTGATCAAACAAAGGGATCATGTTTGAACAAGGACGTGAATGAATTAATTGAAAAAAAAAATGGAAGGAAAAAAGAAAAAATGGGATATTTCAACATAATGGGAAGCATTAACAAATTATCTATCAAAGGAGAAATTTATGATTTTTGATAAGTATGTAATTTGCTCAGTTTTAAAAAGGCTCTGACGAGAAAACTCAGGTAAATAAGATGAAAATGAGAAGCTATTCACCGATAACATCGGTTTTTCAAAAGATAAGCGAAAGTTTGTGCAAAATGAAGAGATTCAGACATTTCTGTAGTGTTTTTCCTCGAGTTATCAGTGAATGGACTTACATGCAAAATGAACAGACTCTGATTTTCTCGCGTCTTTGAAAAAAGGTTCATTACCTTTTTCACGTAGTTTTGCTTCCAATTATTTCAAAATGGTTTAATAAATATTTTTATACGATTTTCATGATCCCAGTATAGTTAGAAGCTATCGAACTGAAGAAAAGGCAAGGAGATAATAATGGAGTGGACGACGGCGGACTTTGTTCTGAAGACGTGCCGAAGAAAAAATGACAGCGTCTCCGGCCAAAACGACTCGAGTCCTATTTATGGGATGTCCGGCTTCTCTTCTCGAGGGCTTCTGAAGGCTCTTTGGAGTCTTTGCTTCCGATTGTCTGAACAAGATTTATATTTATGGCCGCTATTGTTCTTTTCTCCTGTCAGTAAGTCGAAAACCGAAAAAAATTGCTTTCAAAGGCTTCTGAAGCCGTTCCAATCTCATTAAGAAGCAACATTTTTGATTGAAAACCGCTTTTTTCGGCGGAAAAGGGCAGTCAAGGTTATTTTTGAATCGAACTCCGAATGACAAGGCTTTTCTCATTTTGAACAGCATTTCCAAGTCATCTAAAGTTTTATTTCCCAGGTCGAATAGCCCAAGTGAAACCTGTCCTGTTTATAATTTTTTACTAAAAAAATAAAAATGCGAAAAATCAGGCATATTGATCAAACTCTGAAAGGTAATGATCCGACGCCAAGTATAAAAATATATTTTATGAGCCACTAAAATGTGTTATACCCGAAAAAAAAAATGCAACGGCAATGGCTACAAACTTCGTCCTATTCTGAGTTTTCAAGTATTTTTCAGTCAAAAGTCAAAGAAAAGTGTAACGAATGAATTTCGATTCTTTCGGTCGTCTGATGGATCCGCAAAAAATAATGGGAAGCATGCCTTTTCAATTAAAAATGAAGGAAATTACATTATCATAACAGAAGTGGAGTTCAGTTCTCAGGTTTGTCAAAAAATCACAGCGCACTTTTCCATTTTTTTAAAAATTTTTTTATTGTAAGATAAACAGAAACTGTAAAGTTATTCATGAGAAATGAAATTTCTAAAATTCATTTTTTTGTTGTTAAGTGTTTGTCGGGTAGGCTTCCAAAAAATAAATTTGGTTTTCAAAATGTCTCAAGTTTCAAGATAGAAACAAAAAAGGCTGATTTTCGTATTTTCCTGTTTCAAGCTCACCTTTTCGTTTTCTAAATCTTTTTCTAAACCTTGCTCCCCGTTTAACACCTGCCACTTAGTTTTTTTTGGTTAGTGTGGCACAATGACATTACAAATAACTGGATTTTCGGCGGTGTTTCAGGTGATATCAAAGGAAACGAGGCTTCTCGTCGCCTGGGCAACGTCGTCCACAGCAGCGAATGGGGCGGCCGGAGTTGCCCAGCGGCGGTTCGACGACTTTCCTCCAGCTCTCTCCTTCTCGTTTTCTCTCAATTATTAGCCCCAATTAGTTTGTACTCTCCTTTTTTTCTAAATTCGATTGTCTATCAAATTTTCTTTTAATTGGTATGATTCTTTGGACTTTATAAAGGCATAATAACAATAAAAGTTTGTATATTGTTCTGATGAGGGGTTGAAAAAAAACGTTCTTCAATTTTTTGATGACTCAGTGGGTGAATTTAATTGGCTAAAAAGTTTAAGCCTTTTTTTTGCTAATTTCAATATTTTAGATGACTCAAGGGTAATTAATCTGTATTCAGTTTTTCATTCGGAAAATGACGTTTCAATTTGTTTAAATCTGGTAGTACCAAGCTTTTCCTCCTTGAAAAGTGTGATAAATACACATTCGTCACGGAAGTTATTTTCAAATTCTTCCATTCGTTTTTTTTCCGATCGGAAGCCTATCCTTTAGACTAGGAAAAAATCTTATGTTTTTCAAAAAGGTTCATTTTCACCTCACCTTTTTCCAGAAAGTAATCCTTCTATCCAACAACTATCTCTCAAGATCTGCGCTCCCATCTCGTCAAATATTAGGTGAGGTTACATGTTTCATTATCGCAAAACAAATCAAATTGATACTCAGATGAATGGACAGGCCACTAGAGAAGCGTTCTCAGGAGTCATTGAGAAACCTCAAATGACGGACCAATTATTGGCTCGGCCGCCCTTCAAATTCATTCTGGACATTGTCAGTGGTGTTATCAAACATACGGGGTATTTGAAAGTGAGTTTTCTTGACTTTGAAAATAATTCCGGCGGAAGTCGGGGATAGTCTGAAAAGCCTACGTTTTCGTAGAATTTTCTCATGGGTTTTTCAGCCCATTTCACATTGTATTCAAAGTGAAGTCATAATTATCATGACTTGAACGGCTCAAAACTTTGCAATTCCAAAGCTTCCAGATTTAAAAGAATGTTTTATACTACAAGATTTTGCAGTGCGCAAGTTGTTTTTGGTCGGGTGCCCTGAACATTTTTTTTCGTTCTGCACAAAGTCGCGAAAATCGAAATTCATGAAGAGAATACCTGTGGAAGGCTTGGCTGAAATATTTTCAAGCCATCTTGACTTTTCCATTTTAGTCAAATTCGAACCTTTTTCTAAAAAACTAACTTCAGCCAGGCCAATGACGGTTTTTCTTTTGGTTGAATGTCAGCAGCTGAATTTCTTCAAATCAGCTTCATTCTAAGTATTCATCATTACAGCATGACTTTGAAAAGAGCGAATTGGAAGCGGCGGCCAACGACAAAACAACCAAGACCGAATTTTTGGACAAATTAATTCGTTTACTAAACGACGATGGAAGTTTGGGCAGTGTGAGCGCCAGCAAAATAATCGCCGGAAAAGAGCCAGAAGAGACGAATTTGGTGGGTTTTTCGATTGAAGAAATCGAAAATCTTTGCTTGAGTAGTTGAAAATATATGAAAGACAGTTTATTTTTACTGACGAGAAAGTATTCATCACTTTTTCTTGGACAAAAAAAAGATGACAAAAAAACATTTCCCAGCCTGGCTTCTGTTTTGATAGTCACCAAGGTCGTTAAAATGTTATTTTTCTTCATAAAGGCAGAAGCTCTAGATGACTTTGCTGTTTTTGCAGTTACTTCAATTGCTTGGCAACCGTGCTCGCCAGGCAAAGGCTGATAAAAAAGCGAAAAAGGAAAAAACTTCAAGTAAGGAGAAGGATAAAACAGAAGATAAGGAGAAGAAGAAAAGCTCTTCTAAGAGTTCTTCAAAAGATAAAGATGGCGAAAAGAAAAGCAGAAAGGTTTGTAAATTTTTTTTCATTCAAAATAAAGAACATTTCTTCAGGTTGAGAATAAAGAGAATGAGCCAAAGTCTACCAAAGAAAAAAAAGAAAAATCAAGAGATCCAGATAAGTCCAAAGAGAAAGACAAGGACAAAGAGAAAAAGAAGAAGGATACGGAAAAACCTGGAAAAGAGAGGTCAAAGAGCAAGGAAAGGACCAGAAGCTCATCGAAAGAACCTAAAGAAAAATCATCAAAATCATCAAAGAAAAGTTCTTCGAAAGATGACAAAAAGCGGGATAAATCTCTGAGGAGGATGGATTCGATGATTGCGGTTCATGGAGACAATACTCCGCAGGATCCTGGAGACGACGGCTATGGAGAAGAAGAAGATGAAGCAGAGCATTACGTCAACAACGACATCGAGCAGGAGGGGAATGGAATCGACAGTCCTGGAAGTTTTGAAGGCATTCGTATGACCAACCTGCCAAGGTCTACAGTTCGATCTGGGGACAGCGGTGTTGGCGATGGCGACGAAAGTCCGAGACCTCCTCCTCCGGAAGAAAGAGCGGCGGCTTTGAGGTTTATTTTTCGTATTTCAATAACTTTCGGCTTGAAATGGTCCAGGTTGAAAAGTTCGTTTTTTTTTATTTATCTTCAAGAAGAAAATTGTTTTCTCGATACTCGACTCATGACCTTCTTTTCAGCTCCCGACTCTTCGGCTTATCATTAAAGATTGTTTTCTAAAAATCATGATGACTCTTTGAAAATTATAAGAAGATGAAGTTTGTCTAATTGAGCATGAATAAGAGCAAGAAAAAACCAATCGACTCTTTCAAGAATCGCCATTTAAAAAGACAAACTTCAAACAATCAGATAGTGACTCCAAAAGGTTGCATAACTTTTCCACATTAATTTCAAGGATGAATTTTTTTTTTTTTCTCAGGCTCATGAAAGGATTGGAACTGGCAAATTCGAGCTTTCTCTTTGAGTAATTAAGTTACAGACCGATGACAGGAGCCGCAAGGCCACAAACTTCAATGGGAAGGCCTGGAACAGCCGCAGCTCGTCCAGCTCCTCCGAAAATCAAGAAAAAGCAGATTGCGACTACTGATAGTACACCTTTACCGGTGCGCTGACAAAAATTGGAAAAAAAAAAATTTTTATGTTTTAGGTCGTTGAACTCAAAGCGGAAATCATATCGGAAGCTTCGAAGACCAACGACGCCGCTGATAATTTTCTCGTCCAAGAGGATGAAGAGGAGCTTTTCAATGGAACCGTGGAAAATGTTCAAGAAACACAGGTGAGTCAGAAAAAAACAGGAAAAAAAAAGATAATTGAACTCAGGTGGACGAAGAAGAGAGAGGTGCTCTGGTTCAAAAAATTATGGAAAAGAAGGCTGAACTAGAAGAAGGTGCAGCTATAGCTGCGAACGATGATGATGATGGTGATATAGACGTGGAAAGATCTAAGGTTTGGAAAGAAGCTGAAATGGAAACATTTTTTTAGGTCACCGCTCTTCAAGCTAAACTTCAAGATGTGACCAAAGCAGCATATCCATTGGCCAGAATATTCGAATACGCCCATGTAAGAGCCATTTTTTATTGTTTTATCAATATTTGAATACGTCGTGAAATTCCTCAAAATGTCTCTTATACACTGCAAAATGTTTTTTAAAGTTATGCTTATCTTTTGATACTTCGTTACTAGAAGCAGATTGATAATTTGACCGAGAGAGCCTTAAATGTACCTCTTTGAGGTTTTTAAAGTTGACATTTCTTTTGAGAAAAGCATTTTTGCGTTCGAAACTGCTTTTTTCAGCCCTCAAAAGCCTGAAAATTTTTAGGGTACCTTTATTTGCACCCCAAAAAGCGTTCTAGTAAATTTCTAACTATTTTCTCACATTAAATGAAGATGAATCTTTTTCTGAGCTACGAGATACCGTCGGCCGTAAGTAGTTTATAGTCGGGTGCACGGAGAGAGAGTACACGTTGAGCCATTCCCTGTACAAACAGCATTTCTGAGAGAGATAGAACTAACTCCAATATCATTATTTTCAGGAAGACATGGAATCGATGCTGAAAGAAGTCGAGAAATGGAGAAGTGAGGCGAGAAAAAATGAAGTCGCAGAGCAGAATAAAGAATCTAGTGGTGTTGGGGAAGCGACCAGGTATTTCAATCAATTTTTTTCCTTCAACCATTTTTCCTCTCAGATTGTCGCACATCTTGAATCAACTGGACCAAGAAATAATCGACGTCAAAGAAGCGTTGTCTTCAACGAAATCCCGCATCATGCAGAATAATGAACGAATCAAAATCCTGGTTGCCAATATTTAAACAAGTTTAATTAGAAAAATAGTTCCATTGTTATCAAATAACGCTAGAGGCCTTTATACAGCCAATAAAGTTGTGATTTGCCAATTTTTTTAAACTGACTTTGGACTAAAGATCTTTAATAAAAAAATTAGATTTATTTGTCTTCAAATTGAAAGTTTCATTTTCTGAAATGTGTAAAAAAAGGGAAATTTAAATTCTCTGCATTTATTGAGAGGACTGAAGACGGCCCACCCGCATCAAAACCCCGAATTCCATATAGATTCAATAATTATGACGCATGGAAAAAAAAGTAATCCCAGGTTTTTCGACCAAATAGAACTGTCTTTACAATATCTGCATTTCAATACGACCTTTTTATCCTTAATTTTGAGTATTTCCGGTCCTCACAAACCTAGAAAACTAAGAAACCATGTCAGAAATAAGCAGATGTCCTTCGACAGGTGGCTTAGCCTTTCTAAGACGCAATCGGTCATTTCACAGCACTATTGTTGGGTTTGAAAAGATTATTGATGGGTTGAGAATGTTATGGATTTCTAATTTTGGTTTCTTGATGAGAATAATATTTTTCAAAGTAATCTTGTAAAGAGAAAAAGTTTTGAAACACCCGGTAGGTCAATTTACGTTGCGGATGGGAACTTTCTGAAAATTTTTTTCAGATTATCCTTTGAAAAAAACCAAATTGAGGTCCTTGAAGTCTCAACCTGCACAACTTTCTAGTTATCGAGAATGAAGGTTTTAAGGCTCCAAAATTGCAGATTCTATCGGATCTTAAAGAAATTGAGGTGTCCTTTTTTGCAAAATGAACATTTTGCAGTTTGAGACTTTCGCATTCTTTTTTTAGTACTTTAAAGTGTGTTTTGACGAATTTTTGAAGAACTCCCAACCCCAAAAAAAAACTTTCTTTTCAGGGCTTTCCAAGTCTTCAAGCTCCTCAAAAAAAGAGAGAAAGTTATTTTAAACCTTCGGATTATTTTAAAATCTCTAATTAAAAACTTTCCCTTACTGGCGGTGAATAAACTCAAGCTCTTGATATCCAATAAGATTATCCTGTTAAAAACGGAACATTTCAACAGCTGCCACCTCGACTAAGAAAACAACTTTTGGAACAGCTGCGTCTCAAAAGCCAAGCTCGCCCCGCTTTAAACTCCAGATAGGCGTGCTGCAGACCTAGCATGCCTCTTTTTATACCTTTTATGGTATAATTACCCACCCCTTTTTAATAAAATTTGAAAGGTTCCTTTTTTGCTAATATTAAGAAGCGTTGGTCAAAAATCCACTGGACCAACGCTTAATGAGGACAGTTAAACGACACAAATTTTATGTGTTGTTGAAACTTTTTAGTTTTTTAACTGCCCTAATAAGGTACATTTAAATGTACCAAACATCCCTATTCAATGCTATCTTGCCCTACTCATCTCAAGAGACCAGAGATTTATATCTTCCTCGTCTTTGAATGTGAAAATTCCTTCTGCGATGAACTGTTTTCTCATTCTTTTTTTTATTTCAACTTTCATTTATTCGGCCTCTTCAGCTTGTTCTTCGAGTGAGTTTTTCAAAAATTTTTTTTATTTGAAAAAAATATTCGTTTCATCAAGAAAAGCATACCAGTCTTGAAATTTTTAAATCTCATTTGTTTTTCAGTGAGATATTAAAAAAATTTAGCTAACTAAACCGACATTGATGAAAAACAATTAATTTTGGAATTTTGAAAGCTTTCTATTTTCAGGATACCATTTTGCCAGAGTCGTTTATGGTCGGGAGTCATAAACCAAACAAAAAAAACCCGAGAACGCTATGAAAAATTCAATGATTTTAAATATTATTTGCATCAACAGGTCTTACAAAAATCCCACGAATATCCCCAAAAAAACTGAAAAAAATTATTCAGATGAATACTGTCCAAATGGCTGGAGCGTCCTTAGGAAACCTGACGCCAATCCGACGACTTGCGACCCGATGAAATATCAAACCAAATGCGAGAAACCGTATTCCTGTGTTCATGCCAAGTGCGGCATGAGCTTTTGTTGTGTTCATCCTCGTGAGTTCTTCATTCTTTGGAGTTTGCAGATGATTATTTTCCAGAGAAGTTAGCCGAATGGAATCGTCAAGAAGAAGTGAGGAAGGAGATTCTAGAAGCTGAGCATGAGATCGAAAATGAGGAGGACCTGTGAAAGTTCTATGTTTTTTTTTCTGCGTGAATGAATTTCTTTTTTTTTCTCACATTGAAGTCTTTTTGGAAGCAACAGCTATGAAGTCTTATCATGAAGTACCAGGCGTCTCTTATTGAGATTGAAAGAAATTTTTGACTTTTTTCGTAAATCAAGCTACATTATTCCAAGAATATTTTTAGATTAGGATATTCATGTGAAACGGGTGAAACATAAGAATGTTGTTGGTTGAAAAAAAGGGGAAAAAATTGACTTCCGCAAATTATTTTTTAAAGTTTTTCTTAAAAGCCTTATCAAAAAAATTTCATACAATCCATTCAAATTCCGCAACAAACATGGGCAATTTGCCACTCTGATAACCTTGAAACCGCGCTTTGAATTTGCAAGAGAGCAAACGGCAGCAGTAAACATGTCCTCTGAACCTCACCTTTCCCCATGATCTTTCTCTGTTCTTTCGTTGTCTGCACCCTCTTCAAGCCGATTGGTGTCTCTCTTGCTGTGTTCGCGGCATTCGTCGCTTTTATGTGTCGCTGGCGACGTCGCGTGCGTGTACCATTCGCGTCCGCCCTTCTTTCTACCGCCAGATGGGCCTTTTGGGTACACTATTGATTAGTGTTGTTTACCTCCTCACGTGTGTTGTGAGCACAGCGGATCGGCGGCCGATGCGAATATCTCGCACCTCGTTTGTTTTCCTTTCTCCTTGATTCTCCTTTTCGATTTCAGGGCAAAATGTTCTCAGTTCTACTATTTTGAAAATTTCTTTTGACCTCAGAATTCCTATAAAAAGGGTAGAGATCTTGAATTTTTTGAAACTTTTATTTTTCACTTTCAATTTTGGGTTTCATCTTCCTCTTTTAACAACTTTTGAACTTCTCAATTCTGAACTTTACTGTTTGTCGATCTTGTGAAGACTCTTTTCGTTTAGAATTAGCCATTCTTTGTTTGAAAAAAAAGCGCTTGCGCTTGAAAATAAAATGCCAAGGGAGAAAAATTTCTGAGATTCTCAAGATCTTATTGTTCAATAAGATATTTTCAAAGTCAGTACGAGAATTCATAGCCACAGGGCTGGAAAGTGTTAAAAATTTCTGTTTTTGATATTCATGTTTTTCATCATTATCCCCACAGAGTTGGTATTAGCTGTCCTCAGGCACCGGCGCAAAAATAAACAATTGTTCGGCGCTCGCGAGCTCAAAAAAAAACTCACAGAATGCCCTCATTTCCACCTATTTGCCAGTTGCTGTGCTGTTGCATTTTCTGCACCCCAGCCCTCTTCTCTTTTTTCCATTCCCATGCCTTCCTCCTCGTAAACATGTTTACGCATTTTTTTTTTCTGTTTTTCTTCGTTCGTTGGGTTGCATGGGAAAGTCCAAAAGGTTTACAAGTAATCTCTACACGTTATATTTATGGATACGTGTGACTTTCGAGCATCTTTTATTGTTTGCTTTGGCAATATCGGCGAGCTCAAAGCTCGAGTATGTTTAGGAGAGCAGATTTGTGCATTTCGAGCTCCTTTTCTGGCATTTTTTGCGTCTTTTTTCAATCAGATTTGTAAATTTTGAGCATTTCTTGAACGGAATTAACATATATTCTTATTGAACTTCCAAATTTTGAGTTCTAAAAAATGTATTTCTTTCAAAGATTTTGACCAGTGAATTCATCTTTTCAACTTCAGTTGTCGCTAATTGCATTAATTCACTTGTCTAAACCAAAACTGAAAAAAAGGTAATTTTTTTCTTGTTTAATTTGTCTATTCAAAATTATCAAATGTAGATTTTTTGTAGAAATTAATTTATTCCGAACGTAATAAAGTCTTCATAAGCCAAAAACACAATCTTCTTTCGAAAAAATAACGTAAAAAACTTTTACTCAAAAAAAATTTCTCTCCAAAAATTTTTGATTGTTTATTTGATCTGATTTTCGAAATTTTGTCGACCAACGCAATTTTTTCTCTGGTGCGAATTCAAATTTCGGCCCAGTTTTTATCTCTTCGCAGGTCACTATAGCAATTTTATCGCGCTCCTGTTTGTACGGTCCGTTCAGCACAACTTTTTATATTTTTTGAGAGAGAAATTGCTGGTTTTCGCTTAAAATGCATGGAAAAAAGTTGTTTCAAATTTTTACCCTTAGAAGAATTTTAATGACGACCTTCCCACATATATCAAAAATTCAGCAAAAATAGATGTAGACGATTTCGTAAAACTTTTGCACAAGCTGCAGGTTAAATCATGCTTAATCTCATTTCCATGCTCTGTTGGCTTGAATCCGCGTTTTCGAATATTTTCAAATCGAGCAACGCAGAAACTTTGGCTGTTTGCCTTGGTGTTATTTACATTCGCTTTGGCGGCGTCATCGCCAAGCATTTTTGAAACAATAAAAGTCTTCTTCCCCTTTCTTTCAAAATTCTTTCATTTCATCCTATTTTCATGTTTTCCATGCTCGATTAACACAAATTTTGCCTGCAAAATTTTTCAATATATGTCGTTTTTCGCCGCGTTTGAAATTTCTTGAAAAATTCATGAGGTTTTTTTCAGAAAACTTAAAAAGGAATAAAAAAATTGTAACGCTGCGATGGACACGCCTCCGCGGCAGAAATCGCCGACAAGAAGGTCAGTTATTTTTTTCTGTTTTCTGTAAGATTTTTTACATTTCCCAGCTCAGAATAAGAACAAAATATGCAATTTCACTTTTTCGATATTTCATACCCAATAAATACCGATCCAAAATAAATCCTGAAAGATAGAATATCACATAAACTGACCAAATAGGTCACTTGTTGCTACGAAAACTCACTTTTTGATAGGATGGGAAAATAAAACTCAAGTTTGTATTTTTGAAAATACTCAACCGTCGGAAAACTTTGAATTTCTCGATTTCGAAGTGACCAAATCAAATTTTTTTTAATTCAGGCAACCGACGCCCCGGTTCTTGGACAACATCCGGACGCATCTCAACTTCAAAACTCCGCCGGTTCGTTCGGCACACTCTCCAAGATTCACCGATGAGGAGCTCGATGCTCTGACCAGCAACTTGTGAGTTCCTTCAAAACTTCTTACGCAAGATTTATGTTTCAGCGGTTCCAATTAAAAACTGCCGAAAAAAAGATTTCTAAGTAGGATGGCAGATAAAAATGATGAAAATGCTTTTTTTTCAATTTCTATATTATATTTATTACCTTTTTTTGAAGACACTGTACCGCGCCTAAATATTTGGGAAAAAAATACAAATCATACTTAGAACTGCACTTTCCTCAAAAATATGTCCTCCCAAGCTAACAACACAATCAAAACCAAGGACTCTCTAAGAGGAACTTAGGCACTTGAGTGGTGTTAGACGACAAGATTAATAGAAGGGATAAGTACCGGAAACGGCAGAAAATGAGCCGGCCGAGCCGAGAGTGAGCAAGAGAGTCGCAGAGAACTGACCTCATCTCAAAGCGTCGCTTGGACCACATGCTGCGTACCGGCGTGGTGACCTTCCCGACCGTCTCCAACTTCCTTCTCGACATTCTTTTGCGCTTTTGATTTTTTTGTCCATACTCTCTTTTTCCCGCAAAAAATGTCAAGAGAAAGCCGCTTTCTTCAGTTTGCGAAATGATCGCGCGTAAAGTTCGAATTTGAACGTTGGATGCATTTTCAAGAACCTTTTCTTACTTCAAATGACATTATTTTCATTTTTGTGATGAGTTTTCGTATTTTCAACTTCAAAAAATGAACGGGCCATAACATTTCAAAATTTTTCAATTTTCTGCGGTATCTTTATGGAAGATTTTGTTACGGAACCCCCTCATATTAATCTGAAATTTTATTGAAACATCTTTTCCGCTATTTTAAGCTCAAATTTCAGGCCCTACCAGACCAACTACACCTACGCCTTCAGCAAGATTTACGATCCAAGTCTGCCAGATCACTGGGAAGTACCTAACTTGGGTCCTCTCACTATCAAAACTGAGCAGCACTACGCTGCCGCAAGCATCTCTCGTCAGGTACCTTTTTTTTCGAAATTTAATAAACATTTCTGAATTTTTAGGTTTTCGACGTCGTTTGCTATTATCTCTCCGTTTTGCTGACGCCCTTCTACATCCTAGTCCAATTCCTGAACGAAAATTTGCTGGTTCTGTTCTACGACCTTTGGCTATTCCTCACTTACTTGCCTGTCACCCTTTATCGCAGCGTTTCTAGTGGTTAGTCAACTTGCAAATTCAGTCGTTTTTGTTGCTTAGCGCAAACCGTTTTAGGTCGGTTGCACTCTGAAACGTTTAAAATACGCAAAGCTATTTCAACCTTAAGGCAAATATGCCTCTGCATTATTTTTCTAGAATTCTTCAGGCACGTTTTTTGCAGCTTGGAGCAACTATTGGAACGTTCGAACTTACCAGCAGCGCCGTTCTCAATCCATCTTCAAGCGAATTCTGATCATCTTCTATCACTTTTTCGCGAACATCGGCAATTTCACGACCTCTGTCTTGTTAGCGATTTTTGGACCGGCAGGTTTGTATATAGTTCACTTGCCGCTGGCTCGAGTTAAACCACCTACAAACGTTCGCTTGAATTTTCTGAGCGCGTGGAGGTCGCTTCTCCAATTTCCAACCAGTTTCTCGATCAGGACTTTTTGTATCATTCCACCTTTGTACTTGATTCGATTTAGAGTAACTTTTTTTTCGAGAAGGTTCAATGGAAACATTGAAAAAATTACATAGGAATTTATGAACGCATCGAAATGATTAAATGAAGCTGATTTCATAATTTTTGGTGAGATAGGGATGAATATAACAAAAAAATTCAGGAAAAACCAAACTGTAATTTCAGTTTCGTCCTTCGAATACAGCGAAGATCAGGAAAAACGACGAATTCGAAGAATCTGGAAAGGAAAGCTATATGAACACCCGTTCGTCTCGTAGCAATGCTGTTGGTTTTTTTTTTTTTAAATATATTTGTAGCCTACTTGATTCAAAAATTTATGAAAAAGCTTTCAATTCAAACCGCAGCGCGCTGCCCCGTTTACTCGCGACCAAAAATGTCCTGAATCACGCCAACTGAACTCAAAATTCATAATAAATAGGGATATACACGAAAACAAGAAAAGCTCTTTTTCAAACAAAACCGTGTCAGATTCACTCAGATTCAAATAATTAATTTTCAGAATAACGACATCGCTTTCCGACGAGGCCGAATCACCGCTGAGCCTTCTCTGTCTCCTCCTCGCACAAGGATGCCTACTGCTCGGTATGCTGCTCGTTCTGAACTTGCTGGACCAAGTCACGACGTGACTCCGGATCGTGAAGCAACGCCTCCTTCTGTTCGACGCACAACTGCTTCCGAAGGCTATCAGAGAAGAAGTTCTCGTGTCCGGACTGTTGCTGACACCTGGGACTATGAAGATATCACGCGGACTCCAAAACGCAGGACGCCGACGCCCACTAGGAATCGCAAACCGAGACGGTAGGATACACGTTTTCTTTGTTTTCAATGTGGGCTCATGATTTTTTAGCTTATAGTTTGTTCATGAAGGCTTGGAATATAATTTGGAATCACAGGGCTAAGGTTTAATCTCATGCTTACCATAATTATTTTCTTCGTTCTAATAAAGAAAATTGAATGATGAAAGAAGTAGAGATCAAAAAGTAATGTACGATTATTTTTGATTTTTTTTCAAATAAATGGAACAAATTTATTTATTCATCATCTAACCAAAAAAGACAGAAGGTCTAACCACCTAATTTCTTCCTTTTAGCCTCGATATGAACGTTTTTGAAAACGGGGAAGATTCCAATGACCTGTACAGCAACACGAAATACCACACGGAGAACGAAGAAAACGAGAAAATCGAGCAAGAAAGCAACTTTTTCGACGACATCCTGAGTCTTTTCAGCTGGATCCCGCCATTGGTAAGAAAAAACTGACTTTTGGGTATTATCTAAAAATTTATTTGCAGTTGTGGAGAGTGTTCCGAGGATTGGTCTACTGTTTCACGATTCCTTTCTTTGCCGCTCAACACGCTGTCAGCGCTGCTTACAGTACAATCCAGAAAGCGTGAGTTTGTATATAAAGTTTTCAGAACACGGTCGCATGAAAAATGGCTTGAAGCAAAAAAATAAAATGCTCTTTATCTTGAAATGACCATCTCAATCTTTGAGACTGGCGAAAACTTCGAAGAGATTTCCAAAAGCACCACCGCAATGCATCAAACCATTTCAAATGCGACCAGAATATTTGATTTTGAACATTAAAGTCCCATATGAAATTTTTAGATTCCATACTGAAGAGGAAGAAGAATACGCCCCCAGCGGCCATGGATACAATTTGAGATCCTCCAACCAAAAAGTAATCACCTTATTATATAAATTCAAATGATTTTTTTCGCATTCTAGACATGACAAAGGACTCGCCAACACCCTTTGGTCCTACCTCTCCGCTCCATTCGACTTTATTTCCAACTTGTTCTCTTCCGAAGGCACTTATGTGTCTCATGGTAACCGAAGAACTTCGAAAAAAGGGTCCCCGCTTCGTCTTTGGTGGCTCCTGCCTCTGCTTTTGCTGCTTCTCGTCCTATTTTTCCCGAAATTCCAGCAGAATCGAGGTATAAATTTGTCGGAATGAAATAATCAAGGCTCCAATAAGTTTAGCTTTGTTTTCATATCTCCTTTTTCAGATCCTCTGGCGCCAGGAATCGTGGATGAACTTCAAGAAAAAGCTGAAAACGCCTACTACACAGCTGCTGTAAAGTCTCAAGCAAAAGTCGAAAATTGGATTCACGATGCTTCGGGATCTGGTAACTCAAAAACTTCTTTTTACGCAAAAACTCTTAGTATTTCTAGCCAAAACGGTCATGTGGAAAAGTCTCGATGGAATCGCTTATTATACTGCAGAAGTAGCTGGATTCTTCGCCGACATGTTCACTTCCATCAGGGACGCTATTTACAGAACTTGTAAGCTATTTTGCATTTTGATTTTTGAAAAATCCTTTTTCAGGGCTCTACCTCACTGGATTTGTTTGGGGATTTGTCAAGTCTATGGGCGAGACCTTCATAGATCGTTACTTTGATGCTCTGTTTTCCATCAAAAAAACCATCTATAGATATTTTAGTGAGAAGATTTTTTATTTGAACGCTTTTATTTTAGTATTTTTTCAGTTCTACCGATCTACAGATTGAGCACCAGGCTTTGCATAATAATTGAAAGCACTCGTGAGTTTTTTTTTTCTCTTCTCAGAAACACAACCTGAAGTTTGAGGAAGAAAGATTCGAAGAAAAAAAGAGTTACAGACCTAATAAAACTTAGTTCTCTATAACTTATTCTGACTGTTATTTGATCTTGCTAGGTTGCGCCACTAGGTTCTGGTTGCGCGCAAGTTTAATCAAAATTTTGAACCAATAAAAATGTGACAATCCGAAAAAAAAAGTTTTTTTTTTACATCGGACGAGCTATTCAATTTTTAGCATCCGTCATCTACGAAATCGTCAGGTATATCGTGAATGCCCTCCTTGAAATGAGTTAGTTCGATTATTCGTTCAGAAAATTAAAAGAGTTTTAAATTTCAGTAGAAATAATTGGCAGCGCCCTTGTGGATGTACTGCGCGAGGTGTTGATTTTTATCAAGCAGGGACTGCGATTTCTATTGAAGGCTAGCAAGAGTTTTATCAATATTTGTAAGTGGGTTATCGTCAAATTTTCCGACCTTGTAAGACGAGTTGGGTAAGGGTAAAGCGTGATAAAATGTAGAACAAAATAATCATTTTTATGCTTTTATTCGTTCGACGGAATACTTACAATCTCAAAAATCTGAAAAACTGTCAAAAAAGGAATAAAAGGAAGCTGGTGCCCGCCAAAAACCGCGCCGCACACGTAACGCTTTCCCCTTTCCAATTAACCCATCTCGCCTTTCAAGTCGGGAAGGACAGACTATAATAGAGAAATTGGTGAAGAAATTGAATTTCCAGACACTTCCACCTTTTCGACAGTCGTGGATTTGCTTCAAATTTGTATCGAAAATATTTACAAGAATCTTCACTACGCTTGGGCAAATCTCCCATCGGTAAATTCATCTTTTTAGTAGACTAAAATAGGATAATTTCAGCTGCAAAATGTGACTAACTGGGTTCCTTCGATTGCTAAAACCCTCAATGATACCATGCAAACGGTTATTGAACACGTTCCAGTCCCAGAAGTCATTTCGAGAGTCAGAAGCGTTGAAGAGGTGAGCAATACAAGAGAAATTTTATTGCGAAATTTGCTAGACATCGACTAAACCTTTCCCTTAGCTTGAAAACTTTCTCAAAAAGTAGCGGAAAAAAAATAATATTCTCCTTTTATTTTTCAGGGAGAAGAAGAAGACGGAGTAGTGCCGGTCCTTCCCCTATCCATTCCGAACATCCATCCAAACCGAGCTCCTGAACCAGTTCCTATTGATCAAGCGGCTATTGTAGCTAATGTCATGGCAAAGGTAAATTAACAAAATTTTTTTTTAGAAAGTATGAGATTTTTTTAAGGTCCGAGAAGAGATGAAGCTTAAGCTCAAGTCTTTTGAGGAGTCTTATGAGACGATTATTGCAAAGTTGAACTCTCAGAATCTGGAGATCAAGGTGTGTTTCCCACTAGGATGGTTTTAAAATCTAAAAATATACTGCTTTGGAAGCGGCCGCGGTACTTTTTGTGCGCCCGACCCCAAACTAGTCACGCAAAATAGAAATTAAATTTCAGGCCGATTATTCTCAGCTGGAATCAATGGTCAGACAGATGATTCTAGAATATGATGCTGACAAAACTGGCAAAGTTGATTTTGCTCTGGAGAGTTCAGGTAGAAGCTGCTGAAAATGTATTTACTGAGACAAAATTTTTCAGGTGCATCTGTATTGACGACTCGCTGCAGTGAGACCTTTAATACTCACACCAGACTGGAGAAAATCTGGAATATCCCGCTCTGGTACACTTCTTACGGTCCAAGAACCGTGATTCAGGTATTATCTAGGAAAAAATCAGAAAAATTCAAAACTTCTTCAGCGCAACTCAAAGACGCTGTTCCCTGGGGAATGCTGGAGCTTCAAGGGAGATCGAGGCTACATCGCAATTGATCTTTCTCATGAGATCGAGCTTTCCAGCATCAGCTATGAACATATTGGTTAGCATTATCCATTTTCTGAAAAATCGAGAATTTTTCAGGAAAGGACGTTGCCCCCAATGGCGTTCGCTCAAGCGCGCCGCGTAACTTCAAGATTTGGGCAAGTTTTTTGACGTCATTTTGAACAAACTAAAGCTAATGCGATTCGAAAAAGATAACTTTGACGCGCGAGAAGCGGTTTTTCTTGTTAGAGATATATAGTTCATTTTGACTGTGACAATACAGTAGCGCTCAGAAAAGATTGGCCGAAAATTTGGCTCGTTGGCTTTTTTCGCATAAATTAAGCCTAGCCGAAAGCTGAGAAATGTCCCGAGTTCTAACAGGAAAAGCAAATTACTACTTTCTGAAGTTACAAAAGTTTTTTCGCAAATTTTTTTCTCCAAAGGAGCCTAAAAATATTCTGGAAGTTTGAAAATTTCCGAAATCGCAATCAAGCAAAGCTTTTCAGGCCTACAAGGATGTGGACGACATGTCAACTAGAGTCGAAGTCGGCGATTACACTTACGAACTCGACGGCCCTCCTCTTCAGTTCTTCTTTGCTCAGGTGTATAAAATTATTCTTTTGTGTGAATTAATGATTTTTTTTTAGAATCAACCGGACTACCCGGTGAAAAATACTCGAAATGGAGGTCACGAGCAACTACGGAGAGCGCTACACTTGCCTCTACAGACTCAGGGTCCATGGAAAAGCTCTCTCTGCTCCTTAAATATTCTTAAACTTTTTTGAACAACTACCTTACTTCCAAAAAGCTCATCTTTTCCCTTACCTCCCGTTTCCCAATGAAGACTTATCCCTCTTATCTCTGCAATCCATCAAAAACTGGTTTGCTTATATTCTTTCTGCCATTTCTAGCCTTTATGTCATCAACCGATTATTCTTTCTTTAAGGTAATCACCAAATTTTGTTCACTTCTTCCTCTTTTTCCACCGGTTGCTGGTTATATTAATATTGTTGTTGACCACCGGTACACCCGATTTGCACGTTTCTTTTTGATCTACTCTCTTGTTTTCTTTTACATTCAAGATCTCGGTATTTTTGCATTTTGAGTTTTCCATTGTTAATAAACTGTTTTACCGAATTTTCAACAAGAAAAAGCTAAGTTCATGAGCAAACTGTTATTGCTGGAAGGTCTTGAGGGTGTGAAATGCGAGCAAAATGTTCGAAAAGTTTTCGTGAAAAGGAAAATGCTCAAAAGCCTTTTTCTTTAGTTTTTGAGCTACTTTTGCTACCATTATGTAAAAAAAGAAAACTCGATTTGTAGCATTTTTGGAGTCAAATAATTCGAACTTTTCTCCGCCAGTCTTGCCAAAGCATTAGTTCGAGTTCAGTTATTTTGAATGCTGAGTTTTTTTCAATGAATGAAAGTGAAGAAAATCTTTTTTACAGTCTGAAGGAAGTGTGAGAAGTTTAATTTCTCTTTTTCTTGAGGTGCTTAAAACTCGAATTGATGTGAAAATTTTCATTTGTCTTGGAACACACATGGATACAAATGTCCGGTGTTGTCGGCTGAACATCGCGCTTAGCGGCGACGGGTTCCATCCTCGAAGAAGATACCGCCATCGATGGCGCAGTACCTAAAATGTTCGGCTAGTCATCAAGAATCGATCTGTAAAACTCACTTGGGGCAGATTCCTTTCTCTCCTTCCCCACCGGCGTTTCCTGCAGATCCTGGTGGTCCTGGGTTTCCGTCGTTTCCTGGTCCTCCAGCGGGTCCGGGTGGTCCTTTCGGTCCTGGTTCTCCTGGCTGACCTTGTCCGCCTTGTCCGTCTGGTCCTGGTGGTCCTGGGGGACCTGGTGGCCCTTGTGGTCCAGGCGCAGCTTCAGTTGGATAGCTAGTCTCTCCAGCTGGACCTGGTTGTCCGGCAGATCCTGGTTGTCCGTCGTTTCCAGCTGGTCCGGCTGGTCCTGGAGGTCCTGGTGGTCCAGCGGAAGATGGTGGAGCTGGGGAACCGTCAGGTCCTGGAGATCCTGCATTTCCAGCGGGTCCGTCTGGTCCTGGTGGTCCTGGCGGTCCTGGTGGGCATGGCTGGCATGGTGGTGGAGTGCTAGCTTCACATGGCGCGCTGGCTCCTTTTCCTGGATTTCCAGGCATACCGGCGGCTCCAGGCTTTCCGGGCTTTCCTGGCTTTCCTGGACTTCCGCCTGGTCCTGGTGGTCCTGGGTTGCAGCAGCCAGAGCATCCGCCACCTCCTCCAGCTCCAGCTCCAGCAGCAGCGGCAGCGTAGCCTCCAGATCCGGCTCCTGCGCCGGCTCCTCCGCCGCTCGCGTAACCGCCACCCCCGGCGGCAGCTCCTCCGCCGCTAGCGTATCCACCGGCACCAGCTCCAGTTCCTCCTCCGCTTGCGTATCCACCGGCACCAGCTCCAGCTCCTCCTCCGCTTGCGTAAGAGCCGCCGCCGGCACCTCCAGCTCCTGAAGCGTAGGCCTGACGAGCAGTCCTGTTGTGAGCCGTCATCTTGACGTCCGACAGCTCAACCCAAATGTCTCGCACAGATCCCTGAAACAGTTTGAGATTAAAAATTTGAAATTTATTTGAGGTTCTGAAGGTTTTAGTCTTTATTTATTGAGAAAAATGAACTCGTAAAAAGGAATATCCTTTCTCCGAACAAACATTTGATATTCTCCCGCTATTTGAACGTTCTCAACATGTTATAAGTTGTAAGAAACGACACAAAAAAGAAAATCTGTTTTCTTTTCTTTTTGATTCTTCAAATATTTTGGAGTTCCAAGGAGAATCTTCTAAGCACAAATAATGTCTTAAAAGTCTTCGATTTTTTAAAGAATTTTATTTGTACTTGATATCAAAATGTCTCATGTTTTAGTTGCGATCTCAATAAGCCTTAGGGGAAATCTTCTAGGAAGCAGAAAGATGATAAACTAAATGAAAAATCAAAAAATGGCGTAAATGAGTAAATACAAACCTTGCAATACAATGAATCTTTGGCAAGTTGTGCCTTGGTGGTGTTGGCATAATTGTAGATGAGAGGCAAGGTAAAGCAAAGGGAAACGGCGGCAAGAAGTGAGAATGAAACGGCCGAATAGGCAATGTACTTGTAAGCCTTCAACCGTAGGTCAATGTATGAGTCCATGTTGGGGACCGTCTGAGTGGAGTGCTGCTCTTCGCTTGCTGCCGCCCTTTTATACGAGTTTGTATTTCTGTTTGTTGTTGATTCCGAAACCAGTAGTGCTTCTGAAAGATGCTTGGCGAGATAGAGAGACGCCGAAGAAGCCGTGAAAATGTATGCGGTTCCAGTGTTTTTCGCTTCAATTTACCGTTTTGAGTTCATTTCTCTTTTATTTCTGATTCAAGAATTCTTTTTGTCTTTCTCGGAAAGGTCGTCTTTTTTTCATAGATAAAAATCTTCGTTTTTTGAGTTTGTAGGGATTTCACACTTTTTCAGAGCTTTTCTATAGTATCATATTCAAGACATCGAATCGTGAAAAATACAGAAATTTTTCAGTTTTCCTTCCCTCAAATTACCGTTCCAAGTTATCATGACATAATTTTTATTGAGACCTTCGTTATAAATGTTAACTTTTTCAAAGAGAATACAAAACTGAGGCTTTTCTTACAGTTTTTTATTGATTTTAATAAATACAGAACCCTCAAATTTTCAAGAAAGACTTCGTATACAGGAATTTTTCTTCATCTTCTCCAGAGTCCAAAATGTTTTTTTTTTGCTTCCAAAGAAAGTTTCATAGAATAATGTTTTCATCAAACGTTCTTCTTCAGCCTGGAAGCTTTCAAGTTGTCACGTGATTTTTCCCTATTTTCAAAAACCTCCATCGTTCATATCTTCTTTTCTTCCGTCTCAAAACCGTTATATTTCCCGGGAAAAACTCTTCTGAAAACGTCAAGTTCCACTTTTCCCGAGCGTGACGACTTTGGGTCGATAGAAGAAAACTTCCTAGAAACTTGCGGTTAACCGCGGAAGCAACGGCGCCGCAGTAATACTTTTTTTTTCTCCCGATTCGGTAGCCATTTTTCGCAACCAAAACGCCCAACACTTTTTCTTCCTTCTCGGGATGGCCGACTATAAAACGGCCGTTCTCAGGAACGAAAACAGTTCGGCAGTTCTGCTCGTCTCCTAGCAAGGTTTCCTTCCCTTTCTCTTTTTTTTCTGACTGGAGATTTTTTCAGATGTCTTACGCCGTTGTCATAGCCGGAACGGCTTCTGTGGTCGCCACGATGGCCCTTCTTCTCTCTGTTGGCAGCATCATCTCAGATCTGACTGAGCTTCAGAACGAGATCCACGATGGTCTTAATGACTTCAAGGTAATTTCTTTTGAAAATCATCGGATTGTAAAAAAAATGGTGGAATCTTGCAGGTGCAATCCGAAGTGACTTGGTCGAAGATTCTCCACCTCCACAGCTACCCAACTGGAGAAGTCTCCGCGCCACCAACCTACAACACCTTGTTTGGACGCCACAAGCGTGACAACAGCCAATGCCAGTGCGGACCAACTTCTCATGGATGTCCAGATGGACCACCAGGGCCCCCAGGACCTGACGGAAACCCAGGTCACGATGGAACACCAGGAGCGCCTGGCAAGCCTGGCCGCAGCGGAATCTCTGTCCTCACCGGCGATCATTCTTCCGACGAATGCATCTCTTGCCCAGCTGGACCACCAGGACCGGCTGGACCTGACGGAGAAGCTGGACAAGCTGGAGCCGACGGAAACCCAGGACAACCAGGAGCGCCAGGAGCACCAGGAGCCCCAGGAGCTGACGGACCAGTTGGAGACAGCGGCAAGCCAGGCCACATCGGAAACCGAGGAGCGCCAGGACCAGCTGGACAACCAGGAACTGTCTACGCTCGCGGAGTTCCAGGAAAGCCAGGACATCCAGGAGAGATCGGACCAGTTGGACCAGCCGGAAACCCAGGAGCTCCAGGAAACGACGGAGCCAACGGACAAAACGGAGAGCCTGGAACGCCTGGACAGGACGGAGCTCCAGGAGCCGACGGCAACCCAGGAGGCCCAGGAGTCGACGGAGGACCAGGACCAGATGCCGCCTACTGCCCATGCCCTGGCAGAACCGTCTTCGCCGACTAGAAATAAATGGATCATTTTATGTGTCAAGAATAATAAAAATATCATTTTTGAGTTTTGTTCGATGAGAACGATCAAGAAAAAGTTATGGTGAACTTTGAAGTGCGAGAAATAAGCGAAATTGCTTGATAAAAAGAGCCTCTTAAAAAGGATTTTAATGGATTCAAAAATTCAAAAATCTGAAAAAAATTAAATCTTTAAAAAAATGTTGAGATTTATTGATTTCAAGTAGAAAAAAATTCTGATTTTTGAATGTTGAAATATGTGAATCCCCTTTCAAAAATATCTCGGATCAAAAATTAGGATGCTTCAAATTTTTTTATAACCTGCTTCCAAGAATTGTTTAAAAGTTTGCAGTACAAAAACACGGCTTCGAATTCCAAGAAAAAAACCGCTAACTCGGAAAAAAAGACATCACAGTTTTCAATTTTCATTCTCAAATCATAGTTGAGAATCAAGGCTTTTTCTGAATATTCAAAAATTTTTTTCCACGCATTTTTTTGTTAAAAATCGAAGTTAACTGATTGAGAATAAAAAAACGAAAAAGCTTCATATGAAAAAAATTGAGAAGTTATTATTATTTTTTTTATAAAATTTGAATATTTTTTTCCCATTTTCCATGCCACCATTTCGAATAAACTATTTACCACAAACTGCTTTTGAAAAACTCTTGAATTTTTTCGAATAAATCGTCTTTTGTTTGAATTAGCCGTAATCAAACAACGAATAAAGCAAACAGAACCCGATTGTCAGTCGAACAAGGAATTCGCTGTAAAATCAATGCGTGACAGGCCGTTTCTGGTGGAACCGTTTAGTGAAGTGCCAGGGCTGTTTATTAGAGCGAGAACGGCCTGCTTTTTTTTTGGTTGGACCCCATATAATGATGACGGTTGGTGGTAGGAAATAAAAGGAAAAGCTTATTAATCACACAGGGAACGGAGGTTTTGCGTGGACGATAAGAAGAGGAGCAAAAACAACATATAAATCTTAAGTAGTGACATGAGCGATACGCAATAGGAATTATACACGCAAAAAGAGAAAAAATGGTGTCAGGGCTTTTTTTAAAAAGTTAGAGTTCATTCCAAATAGACTTGAACCAGTATTTTTAAAAAAATTAAATTATTAACGATTGCTAGATGTATAGTACTATGACTAGAGATAGCCATGAATGGGATTGAAAACTTTTTTTCCGAGGAAAATTTGGAGCGCTTTTTATGAACTTTCAAGCAATTCGTACCTTTTGTATTCTAGAAGCCTTGTCTTTACATGAAACCAATTTAAAAAATTCTGTCAAAATTACACGACACGAACTTCTAGCAGAAAAGATCTTCACAACTTGTATTTTTGTCTGGATTCAATTTTTGACTTCAAAAATATGTTGGATAAAAACTCTACTTTCAAAAATGTTCTTATTTGCTTGAGAACTCTCTGAAATATTTAACAGACTCTATTCAACGGGAAAATCTTTTGAATCGCATATAAAATCCACCAAAAGTGCAAGGAAGCAAGAACGAGGTTTTTTCAAATTTTCAATGACAAAAAGTCAAAATTCCATACAGCTCTTGGTTTCGCAGATTTTTTTGTGTAGCCTTATTAATGGGTAGAAAAAACTTTTAGGTTCGCTCACATAAATAATATTGCACATATGAAAAACTTTATTACAAATACAAATAGAAAATTTTACATTTCAGCATAAAACAACATTCTTCCGTTGCGGGGCACTTTCTCGGACTTCTGGGATGAACGGAGGAACCAAATACTCGTCCTCAACCAATCCGAGCTCGATGTGACCAAAATCGTGCGAAAAACGGTAGCAGAAGACGCTGAGCCATTCGATGTCGTAAATTGTTTGATTTCCCGCCAAACGGATGATAAAATCTTGATTCGAGATGTCTTCTTTCATTGCGCAGTGCCTGGAAAAATTATTTTTTTCTTATATTTTATTGAAATTACTCATTTTAGGCCAGTTAACAAAGCACTGAGAAATTCCTTAAAGTTAAAAAAAGTGTTTTTTTGCGTTGTTATTTCGTTTAAGTTTTTTTAAAACATTAAATACCGATTTAGAAAAATTTTTCTAAAAAAATAACGTCGAAAGTACTTGTGCGGTTCGTCCTTGCCGACAATGAGCGCTTTTTTGCCAGTCATTTGATCGATTTGGTCTCCTTGCCCGGCGAAAAACCAACCATCTGAAATGAAAGTTGAGAATGTCTGGTAAACATTGTAATTGAATTTCAAAGTTTATAAATAGATAAGGGTTAATTTGGTGGTATAAATGAGGAAAAAGGAAACAGAAGCGCTGAATGCTTTTTTTCTTGATTATGTGCTAGAGGCGGCGTTTTTCTTTTTTTAACAGCCGATTCGAAGGCTTTGAATAATCAGAAAAAGGTTTTTTTTGAGCAAGATCTTTTTTTATTCGATAGTCTATTCTCAAAAAGGTTATTCTAATAAAGTAGCTCTTTGATTCCTTTATTTTTTTGCTTTAATTTGAAAGTAATAGAAAACCTCGTGGTTCTTGCTCATCTTTTTCTTAAGAAATTCTAAAAAATCCTTAAAAATAACATTGAATGAACCTTTCTCCATCCCAAGCTAATGAACATTCTAAATGAACTGTGAAACGTCATTTTGTTTACAAAACCAAAACCCCCACTCCCACACTCTTATTTTTGCACTTGTGAGCAAATATTCACCTGGCGTCCGTGATGCCTTGTAGCTGAAGCCGGCAATCGACAGAGTTTTCGAATCCAAAACCTCGATTGGGTCGGACGCAATCCCGTATTCCCCATGTAGTCCCAAGCCTGGCTCTTTTTCAAAGCAACAATACGGTTTCGGCACCTCCTTATCAATCGAAACAGCCGATAGTGTCTCCTGAAATCGTTAAAAGTTTTTTTTTTGCGATTTTGGTTGTTTTAATCAGAGAATCTGTCATTTTCAGTAAGGCTGAAATTGAGTTTTTCATTTTATTTTGTTCCTTCGTTGCCGAGAGTTAAACTTAGTTATTACCAATTTTTGAATCTCTTACATTATGTTGATTATTTTTTTATGATACAGAGCATTTTATAAAAAATACATAAATGAATTAATTAGAATGGAGCACGATGAATACGAGAAAAAAATTAGTAATATGCTAATTTGTCCTCACTTTTGATTTCGCTTATAAAAAAATTTTTCAGTAGGGATTCCAAAAGAAACCAATTGAACCAGGCATGCTGAACACAATGGAAATAATCAGAAAAATAAAAAAATAGTGTAATTTTTCTTAATTTAATCGATATAAAGATAACGGAGATAAAGATGGTTGTTGTTCATAGAGCGCAATTTCCAGCCGATTCTAATGAAAATTATCTTCATTATTTTCAAATAACCTTTTCATTTTCATTATAATCAATTTTAACAGTTTCAAATTTTAAAAATCTTCAGAAATACATGAATGATTCCAATAGAACCGACCACGCTGAATCCGATGAGCATCATGAAAATTTTCAAAAAGATTCTATTTTCTTATTTTAATTGAAAGAAAATTAACAAAAATATAGAATGTGGTTGTCCATGGGGCACGCTTTCCTTTCCAAGAGCCGTTTCGTTTGAACTTGTTTACGCTCGAGTTTCCTCTTGTTGACATTGAATTCTCCCTTTTTTTGGCGCTTGTTATTTTAGTGACCGAGCTCTATTTCACCTCATTTCTCTTTCCCATTGATTAGTTTCTGGTCAACAAGAACCACTTTTCCGTTTTTTTCGTATTTTTTTCATTTATTTTTTTACTTCAAATTGTAAATTTTCAGTGTAAATTTCATGGTCGCGACGAAAATATGGGTAATATTGTTAGTTTCTTTGGCTTCCGAAGTTTCTTCGAAGTTTGCGGAGGATCGAGAAAAATAAGCGGAAGATTGCCGCCATTCCACCTCATATCAAGGTTTTTGAATTTATTTACGCCTGGCTTGAGAAAAACTTTAAATAAAGGTCTTGTAACTTCGCAAAAATGTATTTGATAGTTTTTTAGAATTTCATCCTTTTGTTTTATTTTCAAAGTTTTTTCAGACTTTAGAAGTTCTACAAGTTCCGCTGCGCATCAACTGTTCAGTACCAATGTGTAAAGGACCGCTATCACAAATTTATTGCTACGGGGATATTTTGACGGCCGCTTGGCAGTTTGGACTGCAGAAAACTTGTCCCGGAGACAAACTGAGGGTGCCGGCGGAGGACGTTCTGACCGCATTTTCTAGGTTTTCAGTCAGTTTATATTTTCGATAAATCTACTGATCCAAAAGTCCATATTTTTCACAACGTTTGATAAACTGCGTTCTAGGGATAAGTTAAATAAAATCCTTTATATTGAAGCTTCCCTGTAGAGAATTTATTTTTCAGGCTTTCCTACCCTCTACACCGAGATGTCTTTCAAAATTTCTGTAAAGAAAGTTTTGAAATAACTACTTATCTTCAACCGACAAATTTAGTCGATTGGAAGGTTCATCCACCGTTTTTGAACAATATAACGGATCCAGATAGAAAGTAAACTCACAATGGAGAAAATTCAGTTCATAATACAATTTTTTAGGAAATTGGCAGCAACTCTTCACGAGAAATGGAGTTTCCTGGCCAGAAAAGTAGAAAGAAGAGTATTCGAAAATAGGGATTTATTTCCAATTTGGCCGGTTAAATATCCTTTTGTGGTTCCTGGAGGACGTTTCGATGTTTATTTTTACTGGGACATGTACTGGATTGTCAAAGGTAAATATTTATTTCAACAGAGAGAGATCGAAGTTCTTTTTTCAGGTCTTTTGGTTTCTGAATTAAATACGACAGTTTGGGGAATAATCGAGAATTTCCATTCGATCGTGCAAGAACACGGCTTCATTCCGAATTCGGGAAATATCCAGTGAGTTTTTTCACTTTTTATATCAGCTAATATGAGAACAAAATCCAAAAAACACTATTCATGGCTTCGAATTTGCAAATAACTTTGTTTCACTGTTTCAAGTAGTTTTCCTCTGAAGATTCATCAGAAAGAGATGAAACCATGTGCCAAAAAATCGGAAAAGTACGAAATCTACAATTTTCTGAGTTTTTTATCACTTTCCTGTTTCAACCGACATTCTTTAGGCTATCAAGGCGGACTCAACCTCCCTTATTCATACACATGATCAACGATTATGTGAATAAAACTGGAGACACAAAATCGCTAAGTAGATGGATGACTTCGATGGAAAAAGAAATGGAGTTCTGGTTCAAAAATAGAACAATAAACCTTCCTGCTGGAAAGCTTTTCCTCTACAGGGTGAGCTTGAAATGTTTTCATTCAAAGAAATGATTTTAGAGCGAAACAGATTGCCCAAGACCGGAAAATCTGCTAGGAGATTACGATTTGGGAATCAATTCGAGTAATCCGAGAGCAACTTGGCAATCTATTGCCTCGGCTTGTGAGAGTGGATGGGACTTCAGTTCAAGGTGGATGGATAGAAGCGGCCCTAGAGCTTGTAAGTTTAGGTTTTTTAAGCTCTAACCTTACATGATGCTCTCACAGCTTGCTAAAAATTAACTTAAAGATATTTTAATTGGCAAAAGAAGCTTCCTATGATTTTACGGAAAAAAGCAAAGTTTTAGATCATCAAACTTTCCCGTTTCAAACAAATTTTTCGATGGTCTTTTTTCCTGTATTTGATACTTAATGGTTTTTAGTTTGATCAACTTGCTTTTCTGAAAAACGGGTTTGTTTTTCAGACGACCCTGCCACCATCCACACAGCCGACATCGTCCCAGTCGATTTGAACGTATTTATGGCGCGAAATATGGCCTACTTGTCAAATTTCCACAAAATCTTGGGAAATAAAACGTCACTCTCTTAGTGATTGAAAAATAACTTTTATTCGTTTTTAGAGCTTCTGAGCAGTATTGGAAGAAGTTCGAAGAGATCCGAGACACTTTACATTCAGCTTTTTGGGTGAAAGAGACTGGCGCCTGGTTTGACTTTGATCTGACCACTAAAAATCATAGGTAATCCGAGGAGCATAATTTTGGAAATATTTTGAATTTCAGCTCATGTTTCTCGCCTTCTAATATATTTCCTTTATTGCTATCCGGCCTGAACAGATTTGATTCGGAAATCGAAAAATATGTGAGATCTACCGGGATTTTAGACTATGATGGTTCGTTTTCTTTCTGAACTTTGTTTATAGCCTGAACTGAAAAAAACATTTTTAAAATCATGGAATTCAAAATTTTCAGCCGGTATCCCTACAACTCTGAATGTACCTTCTGATCAGCAATGGGATTTTCCAAACGTTTGGGCTCCAAATCAACATTTGCTCATTGAGAGCTTCAGAGCCACTCAAAATAAATTCTTACACACGGTGAAAAATAAATTAAGATCTTATTTTTATTTTTTGAATCCTAGGCAGCTAATGAGCAAACGGACAAATTCGTGAAGGCGGTCTACAATGGGCTTTTCCATCCACCTCCTGGAAAGGTATGAAATTATAAAAATGGAGAGGAATTTGTTTGGCTGAAAAAGTTCTATTGCTTGTGAAAGATGCTAAATTTTTAGAAAAAAAAGGCTATTGAGAGCTTAAAAAGCTCAAATTTTCTTTTTGACTGTAAGAACGAGAAAAATTCTAGAATGACGATTTGAGCCGCTTATGGTCCAAATCCCCTTAAAAAATGACTTATTTCAGATCGGTTCAATTTGGGAAAAATACGACGCTCGAAGTACAAGCGGAGCTTCTGGTGGCGGTGGAGAGTATGAAGTTTAATTCACTATTTTTCGAATGAACTCTGATGAAAAAAAATTAAAGGTCCAAGAAGGTTTCGGATGGACAAATGGCGCGGTGATGGATATGGTTTGGAACAATCGAAACACGCCTAGAAGAGGTGTTATATCAAATTTGAAGCTTAAAAATGGGGGTTTATCGACTTCAGATCCTCCAAATAGGGATATTTTCTCGAGTCCTCTCCAAGCAACGGTCATTATTGGATTGTGGACTTTGTCCGCTTTGATGGCTTTGTGGTACGTTGTTTTTTCTGTACAAAGTCGTAAAAAGTTTTTTTGCAGCTTTTATCATAGAACATGTAAAAAAAGAATATGAATGTCATGATTGAATTATAAAAAAATTTTAGTGTCAAATTCAAAAAAAAAGATGGGGAAAAGTTTCGAATTTGAACTTCGATGCTGTAAAACCTCAATAAGTGACTTTTGAATAAAAAGCTCATATCGTTACATAATTTTTCAAGAAATAAAATTGTTGGTTTCTGTTTTTTTCCCAAATCACTTCGCCGTTTCAATAAACTAAAAAAGTTACAGGTTTGTCGTAGCTACTTGCTGCAAGAAAACCCGACCGAATCACCTGGATTCTGAATCTCAAGCCTCCAGAAGCCTTCTGAGCAACATGGAAGATGACGACGACTTTTAAATTTTAAATTTTCACTAGTTTTTTCTATTTTTTGTACATTGGTTCACATTATTCACTTCTTTCTGAGCTCTTGCATTTTTTCACAAGTTTTTTTATCGTTATAAGTTTTGAGCTTCCAAGAAACTAGAGGTCGCTTCAAAATCTGAAAACTTTTTTTTGAATGTTGAGTGACTATTTAAGGGAAACGTTTTCCGGTCTGCTTTTGAAGCAGTTATTCAAGGGTTCTTCCTTATGAATCATGAAGAATATTTCTTTTCATACATTTTTTTGAAAGCTGAAGTAAGGCTGAGATTTGATAAAAAGTAATCGCTTGGGATTTTTTCTTTTCTTAGAAAACTAACCTATGTTTTCGAAATTCCTCAAGTGGTTTCTTGAGTGAAATGAGAGCTTCTCACCAAATTGTGTTCAAATTGTTCATCCCTTTGAGTTATAACCATTAGAAACCGCGAATTGAGAATTTTTTTCATATTTAATTTTTTTGTGGAACATAATTTTGTATAATAATGATAACCCTATAGCGACCTTTAGATTCTTCAAATTTTTTTCAAATGTGATATTTTGGCCCCATTGGATTGCCTCGAAACGGGTTACCAATCTTAAACTCGGTTCTTTTTCTCCACATGTCTTTGCAAAAGTTTCATATCTTTCTTTCCAACAAATGCTGTGCGATTTCCCCCGCTTTAGTCTTTTCTTTCCTTTGAATTACATTTTCCTTTCGAAAATAAAAATAAAACCAACTAATTTGGTGTTGACGATTGCGAATTGTCTCCATTGCGCAGCTGAGCCCGGCATTTCCACCACAAAACGTTCAGATTTTCCTCCTCGCTTGCCGATGCTCGTCCTGAAAATTTTTTTCAATTCTTTTTGAAACAAGGATGTGTCCCACGTTTTTTGCAACCAATCGCCATTTGGATCCGTGTGATAGACGTACACGTTTTTTGGCTTTTGTTTGTCTTTCCCATTTAAAAACAGGAATGGGATAGCTGGAGCATCTGAAAACTTGACATTGAAGTTGAATAGCTGGATAGTTTATTCACAAATAGCTCAAGAAAATAATTCTGAGAATAATATTTAATCGTTAAAACGCGCCAGACTTCGAACGGTTTGCGCTTCAGAGGTTCAAAAATGATTTTTCTCTCAAGGAGAGGCTTTCAACCATTCCAAATGCGCAAAAACCTCCTTATTCGAGTTTTTCTAATCGTACCGATTCCAGAGTTTACGGAGAAGTCAACGATCTGGATATGTGTAGCGTTGACGAGGTAAACTTCTGATTCTAGAGAATAAGCTCGATTTTCAAATGTCCCAAGAAGACTTCCGAAGTAGTCGGCGGATGCGAAATCTGGAAATTTAGAATCATTTCGCCAGCCAGAAATCAGTACTCACCACATAAGCTGAAAATTAAGAAGATGAATGATGAAGTAGACCGCATCCAGTTCCTGCAAGAAGGAAAAACTTTGAAAACTGAAGAGAAAGTCGGATAAAGGGGTCAAAGTGACAACAAAGTAGGTTTACCGTCGTGACACCTTTCTTTCTATGGATCGAGGTTACTATAAGCAGGTTTTTTCGCAACTGGTTATTCTTAAATTTTGAGAGAATTTCAGAAAAAAGTTGAAAGCGAAAAAGGAGGCTGGCAGAATTTTTGATGCAGTTTTACACTGAAACCTCAACCTTGGCGCCCTCGTTTTTCTTGTCGATTTCAAATTCCCTCACTAATTTTCCATCAATTTGCTTACACATCACATGAAAAAACGTTGCGATTTCTGTTTGCTTGGTAGGGAAACAAGTTTAAACGAGGGTTTCCTTGAGAAGGTTTTCAGAGAAGTTTGAATTTGAAGACGAAATGGCGAATTGGACGAAAATTTGAATTATCTGGACATTTTTAACTCAAAATTCAACTGGAAGTTCAAAGTTCCCGAGCTTTCATAAACTCAAAAAACCGCTCAATATACCCTCCGCAAAGACCAAAATTTCAAACGGCTCTTTACGACTTCCGTTTAAAGTGCAGCTATTTCGGCCTCTGCTCAGGCTTCCAAGTTTCCACATTTTTTTACGAAGATGTTTAATTAACAAGTTTCATGAAGGAATTGCTTTTTTTGCGAAGTTTGGATGCGAATTGTGTGACAAAAACGGTTCGGAAAAAAATTTGAGCAAATTTGTAAAAAAATTTTTTTTGTAGTTTTTTTCTTTTTCGATTTATAACAAGCCTTTTCAGATTTTGCTCGTTTTTCTTGTCGATCATCTGAATCCAAGTTCCACGGAAGTTGAAGATATCAAATCCATTTATCGCTAAAGTAATTGATATCGCTTATTAAGTGAATTTGTGAGTGAAAAGAAACCATTGTTTCTATGAAAATTGAGCTATTTAATGTGCTTTTGCTTGCTTTCTCCCCGCTTTCTAAACTCAAATATCTTGGAGGTCAATAAAAAATTAAGTTCACGTGACTGATCTTGCTTAATGAGAAAGCTTCTTTAAAAATGTAGGAGCCCATAGCTCATTGCAGCTATTTCCGCTCCATTGAAACACTGGACAAAGTCCTCCAGACGGCCCAAAGGCTTTTAAGATAACATTCCGATGCGCACCGATAACATCAGCTCTTACCGTCGCGACGATCAGCCGATCGCGACGCTAAGAGCCGCGGAGCCGTCGACCCCGACGCCCTCCAAGATCACACGATCCCTCACCCGAGCCCACGCTCTATTGAAAGCCAATTATAACTTTCAAGCTTTCAGGGCCGCCGTCGACAACTATAAAAGCCCGCCACGACGACGGCAGGACAAGACCGGGGACCGGCAACGGACCCGCAGCCCACCACTCGACACCGCCATCCCATTTTGATTCAATATTTTATTTTATGATTTAATTTGCCATTTTATTAATGAATCTTTTCAATCCATGAATGAGCGATGCGGCAATGAAACCACGGCAAAGAGATCGGGGGCCACACAAGCCCCGATCTCTCACTGGTAGCAGCTCAGGTCGAATCCAGCCGGTGGCCATTGCGCCCCTCCTTTAACACCTTTAAGACCCAGCACGAAATTTCCTTGCCACGTTTGCTCAGTCATTTTTTTTCTCTCTATCTTCAAAGTCACCCCTTCTCTCCTTTTTCTTGCCGCCCTTGTTCGCTCACCCCACCGCTGGCGGAATTTCCGTCCGCTTCAAAGGCCTGCGCAACCTTTCGAAGCGTTGGTCGGAGCCTCCATCCTCCACCAGTAGTAGGCATGGCGGCCTATTTCGGTAAGTTTCTTTATCTCTGGTGAATGCCGTCCCTCCCCGTCTTCGAGAGCTCTTTAAATCGCGTTAGTCGCACTTTAAAAGCGTTAGTCGCACCTCAAGGCGTTTGTCGCCCTTTAATAGCGTTTGTCGCCTCTCAATCACGTTAGTCGCATCTCGCGTTAGTCGCATCTCAACAGCGTTTGTCGCACCTCATAGGCGTTAGTCGCACTCAAGGCGTTAGTCGCATTCAAAGGCAGAGTCGCTGCAGCACTCCCCTTCTCCTCAAAATCAAGCGCGCTTTTCGTGGATCAAAAGATCATGCGGTTCGAATCTTTTAGCAAAAAAAGCACAAGCGTGCACGCCGTCCTTTTTGTTTATTACACAAAACAGTACGCGGCTAGAGAGGTCATTGCACCCTCTCCCCTCAACACTCCCTCGAGTTACATCTGTGTCACCTCTCCGACAAATCTTTTTGTTCTTTCTTCTTATTTTCACCCGTTCGTCACCTTTTTTTTGGCTCTCTTTCGTTCTCAGCCCTCTCCTTCGACTTTTCAAAATGGCTCCCTACGCCAATCGCGTTTCGTTTTCTTTTCCTTACGCAGAACCCGGGTAACTTTCGTTCTTCTTTCAGAGCATATGCCCCCGCCCGAAAGCCCGCCTGAGACCATTGTGCCTCAAGATTTTTCCAAACCAGTCAAGCTACTGACTGCCAAAACGCTAGAAAGAACGGCCGACCAAGCAATCGCGAAAATCATCGACGTAAAAAACTTAAAAAACGCGGTCGTCCGTGACTTTGTTCACACGCATCACATAATTCAGAAAATCACTGAGTCACAAAACGCCAAAATCAACACGATTAAGAACGATTCGTCAGCGGCCCCTCCTCAAGAAATCAGCATCGCCGCTTCAGACAACAGTTCCGACGACGACAACGGAGGCTTCCTCTCACCCACCGGCGTAGTGACGCCGACAAAGGCCGCGACCTCATTGCAGGTCGCTTTGAACTCCCCCGCCTGCCCAGCTAGCCTCAAGCCCAGCACTCAGTCAGCATCCTCGCTTCAAGCAGTTTTGAATTTAGCAAGCACGCCGACCGTGATACATGCACAGGCCACGCTAACGCCCCCGCCACAGGTCGCCACACTCTCGGGCCCCACGCTCGCCAGCTCACCAAAACGCGCTTCGTCGATGACCTCATTGCAGGGCACCCAAGTTACTCAAGCCCCCGTCCAAGCTGCGTCAGCAGCGCCTCCAAGAGTCAACGTCCTGAGCATCGACTACCGAAACAGAGGTAACCTTCATTCTTTCAAAGGCTCACCTCAGGAAGATTTTTCTGCTTTTATCAGAGCTTTCGAAGATGTAGTCAACACTTACGAGACGCCACTCACGGACTCCGCGAAGAAAGCTCACCTGCTCACCTACTTAACCGACAACGCAAGAGATCGCGCAGAAGAATTCCTCACAGCAAACGCCTCAGCTAAATTCGACGATCTAAAAATAGCACTGGAAGGAGCCTTTCAGGACCCGCTTCGCGCCGAGCTGGCCAGACAACAGCTACGAAACTGCTGTCAGGGAGCTTCCGAGACAGTCGACGACTTCACGAACAAGGTCAAAAAGTTAGCCAACTCAGCCTTCAAGCAGCAAGGACGCAAGACGGTCAACGAAAAATGCCTCGAGGCCTTCATCGACGGATTGAAATACGACATAAGGTTCCATGTGAAAGCCGCCGCTCCAAGAGATTTTCAGACAGCTGTAAGTACAGCCCTGCGCTATGAACTTTGGTTGCAGGAAGCAGTAAGGGCCAACACAATCGCGCCATCCCTCGTCCCCGTGGCCATGCTCCAGCCCCCAGCACCAGCTTTTCCTCAGCTGGATCAGCAGCAAGCTCCGAAGTGTTTCTACTGCGCTCGGACAGGACACCTGGTTCGTGAATGCAGGACGAGAATGCGCGACTTCCAGCAACAGAATAGGCAATATAGCGATAGAGGTGACTTTAATTGGAACAACAACCAGAACCGCGATTACTCGGGAAGACCCCGGGACCCAGTTTTTAATCATCAGATCCTGCCTCCTGGCCAATCGCGCCAGTTCAACCAATCTTGGGGAAATCAGCCTAACGTACAAGCCATTCATCCCGAGCCGAACGCCTCAAGAGCCGAGGACCTTGCGCTGATCGAAGCGCAACAGCAGCAAATCGAAGCGCTTTTGAAAAGAAACAATGAAATGTTTCAGAATCAGCCAATGGGACACTAGGAGCCAAGAATCAACGTCTCCCACGCCTATACAAGGACCCCGCAGCCTTCAGCTTCACTTCTCCGCTCTAAGGCTCTAATAGGGTTAGTTCTGCTTTCATATTATTATTTTTTTTGCTCCTTTTAACTGTTGGAATTCTCTGACCTGCCCTCCGCACTCTCCTAGATCTTGTTTTGAGATTTCGCCTAAACTTCCTTGCTCTCAGCTTTTTGGAACCGACTCCTCAACTGTACAACGCCTCTCTCTCTATCAACCCGGCGAACAAACTCAAAATGCTTATAAATCTAGTGCGCATCTTTGTAAAATAATTCAGTGTACATCCTCTTATTAGGTAATTTTTTTTCTCGGCGCACGTTACAAACTCACTTTTTCTAAACAACGCATTGGAAGACTGACAAATGATGATTCATCACAAGCTCTGCGCCTTTGGCAACCTCTCCTTCTCTGACAGCCTGGTAATTTTTAGAACTAAAACGTTTCTTTTTGGCAAAGAATCAAACTTATCTTGGACAGAACATTTTACGTTTAAACAGTTTTTGTCTGAGTAACAGTCCTTTTTCTTCTGTTATTTTTGAGACTGTCTCTCCTCGCCGACTCGGCCATTGGGCCTAGCATTTTCTATTCTATCTCGACCGTCGAAAGTCGAACCACCAACGGTAGTCATTTCAAACACCGAATACTTCGAATTTGATTACTCTCAACTCGTTCAGTTGGTTCCTCGGAGCCATCCGATCAATACAGTTCAAAAGAATTCAAAAAAAAAACTCAGTACAAATCGCAAAAAAAAGTGACATTGAGATCCAAATCGGTTCCAAAACTTTCAGGCAAACGGATCCTTTCACGAAGGAACTCTAAACCCCAATCGTCGCTTCATACGGTTTCATCCTCGGCGAAGTCTTCCTCCAGAAGCTTCTAAAGTTCTTTCTGGACTATCAAAACAGTCAGTTCCCCTTTGACAACGAACAGCTTCCTTCAGGAAATTACGCGTCTGAGGCCAGAGCAGTTCAACGAATAAGCTTCCAATTTGAGTCAGCTGCAACACAGTCATCCCCGCTCTTCCCGAAGCTTCCGTCAGATTCGTGGCTCTTGAAGTCAGCGCAAATGCGGACATCGTCCTCATATCTTAAACAAATCACATCTCTGAACTCGATCTCTGAGTTGCACCGGCATTCTTTTGTTTGCAAACACCAAACTACTAGTCAGTAATCTCACTAACGAGCCAGAAAACTAAGAAATTTCAACAGCCGATTTTTTAAACATCTTCGAGTACACAGCAATCTAGGACGAGTTTTTCCCGTTCAAAGAAGAGACTCCCTCAGTTTTATCGATTGACCATACGCTTGAACAAGACCCCGAATTGGTTTGTGATCTGTTAAAAGCCTACGTATCCGAACAGGAAGCAAAAAGCTCAGAAAACTAATCGATGATTCCAGCGATGCCTTCTCGAACATGCCTACTCGGCAGTACGCGAACTCGAAGAAGCAGTATTCTCAACCTTCACAGAAGGACCAATACAAAGTCGTGAGTCCTAACAATTCTAAAGCAACAATTTCAGACATCAGCAAAGCGACCAGATCAAGAGATTCTACGAAATCTCGGGCCCAGCACGTACGACGTCTCTAGATCTGGAAGCAGACGAAGAACTTTACGAAGACTCCAACCAGCCCACTGAGCCACATGAACATGAGGATATTAAGCCTCTTTTTACCAATTTAAAAAAGGCCATCGCCAGCCCAAATCAATTTGAGAACCAAACGGAAGGCAACGCAAAGACTTACGTGCTAGCTCCAAAGTCTACTCAGGCCTTTGATTTTTTTCCTCCATTTCCCGTTTCTTTTTTTCCTTCCGTTCTCTTCAAAAAAAGAGCACCAAATTTCTTTCTTCCCCTTATCACTCCGCATAATTATTTATTTTTCCGTCGTTTGTTCCTTTCGCGACTCGTCTTCGCTCATGTAGATCCATTACGCTGCTTCGTACTGACGTCAAAAATTACAGAAGCTGAACGCACTGCCCCCGGCAGATTAACACCCTGTAGGTCAAATGGACCTGCCTCTCCAAACATATAAGGTTTGTTTATTTCTTTACTTCCTTTCCTTCAAAAGCTACCTTTAACACTTCACTCTAATTAGTTCACGTAGACAAAATTCAAGATCAAAACTGTAGGACATCGAAGCCTATTTCTTCTCAAAAAAATATCAACATTCAAATGAACCCAAAAAAAAGGTACCTCGCTAGTCTTTAAAGCTAACTATCAGCTAATTTTTTTTCTTCGCCAGTACGCATGCCACCGCTTTAACCTCATTTCAATTCAGTTTTCTTCTCTAATCAAAAAAAGAGCCCCTCTTCTTCCCCTTTTAACATCTATCGGATCAGGGACGATCCTCATCAAAAGGAAGGGAGGTGTAGGAGCCCATAGCTCATTGCAGCTATTTCCGCTCCATTGAAACACTGGACAAAGTCCTCCAGACGGCCCAAAGGCTTTTAAGATAACATTCCGATGCGCACCGATAACATCAGCTCTTACCGTCGCGACGATCAGCCGATCGCGACGCTAAGAGCCGCGGAGCCGTCGACCCCGACGCCCTCCAAGATCACACAATCCCTCACCCGAGCCCACGCTCTATTGAAAGCCAATTATAACTTTCAAGCTTTCAGGGCCGCCGTCGACAACTATAAAAGCCCGCCACGACGACGGCAGGACAAGACCGGGGACCGGCAACGGACCCGCAGCCCACCACTCGACACCGCCATCCCATTTTTGATTCAATATTTTATTTTATGATTTAATTTGCCATTTTATTAATGAATCTTTTCAATCCATGAATGAGCGATGCGGCAATGAAACCACGGCAAAGAGATCGGGGGCCACACAAGCCCCGATCTCTCACTAAAAATGATCCATTCGATTCAAAGGAGGACTTTTTGAGCGGATTTGGCTTGCTTTCTTGTTAACCTCTCAATTCTTTAAACTCAAAATCCGCGGAATTCGAAGGATAAGTGCGCGACATTAGGGTCGGAGCTTCTTGGAAGCCGAGCACGCAGGAGTGTCACTTCCTGTTCAGCCTCCGGCCGCTGGTGTGCCGAATCGAGCGTGTGCACCAATTAATTCAACGTGCTCGTGCTCTTCCGCAGAAAGCTCAGCAGATTTCGCTCTCGTTGGTGTTGGTCTTTTTCGCCGGCGGCTTCACCCTGTTTTGCATATGTTAATCACCATTCTTTGCCCTCAGAGCCGGCTTGTCTCTTGAGGCTTGCAGGCGAGTTTGACGAGTTATTCTTCACGAAAACCGCTCTTCGACAACACACAGAATATTTTGGTCGGGTGATGGCTTTGGTTTGATTTGAGATGACTGGAAGCGTATATATTTTTTCATGCTCCTCAGAGGCTCTAACTGAGACCACGTTTCGAGCATTTTTTAAGCTGTGAATATCTGTTTTTGACCTGCTGCAATAATATCTTAAAGCGTAAACCGTTTCGAGTCGGACATGGAGAAAGAAAAACTAAAAAGGTTCGTTGCAAGTGGAGCTTCATTAACTTTCAAATCACACGTTTTTTGAAAAGGACTCGAAACTCTGTCAGAAAAAAAAGTTCCAGTCGAAGCGCACATTCCTGTTTCATCGACAAACGATAGCTTTTTTCGACTTTTCGTAATGTCCGGCATCTGGCCATGTTAGTCATAGGAACCATCTGGCTATCTACTTTTTCGAGTCGCCTTCTCGACTTTTTGAAGTGTCTTTTTTTTCTCTTTTGAAAGCCCTAATTATACCGAAATTTGGAAGCTGTGGTCTGGTAAAAAAAATTTTGAATTTGTTATTTTATTTTTTCAAAGGAATCTTTGAGCACAACACGTGTGACTTTCTTTTTTCACTTTAATTTTTTTTTTCTTACTCGTTGAATATTCCATTTTTTGATTTATTAAGAGCTGGAACAATGAAATGTGTGAAATGTAAAATAAAGATGTTCAAGCGCAATTTTTGAGATTCCCCTTGAAAAATCCTGAATATTGAAAATTTTGCAGTGAATAAATAGCTCCAAAATGATGGAAAATACAAGATTGCAGTTACTTTTTCAACGATTCATAAATTGAAATCAAGATATGAGCTTGTGATAAAAAAATTTCTAGAAAAGTCTATTGTTTTGTTTTCGAGAGTTGAGGAAGTATTTTACTCAGGTCATGCAAGCTCCTTCTAGTTGATCGAAACGTTGATGATCGTCCGAGAATATTAATAACCAGGAGGGAGATCAAAATCTCGAAAACGCGGACACAATCCGCGTGGGAATCAGAAGCCCAATGAAACGAGGCGCTTCGCAACATTTATTAGCGGGCGGCCATCCAGTACGTACTGCGTTGACCGTCCGGTAGACGAGACACTCGTGAAGATAGCGCGTTTGAGACGAGAGTGCTTCCGGAGATTGGAGAGGCCAGGCGACGAGGGGTTTATTGGATGAAGCATGAGGGCTTGGCTATTGAGCGCCTAGAATGGAATGGCTCGGAGGCTCTCTCTGCCGAGGGTTTCACTGCGGCGGCAGCCAGCCAACTGCTCCCACGGCATCTTGCCAGCCTTTTTGGGGTCTTCCAGTACCTCCTCCTCTTTGTAGGGCTTCCTTGGTGTTCGCCTGGTTCTGGGGTTTTTACCAAATGCGTTCAGAAAAAAAAAAATCCTAAACGGTAAGACGGCTTGCCATAGAATAGCTATACCCTCACGAACATCCCTTTTCGAACGTTTTTGAGATTTTCTTTTTCGGTCTTCCAGTACCTCCTCCTCTTTGCAGGGTTTCTTTGGTTTCCACCTTGTTTCGGAATTTTTTTGTTCTGAAAAAGAGAAAAATTCAGATCGTTAAGACCACTAGCCCTAGTTCGACTTCACATCACTGAACAAACCGTTCTGAAGATTTTTTTCAGTCCAGCTTCTAGGTTTTCGCTATTTTTGATGTAGATTTTTCGGATTTTTTCGTTAACTGCGAAGGATGAAAGTGTTCAAACTGCTTGGACAACTTTTTTCAAGTTTTGATATACTTCTCAAAGCATTAATTACCAGTTCGAGATACTGTTTTTGAGCTGATTGAAATTACCACTAGGTTGAGGTCTGATTTCAAAGAAACTCCAAGAATAAAATATTGACCTTTGGAGATCCGAAGAGCAAAGGTCTCTCAATTGAAGCTCTCTTTTTAATTGCAGCTTCATGAAGTTTCTCTCAAAACTTCTTTTCAATTCTCTTTGATCTTTTGCATCTCGGAGTTTACTGGTTCGCTTCTAGAATGAATAACGTCAGATTCTTTCTTTCCCCAAAAATGTCGTTAATCCCTTTTCCATTTTTTTTTTCTTTCAAATGATGTCGTCGCCAACGTCTAAACGACAAAATGGCTGAAATTTGTAGTAGGGTGTGGTCGGAACGGCAACAATTTTTTTTGAAATGCCTTACGATTTTTGCTTGATCTTTGCTCTGAAGAAAAACTTTCAGAGATGAATCTTGCTATTTTTACAAAACAATAGAAGTTAAGCATCCTTTTAAAAGGAAATTGAGGCTATTTTCGATTCTGCGTTTTTTTGGGTGTCATCGTGATGACAACCCTAAATTCCGCTATTTCGGAGAAGGGCTATTTTGAATTTATTCATGACTCATAAGCTCAAAAATAGCTTCTGTTGAAATGACGTCCTCTATACGAAATTGAGAACTTTCAAAAGTCTTCCTTTCAAACCGAAATGATTAAAAAAGAGTATTTAGATTATCCTTTGATTTTTGTGTTATAATTTTTTTTTCTGAGTTTTTTCGCTTTTAACTGAAGGCACCAATTTCGGAATCAATCAACTGTGAACTTTTCCATCTATAATTGGCAGCTGTAAATGTGAGACTTCAAACTAAAGTTTCTATCTCACTCCCTATGGCTAAGAAAAACAAAAATTTGAAAATTCAGTTTTGACTTCGTAACGTACAAGTTTTAGCTATCAGCTTTTTAAAATAGAATTTTGATGATCAGTTTTTTGGGTATCACATTAAAAGGTAAGCATTTACTCGCAGTTTTTTGTTCTGGAATTTTTCAAATTGCTTACTTTTTATTACCTGACATTTTATTTCAGATAGAGTGGCTTGAGGCGTTGCGTTTGGAACGGCTATTCAAAATCTGTTTGAAGTTCTAAAAAATTTGGATTTCTTTCAGAGATTTCATATCCAAAACACCCTTCTGAAATACTTTTTTGGCCAAAACAGTACTGTTAACTTCTATACGCCTTGTCGCCCGCGGGAGCCGATTCAGAGTCCGCTGAGTATATAATGACCGCTTCGCAGCCGCTCCGCTCCGAGTCATTCCAAATTTTATGGAAACTTCATGCTAAAAATAACGAATTGATTCAAAATTTCAGCTTTTTTCCAATTGAATTTTTCAAACTTTCAAAAGAGCCATGTAAAGTGCGAGCACTTGACACGCTCGGCAAGGCTTTCTTCTTCCTTTTTTTTCCTTTCCTTGAACCGAGTTGTGCCCCGAGGGCGATTCTCCAACATCTTGTGCCACGGATTTCCATTGTTGTCTCGCCGCCGCCGAAATCATTTGCGCTTTGCCGCCCCCGTTCCTTTTCTCTTTGTAGTTTTTTTTTCTTCTGGTATTTGATTGCAGAAGCGAAGGAATCAGATAACTCTGAGTCAACATTTCCCATTTAAAGCTTGAAAAGCGAGTTTTATGTTTTGTTTTTTCGAAATGAAATAGAGGAAATGAAAAAAGTAATCACACAGAAGCATAGAGCAGCCTTGTCAACAAGTTGATTGAATCGTGTTTTTTGGAATTAATCATCAATTGGTTGGATTTCCGTTTTTAAAGGTGTCTCCAAGTAAAATAATTGATGTGTCATTTTCGATCTTGAAACAGCTATGTAATCGAAATATGAACATTTTTTGGACTGCTTCTCATCAATTTTGAAGCTGTTAAAATCAATAGATTGGAGGAAAACATCTCCTTTATCAATTTTTTTAAGATAATTTAACAGTATCTCTTTTTTTTAATACACCTTGTAGCTGGTTGATAATTAAAATTCCTGGTTCTTTCTAAAAAAATGTAAAAAAACTTTGTAAATGAAGCTCACATGCTGACAGAGCTGAGAAACTGAAAATAATAGTTTTACAAATTTTTCAACCCTTTTTCAAAACATTTCTTTTTCAAAAATTATTTCACCTATTTAATAAAGGAAAAATTGATATTTCTCGGTTTTTTTCAGTCAGCGTTTGTTTATAAAATTCTTTCCAGTCATCAAATTTCCCCACGACTTTCTACCGAAAACGACATTTTGGCAGGTTTTTTTTCCTTGAAGTGATACAAAAAGGCCGTCCAAGAGAGTGGGCGCTCCACCTGCCCCACGCAATTTGCTCCAAGAACGAGTAGGTCAAGATTAATGCCGCCGATTTTCATATCCGCTGTTCCTTTCCGTTTCTCGCACTTCCAATGCAGTGTTCAGAGAGAAGCTGAAAGTTTTTTTAGTTTTTTTTAACCGGCAAAGAAAGTATTTTACCTTCGAAAAAGTAGATTTAAGCATGAAAAACAAGAAATTCATCATCAAGAATTTCTTAGAGTTTATTTTTCCCGCTTACCCTGAGTTTCTCTTGCCAACCTTTGTTTTTTTTTATTTTCAGGCATTTTTTCCAGAATTTAAATCGCACTCGCAAAATTAGGTTGCATCTTTTTAAAATTGCACCCTTCGACAATAGAAATTTTGAAAACCGCATTCCTGGCATAGCTTCTAACGTCATCATTTTTGTTCTGTTTCATGATGGCATTCTGCGCGAATCGTTTAAGGTCGGGTGCACTTGAAAATATAAGACTGTTTTTGCTTCCTTTGATTTCTGGAATAGTTTTTTTTTTGCGAAAACAACGATTTATGAAAAAAAGATGAATGCTTTACCTATGGATCACAGATAAATCCTTCAAAATACGCTAAATGACAAACTTTTATTTACCGTTTCAGTTCGTTTTTTTTTCGGACTTTTGGGTAAATGGCATTTATAGCCTGATGAATAAGCAACTTTTTTATTCCTTTGATTGTGAATAATTGACTTGAAAGCATCACTTTACCGTTTTAACCTGCTTTTTTAAAATTCTCCGGATGGAAGTTTTTCGAGCGATTTCGCCTTCCCACTCTATTTCGCTATTTTTCCATAAAGTCTACGTTTTTTTTTTCGCTTTGTCCTCCTACCGATTTCGTGTCAAGTACATTCAGTTGTTTTGTTTTCAGCGTGATTTACGAATCGGGAAAACGTATGACTTCGCTCCTCTCCGGGGCGTAGTCGTCATATGTTCGAAGCATTGAAGGTCCGTCGGTGGGTCGAATGGCTGCATTTTCTGTCCAATTTGGCTCATTATTAGTAATCCACCCATTCACGTTCCCTTTTTTAGAAAGAGAAAGAAAAAGAGAGGCTGGATGGGAAGAGATGCGGATGGAAATGCATTGTGAAATACTCAGAAAGCTTTTTTAGGAACCCAAACCGGCTTGATTTTTAGCTTCTTTTAGGATTGTGCAAAGTTTTGAGCTGAGATTCATTTTGATGACAAACTCAAAAAGGCCTTGAGACTACCTAGAATGGCTTTATTTTTCATTTTGAAACTGCCAGGTTGAATAATCATCGTTTTTTTCTATTTTTAAATTAAATTTTTTTCTCCATTCATCCATGGAAATCAGTTTTCTTATTTAATGTATATTAAAGTTCAAAAAAATTATTTTATTTGACATTTCGAAATGATGAAATGCATGCCATTTATTTTTCCAACCCCTTCTTCTTCACCAAATCAAATTCGCAGAAGCCAATCCGTTTAGGAGGTCCTGGGAGAGATCAACAACAAGCTTTCGGCGGTAAATGATGAGCTGAACGTGAAAAATGGCCGAAAATATAGTGACGCAGCGGCCGGCGCCGCAGGCTCAGTACTGCGGCCCCTTACAAGCTCGAAAAAGACGCTCGGCAAGGGACAAACAGGTGCGCTTTTACCTTTTTTTGTTCTTTGATTCTTTTTGAACACCTTCATCCTATCTTATTATTTGTTTTTTTGACCTTTCGAATTTTGAAAAAAATAAAAAAATAATTGTTTCCCGTTTTTTTGTGCAAAAAGGAGGCTTCCTTGGGCGCTAACATAATTTTTTTCAAAAATTAAAGGATTGCTAAAAAAATTAATCGAAAAAAAGAGTTTTTTTTCTACGTGATTTTTTTCACACCTATTTCGGTAATATCCCCGTTTTCATCATACTTCTTCTCCATTGAAAACCTCGTGAAAAGGTCAAGAAGTAGTTTTGATCAATGAAGAAAGTCCACTCGGCTCGAATCTCTTCTCTGGGGGCGCATATTTTAAAGGAGCAAAAGATGCGAAATCGAAGTAGACCCATGCCTTGGCAGCGAGCAAAATAAGGACACCGAGCCGAGTCTTCTATTTAAGGGATTTTGCTCAATTTTTTTTGAGTTTTGTTCCTGAAAAAAAAATGGAAAATCGCGGTTGTGTTACGGTTGGCGTTGAGACTTCAAATTATTACCGCGTATGGTCGAATGCAAAAAATACCTCATTTTCCATAACTCAAGAAAAAATGAACAGACAAAATTGTGGCCAGATTGACTAGTAAATAGAAACTTATTTCTTTTAGACTATGGCGACCAAGGTTGCGATCAATGAATAATTAATTTTCTAAAACAAAATTTCCCAAAGCCCTTAAAATCGTTTATGGAATCTGATCTGAAGATCCAGCAAAAATTTGAACACAAGTTTTTTTTTTTGAATGATGCTAACTTATCTGAACTTGAATCGACCGTCTTTTAAAAACGTACTCATTTCCTTCATTGCAGGTCTGGTGAAAACGGGAACACATTGCATTACGGGACGCAAAGTTGCGATCAAAATCGTCAACAAGGAAAAACTCAGCGAATCGGTTCTTCAGAAGGTCGGCTTATTTTTAATTCATTTCGGATCCAAACAAAAGCCTCTGTGGGGTAATTCAAATCTTGTTTTTGCTGAGATTTGAGCCGCAGAGGAGATTGCTTTGAGTTGGATGCGGATGGCAGAATAGTAGAATAGCCATAAGCCTATGGAATGGAAGTCGGGATATGAAGGATTGGCAATTTTCATCGGGGGCCTCTATCTCTAGTTATTAAGAGGATGCCGGTCAAAAACACACGGCCGATTTTGAAATCGGGGGAGAAGAGTTAATTTTTTCAAAGTGACAGTTGAGTTTTCTTTCTAAACTCCAGCAAATTGATAAAATTTTTAGATTATCGATTTTACTCTTAATAAACCGGCAAACATCTTAAATTCGAAACTTTTTTAAATTTGTTCATAAAATCAATGACAGACAGATGAATATTGAGCTTCTTTTTTTGAGATGATAGCTAAAAATCGCTACGATTTTTTAGCCTTTCAAAAATCTAAAAATAGCTTTATCCGGAAATTTTGCATTATTGAAATATGAGAATCTTCCGTTTTGAAGCTGCCCAGCACATTTTTTAACGTAGTTTTCAAACTACGGACAATGAAAGTAAACTTTATTTGGTTACTCGAACAAGAACCCAGCCGGGATTTCAGACCAAACTGAAATATGACCCTTTTTTAAGCTCTTGAGTTGAATCATGGCACGAGAGGTTTCTAAGACCTTTTACGCAAAACGAGACAAAAATTTGAAAATTTAGGAATATTTTGAGACAAGATCGAGATGTTGAAAGCTCTGCTATGGAATCTCAAGATCTGCACTTTTATTATTCGTTTAATAATCAAGACGTCTTTCTTGAAGCGCCTTGAATCAAAAAAAAAAACGAAAATAAATCCCCTGAAAATTTGAATTTAAAATGAATAGTTTTGTGAGAATCCTTTTAAACTTTTCCTAATATCCAAAGTACAAAAAGCAAACTTGAACTCTTCTTCAGCCTTTTGGAAAGCTCCGGAACAGAAAGAGCGCGCCAACTTGAAATATGAGACTTTCCACCGGACCCTAATTTGGCATTCGGCCGGACATAAATACTCGTAATAGCAAAACCACGCATGGATCGATTAGCGTAACACACAAGCGTAAACAGGCCGCGACAGCTTTTTAGGTTTTTCGCGTTCGTTTTCGCGGGTCTTCCGGCCCATCTGGAGGGTCACTCACACTAATTATTATCGATGCCAACCGATGGCCTTGTTCATTTTGTGAGCACATGTTCATGGGGTAGCTGAAATATGACAGCTGGGTGGAACAGTAAAATGTGATAATCCTGTAAAAATAAGTTCTTACAAGTTGGTTTGCAAACATTTACGTGGGAACTCCAGAGTGGTTTCTAAATTGGTTACCTGAATCGCACCCCCCAAAAAGAGAAAAATCGATATTATCAAAGTTCTGAGGGTTCTCGAGGATACCAGAAGGTTTTCTAAGCCGATATATGGGGTTATTTGTTTTTCTCATCTCTATAGAGACCACTCTGCCGTTTTTTAATTAATCATAAACGTAGTAAAAAGGTGTTTCAAACAGTAACAGTAGCCCGAAGTAAGGCTTAAATGCCAAAGACATAATTACGGCTGGATGAAACGGTAAACCAATATATCCCCGAAAATATCATCTGCTAAAGAACTGCTTCGATAATTCTGGTTCACGATCTCTCTCTCAATTTTTTTCTGAGAACTTTATTGAGAATAATCGATTTTTCTATCTCACTCGTTTTCCTGAAAGTGTCGGAAACTTCAAATTCAAATGGAAAAGCTGGGAGGAAGATTTATTCTCGCATAGATCACTGGAAAAGGACAGAACTCACACGATGCCCGCAATTGGAGCGACTTTGGTTATTTGCACCTAGGGACTTGGAAAAGAAGCTATTAGGGGAAGATTATGGGGTTTTAGAGCGTTTTGAAAAGTTCGAAATGTCGAATGCGCTTTTTTCTGGATGGAAAAACATTCGGTACAGTTAAAAACTGAAGCGCGACTCACCAACGTGGTCACTAGAAGGTACCTATCAGCTTTAAACAATAATTGATTGTCTTCTGCATTGTGTGGATATGGAAGAAGTGTGGGGAAAGCGTGACTATAACAAGTTAGTTCCAAATTTACGTATTTTCGCATTTTTATAGTATTTTTGGCATTTTAAAATTATTTTTGAGATGCTTCGTTTTATTAATATTTTTATGAGGGTTTTGAAAAGTTTTTGAGAAATAATTTTCACTTCAAATCTCTTCTAACTGTTCGCTAATTGAAACCTTACAAGAACTATGTTTCAAAAATTTATGAAATTTTTTTGAAAAATACTCCGATAATTTGAAGATCTTTGACTCAGCCCTTCAGAGCTTCTTTCTTTTTTTGCTTCTGAAATTTCAAGTCTTTTATGACTTGAATTCATAAAAGGAAGCAAAACTGACAGCTATTTGAATCGATCGACGCTGTTGTTTCGGGGACATCTTCATGCGTTGCTCTTTCGAGAATATTCGATTAGGCCAATAATGGAGCAAAGTTGACGCTCGTCCCTCGTTCGCACGACAATGGTCAAACAATCGTGAAATATTCATAGAAATGCTCTCGAGGATCATTTTGATGCGGATGCACTTGTCCTGAAATAGTTTCGACGGGGGTCGGCATTCAGTTTCGAAATTATAATTGAACTTGAAATGTTTTTCCAAATATTTTTTTATTTTCATTTTTTTCTTTCAAATCTTCAAAAATATTGTAGAATGAAATATAATGATAACTCTAGCCATTGTTGAGTTAAAAAAACCTTTTTGAAGAAATAGCCTTTCAAAAACAATTTTTTTGCAATCTTCAGTTCCTGCAAAAGTTTCTTAATGAAGCTTTTTTTTCAATCACAATTTAATTGATGCCAAAAACAACAACAAATTCCTGGCGATTGCCCGCGTTCTCCTTCCATTGTGCCCATAAAAATGTTACTTTTTCGGAGGGTAAGAAAACCCTGCGGCGGTAATAAAGCGGTTTGTTGCTCGACGCGGTAATCCCCGGCTCTTTTTTTTCGCTTTTTGGTGGGAAAATCGGACGGAAGAAAAAGAGCGACGGAATGAAGCGTTCGCTGGGGATGTCGATGCAAAAGGCAGATAGAGTTCGTGACGATTGATGGGCTGACACGTATGTACATCGCGAGTTGGGCACGAGTCAGGAAAGAACAATTTCCGGAAACTTGGATGTTCGGGGGGAAAGAAAGCATTGAGCTCTATTTCGCTCCAGAAAAATTGAAAAAAGCTAGGGTTACTAATTTTTTGGGTTTGGGGGAAGTTTAGCACTAAAAATTATCAAAAAGTCATACTTTGGTCTTTTCAATAGTTCTCCTTGAAAGGGGAAAGTTTTCATTTGTATATTTAATAAAAACCTTCTAAAAAGGAACTTGAGAATATTCATCAGAAACTTGTTAAACAAGCTCCGCCTTTCAATTGTTTTAGTAAAATTATAAAGCTTTAAATTCAAAATCAATCAATTCAGTAAAGGAAAAAATCTTTATGATAACTGAATTTTGACGAATCTGTTTATTATGTTCTTAGTAAAACTCAAAAATGTGGGAGCCATACTCAAATAATAATCGAATATATAAATCACTCACTTTCCAGGTCGAAAGAGAAATCGCGATCATGAAGCTAATCGAACATCCTCACGTCCTCCATCTGTATGACGTCTACGAGAATAAGAAATATCTGTAAGTTTGACGAAAAAATTTCCCTTTAAAAGAATCTTTTCAGATATTTGCTTCTGGAACATGTTAGTGGCGGAGAATTGTTCGATTATTTGGTACGAAAAAGGAAGGTTAATGTCAAAAGAAGCGCGGAAATTCTTCCGACAGATTATTTCTGCTTTGGATTTTTTTGTCACGCTCACAATATTTGGTAAGCTCTGCAATTTTTTTAAAAACATTCAAAAATAAGGTAGAAAAAAATTTTTGTTTCGAGGAACCGAAGCAGTTAAATTATTCAACTAGAAAGAAATACTGTACCAGAAATTTTGACTCTTTGCTTTTTTTAAAAAATTGTGAAAAAAAGTTCTTTCATTTTTTTCTTGAATTAGTGGTTATTCATTTAGGGTCCGTAATGAAAAGGACGCTTGAAACAGTAACCTTCACTAATCAAAAAAAGTTTCATGACAATAAAGTAGACTTTTATTATGAAATGATTAGAAAAGTACCTAAAACGGCAAATTTTGCTTATTTTGCAGCCACCGAGACCTGAAGCCTGAGAACTTACTACTCGATGAAAGAAATAACATCAAAGTCGCGGATTTTGGAATGGCTTCGTTACAAGTTGAAGGCTCAATGTTAGAAACGAGTTGCGGATCTCCCCACTACGCATGTCCCGAAGTTATCAGAGTGAGTTTTTTTCACTAAATTTTTTTCATTGTGACTTAAAAAAAGAAAAAAAATTACCTTCAGGGAGAAAAATATGACGGTCGAAAAGCGGATGTTTGGAGCTGTGGAGTCATTCTCTACGCCTTGCTTGTTGTGAGTTTTACTCTGGGATTCCAAATTTAGATTAAATTCATTACAGGGCGCCTTACCTTTTGATGACGACAACTTGCGGAATCTACTAGAAAAGGTGAAAAGAGGAGTATTTCATATCCCTCATTTCGTCCCGGCTGACGTCCAAAGTTTACTTCGCGCCATGATTGAAGTTGATCCTTCGAAAAGATATTCTGTAAGTTAATTTTTGAAGAAACATAAGCGATGAGAAAATTGAACGGAATACAGAATAGGCTGAAAATAATGAGATGAAGTTTGAACTGAAATTTGTGGATTTTTGAAAGATCAAAGCGAAGTTCTTATATTAAAAAGCTTCGGTCAACTTTAGATGACATTTTGCCTGATTCGTGCGTCTTTAAATAATTACAAAATTTGGTGAAACTATAATTTTTTCAAGACCGTCTATAAGTTGAATTGAACCATATTAAAATGAAATTCATAACTTCCAAAATGACGATTTTATCATTTAATGCTTGATCAAAGAAAAAAGAAAGAGTAGTAGGATTGACAAATAAGAACCGCATTGACCCAGGTGAGAAATAGGCGAGAATCGTCTCACTTATGTCACACTTGAGTCAACTTATTGACCCTTGAAAGTGTCTTGAAGATCCTTTGATTACTTTTCCCGCGCGTCCCTAAATACCTTCTAAAGGTTTAATTTCCCCTAACTATTGTGGCAATCAACTTTTCGATTATCAACTACGAAAAAGCCTTTTTAAATTATGTTTTTCAAGACGCGTTTAATTTAAAACCAGACCTAAACGGTTTCATTTGGTTTTCAAGCGTTTTTGAATATTTAAGGTTTTAATTCAGTTTGTTCAGAAGAGATAAATGTATTTTTTCGTCACTAACCATTTTTACTTCGACGTTAGGACTTGATCAATAAATAATTTTAATATTTACAGCTTACCGATGTCTTCAAACATCCTTGGGTCTCTGGTGCATCAAAAACGGATCCCGAACTGGAACTTCCTATGTCTCAAGTTGTTCAGGTAATTTCCTGATTATGAGATTATTTTCATATTACTCAAAAAATTTAGACACACGTGATTCCTGGAGAAGACAGCATCGATCCGGACGTTTTACGGCATATGAACAGTTTAGGATGTTTCAAGGACAAGCAAAAATTGATAACTGAGCTACTTTCACCGAGGTGAGGACTTTTTTTTAGTCCATTTACCACTGGCCTTGATAAAAACTAATAGAAACTCCGTGAACCTGTTTTTTTGCTATTTTTTTAAATTTTTACAATATAAAAAAACTGTTGAAGTATTATTTTAAGCGAACGGTAAAGGAACTGTAAATGACATTGGATAACTAAGCTTATTTTCTAATTGAAAAAAACTGATATCAAAAAGTCCTTTTTTTATAATTCGGAACGTTAAGGCACGGCACTTTCATATTTAATTCAAAACGACGATTTTTGGCACTTTTTTATGAACACGATAAAAGTGAATAAAAACTAGTTTATTTTTGATAAAAATAATTTTTCCAAAAAAATGGCTTAGAAATTTTTTTCCCTTGAACAATGCTACATAGTTCTACAGACATGAGATCCGTGCGATAGTTTGAAAAATTTGCTCAGAAAGGCTAATTTTATGAAAAAAACAATACATAAAGAAAAATGAACCATGAAGATTTATTACTAGGAATTTCATTAAAAAAAGCAGAAAAATCGATTTTTATCAATGCATCTATCTGTAAATTATGTTCCATGAAACTCTCTAAAAATGTTTTAAAAAAACTTACAAAAAAAGGTTGAACTCACCTTGTGGAATTTAACAATCATTTTTTTAAAGATAACCTCGAGAAAAAAACCTTTTTTTAGGCACAACACTGAGAAGATGGTTTATTTCTTGCTGTTGGATCGGAAAAGAAGGCGTCCGGCTCAAGAAGACGACACGGAAATTGTCTTGAGAGGCGCCGCTCAGAACAACGATCCACCGAAGAAAAGAACTGACTCGGCGAGAGCAAATCGATACGCCGTTGGAAGTATTGCAGACGGCAGCCCTATCAATCCGAGGAAAACTTACGGGTCAGCGCAAACTTTTTTTGCTTCTCTCCTTCCTGAAAAATCTAAAGACTTTTCAATGTAGTTTCGTAAGCGTTTCTGAACATGAAACTTTTTTTTTTGATTTACTATGACTGATAACGCTCTAAAATTATGTTCGATAGTAAATTCAGCGCTTAATCCAGCTGAATCTCGCGATTTCAGGCAGTTAGCGAAGTTGTAAAACAAAAAAAAAACTCCAAGCGTAATTTTGCGACCACTGATGGCCAAAAAAAAGTTCCTTATAATTTTTCAGCATTCATTAATTTTCAAACGATTTTAAATAAAATAAGTACAGCAGAAAATCCGGTCGTCATTCAAGTCTTGGCGGCTCTCCCACAGAATCTCCCAGAAGTTCGACTAGAGACATTTTCGGCGCGGCCAACAACAGTGGCTCTTATTCAGCTCGTGGAACTGAAGATCGTGCCAGGTCTTCTTCAAGGTGATTTCCTGCTTTTTTGATCGGAAAATGCAAAGATATACCTTTAGAGCAACTAACAGCTATCATTACTACACCCAACCGGTCGATCCGCAGACCTTAGCAGAAGCGGCTCGACACGTCCGAGAAGCTCGGGAACAAGAAAGACGGGAAAATAGAGATGGCAGAGAATCCAGAAGTCGGAAAGACAGCAAAGATGCCAAGGACCACTCTAGGGTTTCCATTGAAACAACTAAAACTACGTCGGCGTCTTCTGAAACGGTAAAATGACCAATAAACTTTATTTTACTCGTAATTTTAAGACGAAGTACGCCACGCCTTCAAACATGTCAGAATCCGTTGTCATTGGGTCGGGAATGGGTTCCACAACTTCTTCCACAAATAGCCTTATTGCTGGTTGGTGAATTTACATTTTTAAATGACTTTTTTTGCTTCTGAATAATGTCAAAAAAATATTTTTTTGGTGAAAAACTTTTGGTTCATATCCTTAAAAAAACGTTTTTTTCTGGAATTTTCCTTAGTTTACCTGTTTACTTTATATTGGTTTTTCAGGTCTTTTCGAAAATTCAGTTTTTTCCTTTTGTTGGGGGAGATTGAAATTTGTTCAGAACTACGTAAAAAGCGAGTTTAAAAATTTCAAACGAGAAACGGATTGAAAGAAAAATCGAAAAAATACGTGTATTTGCTCTTTGAAACAGAAATCTCACCTCATGCACGATTTATTTCAAATTATACTTTTTTTTTTTAAGGTACAAGTCAAACAAGCTTGGGATCAACCAGCGGCCCCTGGAGGTCAAAACTCACCAACATCAAGAACTCATTTCTCGGGACTCCAAGGTTTCATCGGAGAAAAATGTCGAATGGAACGGCGGAAAGCGACGGGGAAGAGAGTCAGATGATCGACACGACAGAGTACGTTTTAATGATTTATTTTCTGTTTTTGTTCATGAAAGCTCCTCAAAATCTCATCTCAGTGTAATTCCAAGTCACGTTTGACCAAAATTCGACTTTGCAACAGTGAATTTCATCAATTGCTCAAAATAACCTGTCTTCAGAATTATCAAAAAGTAAATACGAAAAAAATTGAAATCATTTCTTGTCGTTTTGAACATACTTGAGCAAAAAAATGAATCAAAAAAGATTTTCTTTATGGCAACTTTTAGGAGAAAAGTTTTCAGTAGAAAAAAACTATACAATTTTTCAGTCTCGTCAAAAAATCGTGGTTCGGCTCTCTGGCATCAAGTATCAGCGTAGAGCGGGATGATACTCATTGCGTTCCTGTTCAAGGGAAAACTTTGAATGGCATCAAAGCAGAGTTGATACGAGCCTTCTTGACGGTGAGCTTCGAGTAAAACAGATTTTTTTTTCTGTTGAAAAATGATTTATGGGCTTGGGTTAGCGAATTTTCTTTATACTTGAAAAAATGATGCTACAAAGCGCAAGTAGTCTGTGGTCGGGTGCACATAGATCGTTCACTTTTTGAATAATTCCGCTGGTCAAAGGAAACTACAGAAAAAATATTACAGAAGTTTTCGCACCTCGTTAATATTACTCTACCATCCTTTAAAAAAACCATATTTTCCTAGCCTCGAGCCATTTTTATTGCGACCATTGCTTCTTAAAAACAAAACTCAATGATCATAAGTAACTCATTAAAATTACAGATACATGAATTGAGTCATTCTGTGGTGGGGCAAAACTCCTTCCGTGTTGAGTACAAGAGAGGTCCGACAGTTGGCGGAAGTGTATTCAGCCGAGGCGTCAAGATGAACGTGAGATTACTGTTTCAAAAGCCCTTCACAAAAATTTTTTAAAGGTAGACATAATTGCATCTCCGCACCAGGTCGTTTTGGCTGGAGAAACGCCCACTTATGTTGTACAATTCACTTTATTAGCCGGTAAAAAAACTTTATTCTCGAAAATCTTTTCAATTTTTCTTTCCAGGACCGGTGAGAAGATTCAAACGACTAGTCGAGCATCTTTCTGCAATTCTACAGAATTCCACACAACAGAGGTAATTCCATTTCCTATAAATAAAAGTATATTTGTGTCTTTTCAGAGCAGAAAGAGCTCAACAAGCCGCCTTGATGGTTCGACCGAGAAGATTATCCGATTCTAGTGTTAGTAGTGCTTGTTCGGATTCGGAGAGCAACGCTAGTAGTATCAACATTTTTTCGAGGCAAACCGTGAGTTTTTCAAAAATTTTAAAAGTTTCGCGTAAAAATAGTAGTAGATAGAATAGAAAATTATTAAATAAATTATCAATTTGTTTTTTTTATCGATTCACAAAGCTGTAGTTATTCTATAGAATTCGCAGAAAGCTGTTGCAAATTGAATGAAAAAAAAAAGTTATCGTCGCCAGACAAAACGTCTAAAAGAACAGCTAGCTGGCTCGAGAAATAGAACTTTCAAAAGCTGTGATTTAGTGAATTTGATCTTAAAATGCAGAAAATCACAAAAAACTATTTTCAGGACAAATCAGAAGCTCCATCATCAACAAAAGACCCTTATAGCCAATCTCCTTCAATGCGTTCCGTAGGAAGTACTGCCTCAGCTGGTAAGGAACAATTTTCTGTTCGCTTTTTTTCTTTTTCTGTTTCCATCACTTTTCTCATTTCAATGCTGCACAATCTTTATTTTTTCCCCGTAAAAATCTTTCGCAACTATACAATTCAGGCCAAACGACGTAGCATCAAAGCAGGTACAGTGTTATGAGCTTTTGCACGCTTGGTTTAGAAGCCTTAATTGATTTCACCTTTTGCGATTTTGCAATTGCCTTCTAGATTTGATTTTGAACCTGCTTTGCTCGTTTTTTTCTCGCTTGCCTACAGTGCTACTTTTTGACAAGAAATGACGTTATTAGAGAACGTTTTTGTCGTGTTTTGTTATAATCTTCACATGAGTGAATGTGCGAGATTTGCTATTACTGATTGATTTTTCAATCGCGATATTAAAGTTGAAGAAATTTTTTCGCAGTTTAGTGAAGCCAAAATTAGCCTTGTAGCTTCACAACTGAAAGATTTATGAATTCTGAATATTTTTTTAGCAAAAAAATTAAGGTGATGAAAGCAATAAATTAATTCACATACATGCAGAAATGGATCACTTTTTTTGATTCAACTTATTATGATCACCATCAAGTTTTTCGAAATATGGATATTCCATCAATTTCAATTTGCATTCTAGTATTTTTTTTTCATCATTCCGAAGGGTTAATAATTGGCTTCAAAATGGTTTCGAAGATAATAAAGTTTCTACTTTTGCATTTCTTCGCACACTCGTAGCTAGAAACCACCCTTTTACAGCGTTTTATTGCTGATCCGAGAGAAAAAATTTTGATGAAAATGCCGTGTTGGTGAGTGAACACGATAGAAGTCCCGTGGCCTGTGAGGAGGATTGCAGTGATTGAAATCGTTTTTGCAGTGCCAAAAAATGCCTACAAGTCTCCCGCGCCACAGCGCCGCAACACTACGGCGCTGATCGAGAGAGCCGCCGCCGCCAATCGTTTCATTTCTACCGGTCCCCCCGCCTACGTCAACGACTTTTCCTTCCGCCACGAAGTTGCTCAACGGCAAACAAGGTTGGAAATTTGAATTTGTCTTTTTTTCTTCGTTTTTTTTTTGACAGAAAAAATGAATTCTTTGAAGTCAAGAAAGGGGTTTTGTTTGATTTTGTTAGAAAACGTTCTAAAAAACGCAAAAAAGGTTTCCGAACGAGAATTCGGCGAAATTTTGCTTAGAGGTATTTCGAAGTACCTCCTTTCCAACAAAAACTTCAAAAAAGTCTGTTTCATCTTTTTCAGAACAGTTACGACGCTTCGAAAAAAACATTAAAAACTTTCTTTAAAAAAAGGCTGATTCTAAACTTTGACACTTCATAAATAACCTAAAACCCGAAACTGAAATTTAACATTTTTGAAGCCTCTTAGACTTATTCTCATCGAATTTCCAAAAAATTTCATACACTAATTTTCTCGTCAACTCACCTTAAATAAGTGTTTTACTTAAAAAAAATCAACCCTTAATAGTCTAAAACATGTGCATTTCAAAAAAAATTCAGCCAAACCAGAAAAAAAAGTCAAATTTCAGTGGCCCAGGACCTGCAAAAAACCATCACAGCCCCGGTTCTCAACGAAATTTCGCTTTCACCGTTCTCAACAAATCGGATAAAGTATAGAATTTAGAAATTTTGCTTTTTTTTTCTAGCACCTCATTCCCTTTGCCAAGTATTCTTTATAGGCCTTTTAATTACCTGAATACTTAAAGGTTGTGCTAAAATGATATCGTGTTCAGATCTAGTGCGTTTACGGTGTTGACTCAGTTGTTTTGTAATTTGATTTGATTTTTCAGTGAGAGGACACGTGTCATTTATCAAGTTTTTTCCATTGATTTTTGGGTCCGCTAAAAACATTTTTTAATTTCTGTAAGACAGCCCTGTATTTTTTTAAATCAACTTTGTCATGAAGTTTGTTCTGAAACTTTTGTTGATTTTTTTTTTTTTGATGTATTATTGTTTGTTTCAACTTGAAAGCCATGGTCGCACGTGCAATGACTCGTTTTAAGAAGCAGCCGACTCAAAACGACTTGCGCGCTAGAGCAGACGAAAGTCTGTTTTGAGATATTCCACTTGCGACCACGGAATTTCTTGTCGAGGTGAACGGTTTTTTAGTTCATTCGTTGCTGGTTTGAGACTGAAAAAACAAGAAATCCTTTTTTTTCAATATCTTGAAAAAATTGTGAGACTGATTTTAAGAGTGAAAAAAATTTTTCCCAATCCAGTAGTGATGAACTATTCTGAAATTGGGTGACTTGCCACTTTTTCCACTTGTGCTATTTTCCAAGATCTTGTGCAAAGAATTGGTGCATTTCAAAAAAATACCTTCCTGATCTAAAATATACCGTCATAAACTTTCATTCATTCCAGGCTATATTCATATTTTTTTTTGCAGTTTTGAACGTAGACGACCAAACATTTGACAAAAATGATAGGAAACTTTGTAACTTTTTTTTCAAGTTTTATGTCTTGCCTATGTATAATCATTTTTTTTCTTTTTTTTGAGTGATAGTCACGTTGAAATAAATTTTTTTTTTTCTGCTGATTTCTTGCTTTTATCCGCAGTGAAAAGTCTTGACCTCTGTAAATTGGTCATAATTCAATGTCTCTAAGTTATTTCAGTGCAGAATAAGCTGACTCACGACCGGTTAGTTTTCTCAACTGGGGAGGAATCATCAAAAAAATTTTCACGTTTAACAAAACACGATTTTCTACACTTCTTGCAAGAAACGACTCGTTATACAGTTATATGTTTTGCTTCAACCTTTTTTATCGTCGAACTTTGCAGCAATACTATTGGAGCAACAATTTTTGAACTACAGTATAAACTCGAGGATTCGATTCCCTACCCTCTTTTCGCCAGATGACAAATAACTTTAACCTTGAGCTTTAACGCTTTTATCGAAAATCATCAAGAACATGGCATTCCTCGTTTTGATGATTTTTTTGAAGGAACTTTGAAAATGTTTCACGGAAGTGGAAGGAATTTTCTAAAAATTTGCGACTTGAAGCTTTTTTTCGAATAATTACTTTTATCTTCAAGTTTGAAGTGAGGAAGTTAGAAAAGGATCTGTTGGCTTTCTTAAATTGTAAAAATACTATGAAGTTTTTTTAAAAAGTTTAATCGAGGGTGTCGGAAGATTCATGTCTTGAAATCAATCAGGAACAAACGAAAAAAATGAAATCGACGTTATTACCTACAGATTTTTCTGCTTTTCGATCGTTAAACTACAATCTAATCGAAAAAATCTTTGATCTTTTGATCTGCAAACTGCACGCTTAGCTCCGTAGTTTTCTACACTCTTTTTCCAGATGACAAATAACTTAGATCTCGAACTTTAACGCCATTCAGAAAAATCATCAAAGCCATGAAATCCGATTTTTTGATGATTAATTGAGGAAAAGGATCGAGAATGTTTTGCGGTACGCAACGAGGTCTCGAGTTACTTGCAATATCAGAAATATCAAAAATCCGGTCAGATGTGCAACTTTAGCAATAAAACTTTGTAAACGAGCTGAAAATATAAAATTGAAAAATTTGAAAATTTGGGTACTAGAAAACTTCAAAAAAAGCTGACTAGCTCGTCTGGTTTTTTTTTCAGCAGTTCTACCCAAAAAACATCTCAAAAAAGCAAGTTATGAACTCTCGCTCTATCGACTTTTGCACCCTCAGTTTAAAACTGATTTCTTTCGCCTTTTGTTTAGAGATGATAAATAATTCAAATGTCACTTTTTGACGCCATTATCAGCAGAAACATTTAGGTGATGGCATTTACCGTGCTGATAAAAACTTGGTCGAAATGCTTTAAAAGTGGCGCTGAAAACGATAAGAAAGCGACAAACGCTTGCTCCCGAAATGTTCGTAGTCCTGTTGCTTTCGAGTTTTCTGGCCTCGACGGTTCATGCGGCATGCCCCGCCAACAGCAAGGAGTACGATAACCAGTAAGTATTTGAGAAATTTTAATTCCCTCGAAGTTCTTTCCGCTCTCAGCTTTACCAAAATGGCCAGATGCTAATGAACAATAAACTATAAGAACTTGAAAAAAATGAATATTTTGACTTTTTTTGTCTTATTCACTTACTCGCTATTCAATTCAGAAACAGGATATCCGTTTTTTTAATTCGAAATATCTTTTAAAAACTTCCTTCTCAACCGCCTTTTTAAAAACTTCTCAAAACCGATTTCAACCAAATAGAAAAAAATCAGACACGTTTAAACATTGCTAGAAATAAAAATCTCACAGGTTAAAAAAATCTCCCTGAAGCATTTTTTTCCATACATAAAGTTTCAATGTAGATATTTCTCATTTTTTTTAAATAACATGAAAAATATCTTTCAGATGCTACGCCTTCCTCGGAACGGACTACAGCTACTCTTTGGCCACCAGCCTGTGCCCTTCAACTTTCGATACCTGCAGTCACCTGCCTGTTGTGGCCAACGCCGCCCAGAATAACTATCTGACGAGCCTTGTACAAAGTAAAAATTTTGAGCGATTATTTTCAACAAAATCATTTTCCCGTTTCAGACCACGGCGGATGGAGCATTTGGCTTCAATACACCGCCAACGGCGACTACTACGTTGACGCTAGTGGCCACCCTCCAGTTTATACCAAATGGGCCATTGGTACTTTTTCTTGATATTTTTTGTTTTCTCTTTTGGTTTTTCAGTGATTTTGAAGCTTTGAAACAAAGTGTCTCGAAAATTTATAAACAAAATTTTATATTTCTTGAAGAAAACTGAAAGAAATATTTTTTTTGGGTAAGCTACAATTTTCGAAAGCAGTCAAAAATCAATAAATCCAAGTTGAAGAGGTTGAATTGCGTAATGTTCCATAAACGAGACGAGTTTGGCATTCAAGTAGCCAAAAATCATTTTCAGGCGAGCCATTCAGCAATAGCGTCGGCTACTGCGCGACCCTCAGTATGAACGGTTTTTGGTACGCTCAACCCTGCGCCAACTCCGTCAGACCGCTCTGCCAAATGGACAAGGTTTGCTCGCCGCCGACGACTACAACAACTCAGCCGCCTCCTTATTCGGGCTTCCCTCAATGCGTTCTCAACTATATGAGTGAGTTCTTACTGAACGTATTCGAATAAAAACTACATAATGAAACGGATCTCAAAAAGAGCCAAATACTAAGAGAAAAAAGAAATACTCAGGAATTTTCCCTTCTTTCGGCGGCCATACGTAGTAAAAAGTTAAAAATCTGTGAAATAGTTTATTCCAAATTTGATTAAAACGTCAAAAAATCTTTCTACTTTTACAACAAAGAAGTCAACTTTTTTAGACTACGTTCCTTGCCAAAGCGGATGGACCTACTTCCCTCAGGCCTGCTCCTGCTACAAGGTTGATCCGAATCAAATACAAATGAAATAAAATAGTTTTTAGGTGCTGACAAACACCACCTACTATTCCGCCATGAATACCTGTAGGTCTCAAGGAGGAAACCTCGCTTCGATCCATTCTTTCGCTGAGGCGGCCTTCATCACAAGTATGTTAATAAAACAACTTTTTGCGACTAAAAAAGCTACAGCGAGCTTCAAAAGAAAGTGCTCTAGCTGACTATGAAAGATTTTTCCAGGACTCGCGGCTCAGACCAACTCCAACTGGACTCCGACTGTGACATGGAAGGACAACATCATCGTTGGTCTCAACACCAACGGTAGCCATCTCGTTTGGGATGACGGCACGAAATTTGACTTCCCTCAAATTTTCGCTCCGGGAGAGCCCAGCAACTTCGTCCAACAGGGACAGGTATAACTTCCCTCAGAAATTATGACATTTGTGATCTTTCAGCTTGTTCTGACGAGCCCCGCTGGCTATTCCACCTATTTGAAAATGGCCGACTGCTCTTATAACTATTGTCGTTACGCTGTCTGTCAGATTAAGGTGAAATAAACGTGTTGGATATGTTATTCATGCTATTTTTTTGGCAAAGTTTTAACGGAATCTAGCCTAACATCTTCTGGAAATCGAAATTTCAGCCTTTTTTGTATGAATGAAAAAGAATATATGCAAGGATGGGCTTTATTTCAGCAATAATCAAATAATTGTTGGTTAGGTTTGATTCTGATTATGGTTCTGGTTCGGATTCGGAATCTGGTTCTGGTTCTGGTTCTGGTTCCTGTTCTGGTTCTGGTTCTGAGGGCGCAATATTTCAGCAGGAATGTTGGCGGCCTCAAACTGAAAAAAATATGTCTGACTTTACAGTTTCGCAAGGCCAATAATAACTTTTAAAAGGGTGAGGAATCTCCCCTTTATGAACTAGCGCTACGAAAAAAAACCCTTTTTTGCCTGTATTTCTAGAAGTTTTTTTAAAATGATCGTAGCATTATTTAAATCGAAAACGCAGAAAAAATCAGAGAAAGAAAAAAAGGAACCATGTTGAGAGGCTGTCGCTGAGCAGGCTGATCATTGCGAGGAAATACCGGAATGATGATTTGTTGCGGATGTTCGTTGAAAGCCACAACTCGTTGATTTTGTGCTGGTATCCATCCTTTTTTGGTGGTTGGACCAAAATTGGGTGGCTCAGGCTGACGACACATACTAAGAAAAACCTTTCATTGCAAGTAAAAATAAAAATAGAAGATTTTGATAGAAATAATTCTGGAAATATCTGTTCAAAAAAAGCTCTCCAGACTCTCAGAAGTTCTGAAAATTGACTAACTTCGAGGAATTATTTTTTTAGGATTTTTTTTATAAACGAGGGATTTTTTGGTTAACTATCTATAGGTTTCGAATAAAGAAGTTGAAACAATGAAAAAGTTATAAAAAGTATGAAACAATATATGCTCGTTTTTAAAATTATCCTAAAGAATAAATGTTCAACTTTTTTCGAACTAGAACCTTTGAAAAAGCGGTCTACAAGATATATTTTGAAGCAGAAAGACGGAGGAAACGACGGAAAAAATGGAAGAAATCGAAAAAAATCCGTGTTTGTGTAGAAAAGCCAATACTGTTTCCCAGAAAAGCATTAACTAAATAGATTATTACGTGGGCTTCTGTGATTCCATCAAAATGTTTATTTCCCGCAACCGATACTGTTCCCACGCTTTGATTATGCATACCATGCCTGTCGTATATTTCCAAGAATATTATTCTCAGATTCTCTTTCTCTTCCCTCCACTTCGAAGTAACCGACATCCGTAGCCTCGATTCTTTCCGATCTGAATCATCTTGAAAAAATTCACTTCAGAAAACCATTGCTTTTCTTGAAAAAAGAACAAAAGAGGTCTTTCATGCCAACAGTTGAATCACAGAGATGAGAGGAAAAAGGTAAAGACCGTCGTATGGCTTCTCTTCAAGTTGTACACTCTCTCGGTTCTTTTGCTTTTTTTGTAATCTCCGATGACTCCGCTGCGAGCCGCTGAAATGGTCCTACCGGGCACACAAAGTTCATCTTTTTTTAATGTTCCAAGGCGCACTTTTTCCATCTGTCTTCGCAATACAACTCGCAAAAAGTGTTGAGAGCCCTTCCGTAGATTTGGAATCCTGAATAACGCGTTACAAAGAACATTCTGTTCAAAAAGTCTGTTTATTTATCGAAAAACCCAAAAGCAGCCTTGGTAATAACTGGTTAAAAAAAGAAATTGAAATAAGAAGATTGATCAGATTAAGATATCCAAATTTCATGAATTAACTCAAAAATAATTTCTGATGAACTCATTATCGATCTCAACAAGTTTGATTTCTGACTTTTCAAGTTCATATTTTTGGTCATCTTATGCAGCGATACATTTTGAAAATGACTGCAAAACTTCATCATATGTTTTTCTAATTTTTCATCACTTTCCGACCTTGTCACCAAGTGATTTTTTCATCTTTAAGAAGGCCCGAAAGCATCGAAACAAAAACTTTATAGGAAGATAATAAACGAAAACATATTATGAATGAATAAAAAATTCGTAAACCTGAACATACATTTTTTTGACTTAGCAACAAAAAATAAAATACGTTGTGAGTTCTGACAAAAAATTATTGAAATTGAAAAAAAACGTCTTTTTTCGTTAGCGTCTCGGTCCTTCTTCATGGCGCCTTCTATTGAATGCTTCCTGGAACAGTTCATCCATTATACTAGGTTTATCAACTTGATTTATAGGAGAAGTCGTAGTTTCTCAGGATCTTCAACATCCATAGGAGATACATTTCCCCTCGTTTGGAAAATAAGACTTGTCTGAAACAATAAAATTTAAAAATCAAGATAATTTATGCAAGTGAATAAAGCAAAAATGAAAGTATAGTCAATGTGTCCCGACTTGAAAGGCGAGGGAGGCGGGCAAAAGGGCGGGACGCGTAGCGTGTGCGTACGCGGTTCTTGGCACGAGTTCAATTCAACCGCCAGCGACTGTTTGGAGAGCTTGTTCATCGCCTTTTTTTCATTTCTTTTTTTATATTAATTATTGATTTCATTTCATGTGCGCATTAAAAAAATATTGAGAAAGAGCGGTGACCGAGCTTTTTGAATAGTCGGCGCGCTTGAATTGAACTCGGGCCAAGAACCGCGTACGCACGCGTTTCGCCCCCTGCCGCGCCTCTCTCGTGTTTCAAGTCGGGAAACATTGATTATAATCAGCAACACAAATCGTCTCAGATGAGACACTTTGTCTTTTTCTTATCTCTTTTACCCAACAACACACTTTTGAAATGGCACTTTCTCGAAGGTTAGAATGCTACCGCTCTCTCTTTCCTTCCGCTCACTCACATAGCTTGCGGGCATATAAAATGAGGGGAAGAGCTGATAAGACAAGAGTATGGGTCTTACCGGGTAGGCGTCGTAGGTGTCTTCTTTTTTTTTCTTTTAATTCCTTTACATTATAATTGTTTTACTGAATAATAACTTCTTTATGAGACCCTTGTTACGCTATGTTTCGGGTTTAGGACCCAAGATAAAGAGCCTTCCTTTCCAAAGTAGTCGGAAGCAAGGAGTGCACTCGGTGGGAGAAATGTAGCCCGGGAAGAAGGAGCATCTAGAGACGGGAGACTTCTGTGTCGTTACCTTCTTTGAGTCTTTTGTTTTGCTGATTATCGTTCTTCTCTGTCTTCTCCCTCTTTGTGAGAATGGTTCCGTAGCTCATCCTTCGTATCCTGTCTTTTATAGAGTAGGAAAGTAAGGTATATAAAGCTTTAGTTTTCTCCTTCGGTGTGACGGAAAAAGGTCATCAGCGTTCACTTTTCTTCGTGTAGGTGTGACCACTTCTACCACTCTTACTTTTGGCAAACATTTGCTTTTGATCGTCTCAGATTATTTCGGAGTAATTGTCAGCATACATTTGTTCGCATCACTGATTTTTGGATCTTCGTAAGTACTGAACTGTTTCAGATTCTTCAATGGGTGGCGGTCCGTCGAAAGAAGATTTATTGAGAGGAGAACAAGCTCGGATCAATCGAGAGTACCCCGTATCTTTGAAGTTTCCTGGATTTTGGGACAATGAATCAGCCTTTTTACGAGAAAAGCTGCTCAACTCGGAAATTGCGTCTAATGTACCAGCCGGGGCGGAGAAGCTTGTCCAGACTGCTACAGGACTCAGTTATGGCGGTACTGTCCTCAAGGCGATGATGAAACTTGTCTGCGAATCGACGGAATCCATCAAGCGGGCCTTGCTGATGTTGGAGATACGGGAGGCCATTGCTCAATCTGCGCACTCCCAAGTCAAAGCGAAAATGGAAGTTGTAAAGGCGAAGTTAGAGTCAGCTCAGAACGAAAAGGATATGGCAAGTAAGGAGAATAAGCTCGACTCTGCGAATACTGCCTGTTACGAACTCCTTATGCTGTTTAAAGACGAAGACTTCTACCTGTTCAAAAAACCACTGGCATTCGCTCCATTTTTCGTATCGTTCGTGTCTATCTATGTGGTTGTACTCAAGGCTCATTACCTCATAACGAAGTCATCACAGCGAAAGACTGACGCTACAAGAGTCTTGATAATGCTCAAAGAGGTCATCACAAGATATCAGAAAAAAACATCGAAAGCAAGAAGAAACTATGTTTATATGACAGCCGTGCCTTTTTCTGAGGGAGAAATTGTCGTAGTGGACGGATTCACGAAATACGAGCTGTATATCCAAGGCAATCATTTTTTGATCCCTCATATTGTCTCGGAAATTAAGGAGTGGTACCAAAAGGAACTTGAAGATACCTACAGCAACTACTTCGACGAGTCTTTGCAAATGGTGGACAAGGTTCTGAAGAGTCTCTAACTATAGTTCCGCCATAATAGAAGATGTTATTCTTGACTGTTGTTAATACATAATACCTTACTGTTGTCTATTTTGATAAAGTATTGAGATTCACTGAAAGTCGCAGATGAAAGAGCCAGGCGAGGGTTGCGATAGTAGAGAGTGTGTGTGTGGAGAGTGTGTGTGTCTGCGTGCAAGAAAGAGCGACATACTGATAAGAAGAACCATATGAAAAGCACTCTGAGGCCGATGTTTTTTGCTGCGAAAGAAAAAAACTGAATCATCTGATCATCATTTTATATTGTTCGAATGTCTAGCGCACTATTTCGACCATGAATCTAGACCAAACTTTTGAAGTAGCGCATTTTTATCATTATTGGAAATTGTTGAAAAGGACACATTTTCGAAGAGTCAAGAGAGAAAATCAATGATAATAAGCCTTGAAATGGTTCAAAATGTAGAGGTTGAGGATGGGCGAAAAGGTGCGCTAGAATGGCTTTTTATCTATTAATACCAAGCCTGTCGTTTGTATCCTTTCCAAATATAATATTTTCAGAACTTTTTTCTCTTTCTTTCACTTTGAGGCGACCGACATTGAAGGGTTGTCAAAAACCGAATAAATTCCTGATCTTCTGTCCCGCCATTGAACAAGCCGGATGTTTATTAAAATTTTCTGAAACAACTTGAGCACATTTTATTTTTCGATCAAATAGGTAATGAACATGAATAAAAAAATAGTATTTTTCTCCATTATATTCCTTGCGCTAAACCACCAAAATCCCGGTTTTTTCATTATCCATCACTAAAAGTTTGATTTCTGACTTTTCAAGTTCATATTTTTGGTCATCTTATGCAGCGATACATTTTGAAAATGACTGCAAAACTTCATCACATGTTTTTTTAATTTTTCATCACTTTCCGACTTTGTCACCAAGTGATTTTTTCATCTTTAAGAAGGCCCGAAAGCATCGAAACAAAAACTTTATAGGAAGATAATAAACGAAAACATATTATGAATGAATAAAAAATTCGTAAACCTGAACATACATTTTTTTGACTTAGCAACAAAAAATAAAATACGTTGTGAGTTCTGACAAAAAATTATTGAAATTGAAAAGAAAACGTCTTTTTCCGTTAGCGTCTCGGTCCTTGTTCATGGCGCCTTCTATTGAATGCTCCCTGGAACAGTTCATTATTTGATGAGTCAATCAGTTCACGGCATTTTACATTAAACGCTGGGCCTATTTTAGAAAAAAAATGATTCTACTATGTCTGAAAAACAGCACTTTTTAGTTTTATTACAGCAGAAATCTTGAAGAGCCAAAAAAATTTTTTTTCTTTCATTTTTAGAAGTCATAAGTTGATTAAAAAACTTATAGCTTAATTTTTACTGGTCATTGAGAACCCTCAGATATAATTTATTAATTTTTTTCAACCTCGTAATTGAAAGACGGACGCTGCTGCGGTCGGACTTGAGCCACTGGCGGATCACGCTCACGGTTGAACACCGTTCTTTCGTGGGTGTCCTAGAAGAAAAAAAGAAGTTTTGAGAAAAAAATTTTTTTTTATCTAATCCGGGGAGATTTTTTTTAGGATACCACCAGTAGAAGGAGAAATGCGTGGGAGAGAGGGGAATGAAGCAAAAGTTAAATTTTTGAAACTATCAAACTGCTGTTATTTGTGTTGTTTTTCAGTCTCTCCATGTTGGGTAGATCAACAGAACTTTTTCATGTCTTCTTCCAGTAGGGTCAAAAAGAAAATGAAAAACAGCGTCGTCTCTTCAATTTTCGTCTAATCTGCTTACCTATACCTAAAAGAACTTATTTCTTAATTGAGACTTACAAGAGTGACGTTCAAACGCTGTCCATGATTCGAAAATCCTTGTGGAGCGACTTGCGCAACGAGTCTCTGGCGCTGCGAACTGTTCACAGTCATGTTGTTGGCGTTCTGAAAGACGAATCTATTCATTTTTTGAATTTTGTTTCTTTTTTCGACCATGTTTATGTTCGTTAGGAAAACGGAATTTTTAAAGTTTTCACCAGATTTTGTTCAAAAAAAACTGAAAATCTCAACCGTTCACCATTTTCTTCTTCAACGGAAAAGTGATTGGACAGACCCTTGAAAAGTCGCTAAAAATAGTTTACTGATGGAGAAAATATTAATTAATGAAGAGTAAAGCATCAGTTTATAAAGGTTGAGAGCTGAAAATATGATGGTCTGACTATGAAAACATGTCGAATTTGAATCTAATTGCAGCGAAAACTTTACTGACCCCGGAAAAGTCGGAAGCCTGAGGTCCTTCGTTTCGGCCGGAGTCGAAAGACTGGTGAGCCTGATGTCGTCTCTTGAAATCAAAGACTTTTTGAAAAGTAGAAAAAATAGAAAAAAAAGGAAGAGTAAAGCGTTAGTTTTTAATAATTGAGAAATGAGAATATGATGGTCTGATCACGGAAACATGTCAAATTTGAATCTATTTGCAGTTTTACTGACCCCGGAAAAGTCGGAAGCCTGAGGTCCTTCGTTTCGGCCGGAGTCGAAAGACTGGTGAGCCTGATGTCGTCTCTTGAAATCAAAGACTTTTTGAAAAGTAGAAAAAATAGAAAAAAAAGGAAGAGTAAAGCGTTAGTTTTTAATAATTGAGAAATGAGAATATGATGGTCTGATCACGGAAACATGTCAAATTTGAATTTATTTGCAGTTTTACTGACCTCGGAAAAGCCGAAAGCCGGTGGTCCTTCGTTTCGGCCAAAGTCGAAAGACTGGTGAGCCTGATGTCGCCTCTTGAAATCAAAGACTTTTTGAAAAGTAGAAAGAATAGAAAAAAAAGGAAGAGTAAAGCATTAGTTTGTAAAGGTTGAGAACTGAAAATATGATGGTCTGATCACGAAAACATGCCAAATTTGAATCTATTTGCAGTTTTACTGACCCCGGGAAAGCCGACAGCCTGAGGTCGTTCGTTCCGGCCAAAGTCGAAAGACTGGTGAGCTTGACGTGGACCCTTGAAATCAAAGGTTTTTTGAAAAGTAGAGAAAAATGAGCGTTCCAAGATTGTCAAAATTCAAACAACGCTTCGGAGCTTCGAGTGAAAATCAGAAGATATTTTCGGAGGACGCTGTACAAGTCATCCGTTTATCAGTTTCAGAGAATTTCGAATTTTTCAAAATGAATAATAAAAACTAACTTCTACAGGTCGACGGAAAAATTTGCAGGTCTTCATTTTCGATGATGGCGAACCGCATAAACTGTTGTTTCATAAATCTGAAAAAAAAAATCAAACTAATTTCAATAATATTTTCAAGAAAATTCGAAGTTTATTTTCTGAGTCTATCATCTTTTTGAGAATCTGATAATTTCGTTTGGTAGGAAAAAAAAAGAGCCTGACGAGACTGATATTATTTCGTGAAGCTCCTCGACGACCATATGACGACGGATCTCTTCTTTGTTCCTGTAAACCACACTGAACTGAGCCTTTTGAACTGCTTAAATTTCATCTTTCCGACTTTTAAGTTTCTTTCGGAATAATCAGTTAATCATGAAATGCTTTCATTTTAGCGAAAATTAGTCGTACAATCGTCAATAAGTTGAAAGTAAGTCGGTCATTTTGGCTCACATACCTGTTCCTCATGATGTCAAATATTAAGGTTTCAACTTGATCCGCAAAAAAAAAAGGAAACTAACATCCACACGACGGGGCAAATTCCAAGGATCCTCCATTTGACCCATTGGATGTGCTCGAACTTGGTTCTGAAAAAATTGAGCTAATTACAAAAAAGTCTTTTATTTAATTACAAAAAGGGCTTCAAAAAGTTTGCAAGACAAATTGGAAATTTGTATTTATGGGAAATCTTTCTGGAAATCTTATGATTTCTTCTGATTGGTAGGAAAAAAACAGGCCCAACTTGCAAACCGTTATTTACTTGAAGAAGTTTTCCACGGCCCCCGAAACCGAAGGGACCTTTTTCTTGTACCCTTTAACAGAGCATTTTAGACCGCTTGAAATTAATTTCTGATTTTTTCAATATTTTGGTCAAATATCTGTTTCAGATAGTGTAGAAAACTGGGTTTTTCAACTTGATTTATAGTCGAAATTTTTAGAATGACACTGAACAAGTCATCCGCCCATCAATTGAAATCGAAATACGATTGATATGGAACCTTCCGAGAACTATTCAGCAATAATTGTTTTTAGACCTATTATTTTTTTGGTGTAAAATGTAACTTAACTGAGAAGAATAATAAGTTTTGAAATCTCAGCATAAAAAAATTCTCGATTACCTGTATTTTTTTACGTTTCATAACAAAAAAAGAAAAACTAACACCTACAGGAGGAAGAAAAATTCTGAGGATTGTCGTTTCGCATTTCGACGACAGAATAAAATCGATTTTGATATACCACGTTCTGAAAAAAATTGAGCTAAATACAAAAATTCTTTTTTTTTCTTTCGTAAAATCGTATGATTTCTTTTTGAATGGTAGAAAAAAAACAGGCCCCACTTGCCGACCGCGATTTTCTCGAGGAAGTTCTGCACGTCCAAAGCCGAGTGGACCTCTTGCTTGTCCCTGTAAACTGAGCATTTCGAACTGCTTAGCATAACTTTTTCGTACTTCACAGATTCTTGCAAATTATTGTTCTTTATGACTTTTTTTTACTTCAGCCAATCATTTTCGTGTTGAAAATTGAGTACATCATTTTGGCTTCTATAGCACATAGTGTGGGTAAAATTTAGGATTATACTTAGAGTTAAAACCTTCAGAATGACACCTTATTTCAGTTGAGGTTATCGGAACTAAACAATTCAAAATCGTAGAAATTATTCACCAAGACTATTAAACATTATATCAAACAGTATTTTTTTAACAGATATATCAGACCTCGATTGGTTGAGGAAATAAAGCAGGTGCTTGATTTGGGGGATTTTGTCGAGTCCTCTCCCTTCGCTGCTCGTTGCTCTGAAAAAAATCAACATTATTCTTTATGTTATCATTCATTTCAATCGGGCTTTCAGTAAAACGTTCTCTGTTTTTTTAAAAAGTGTTTTTTTGAATTTGTTATAGACTTTTAGAGAAAAAGCTTAAAAAAATTCTAATTTAATTAGAATACGGAATTTTTTTTCGACTATTCCCCGTGAGAAAAATGAAAAAGTATACCTCCGCTGAATCTTGAAATAATGAAAATCCAAGCATTTGCTGCCAAGGCGAAGCATTGACGGCTTCAGTTCCATTCTGAAACCTCGATTGTCTCTTGAAATTATGAACTACGAAGTAAAAAAATATTTTTCGTTGATTATAATTCAAAACGGTTTGGGAGAAAAAGAATTGACATCCTCCTTTCGAAATAATGATTTAAAAATATTTCAGAACTTCCCGACGCAACAAAATAAGAAATTTCTCACGACGGATCTTACATTTGGAATATTACGCTTTAAAAGCTTCAAACAACTTTTTTTCTTTATTTTTTTGTGTATGGCAAACTTTTGACCCTAGTAGGTCGGAAACAAAAATCAAAAAGCGAAAAAAAGCTTAGAAGTACTTATCCGCCAAATTTTTTTATTAAAAATCAAAAATGTCAAATCGGACCATAAATACTTCCATTTTCATTTTTTACATGACAGACTTTTGCCAATTTGCTCTTTTTCTCACTTTTTATGATTCAAACTTTTTTTGACATACCAAAGGCAGGAACGCCGGAATGGAATTGAAGATTCTCCTGCATCCTTGCTGCGTGTAATCTTTTAGTTTTTTTGAACTTCGAGATTCATCATTCTCTGCAAATAAATAGCTGACTTATTGAAAAAAATATATTAAAAACTGAGATTGAAAAATTTTCTTGATTTTTTTCATGCATAAAAATGAAACTTGTTTCATTAAACGGTACATCCCATTGACTGAAACAATTTGGAAATAATTTTTTTATATTTAGAAATATTCGAAGTTTTGATTGTTATTGAGTTGTATTTTTTTAAGGCTGAAACTTACTGTTAGAAAATTATCGGTGGGTGTAGGGGGTGGCGGTTGCTTAGTGGACCTTATCGGCTCTTGAACATCGCCTGAGCCAAGCTCGCCCATCTTTGCCGTGGGATAAAACTTCTATGCGAAAAGTTCTGAAAACGTGAAGTATTCCTGAGAATTTCGGTGTAGAAGCTTTTTTTACCAAGAAAAATGATAGAAAAAGCAGATGGTAGGAGCAGAAAGACACTACAAAAACTGATCCAATTTGATTTTTTTTGAAAAAATTGAGAAAAAAACACAGCAAAAGAACAGAGGCTGGCAGAAGGCGTCCTTCTCAAGACCATCCTCTTGGTGGAATGATTCTTGGGGCGGGTAGGAAGCACAAATGCATTACTGAGGAATGCGCAACCTTTCGCTTTTTTTGCAAGGAATGTTAAAAGGATTTTAAAATGCTCTTTTCTGTTGGTCTCGTGACGACAGCTCGAAGGCAGACATTGTTTTTTATCTTTTCCATTTGCTCTAAATAGGCGCTTTACGCGGTTTTAAGAGCGCTTTGAGACCGTAAATGCGAAAAATTCAAGAAAAAAACTGAAATTTTGTTTTCCCGCAAAGTTGGGCAGAGGACGCGCAACTTTTTGGCACATGCCGCATAGTCTCACTGCAGACGCTTGAGAGACTTTTTGAAATTCCAAGTTTCATTACGCAGTGAATCTACCAGTGTGCTTTTTCTCTTTTTGTAAAACTTGAATTTTTCCTGATTCAAAATTATTTGTAGTGGTGAAATGTGTTTATCAGAAGTTCAGGCTACGAAATCGAAAGTAAAAAAAGAAAAATCAACAAGGATCAAAAATCGAATCAAGGGCTGCAAGAAACAAAGTCGACTCGAAAATACTCAAGTTACAACTTTAAAAAAACACCGAATTTGAGAGAAAACGAGTTCAGAGATCAAGATTAAGACAGCAAAAGGAGCAGCGGACCGTAAAATTTAACAAAGTGGGCTCAATTTTCCGGCGATGCAAGGAGCGTTTGAAGAACATCGTCGAGACTTTCAAGGCATCTACTCTATTTTTTCTTTCTTGCAGGCGGCACCCTGAAAAAAAGTATTTTTCAGCTTCTTGGTTAAAACAAGGGGTTCCATTTCAATACAAACTCAAGTCCATTTCAAATTTGGGTTCTTTGTTGAGGTTACTGTTTCAAAAAATAAGTTGCCCAATTTTGACTATTTTTGCTGGAGATGAGCTAATATTGATAAAATCCGTGGGAATTCCATGAAAACTAACAGCTTCAGCGAGGTAAATTGGAGTTCGTTGCTGAGTGATCAAAGAATGCAGGTTGACGCATCCGGTCTGCCGGGGCAGTCCATGAACACTTTGACGAAGTCTTTTGATCTCTCGGAACTGGAAAATAACTTGATTACTAGAATTGTCAAGCATTTCAAATTCCTGCGTTTTTTTGATATGATATCTTTTAGGTGCAAGCGGAAATGGTTTGAACTTTGATTGTGACGTATCTCTCGAGCTTTTAAAAGTCTCGCTCGGAAAAAAGTTTCCTGTACAGCTCTCAAAGGTTCCATTTCTTTTACCGAATTCGCAAGAAGTTTAAAAAGGTTTAACGTTAGCCGGACTTTGGTCTTCTTTGACTTAATAATTTTCCCATTTCAATGAGTCAGGAGAGGTTTTCAAAGAAGGAAAAGTCGAACGTACTTGCTGCTTTTCGTATGAAGTGCGCTGAGCAGCCGCCAGGTCTTGAGCTTCTTTCTTCTGCTGTAAGCAAATGTCTTAGATCAATCGAAAAGGAGTTCAGAATTCAAATAGTTTTTTCTTCCTATAGAAAAATTTTCGAATCATCTTCCAAGTTATTTTTTTCATAAACAATTTTTTTTTGATTTTTTTTATTTGGTGAGAAAAGTTTTGAAAACTTTCAGTTCTCAGACATATTTTCGATAAGATATGAAGAAAACCTCTGCCTTTTCCTGTCCGGGTTCCTGTGGGGAAGCCTTTTTGGGCTCATTTTCGAAAAGAGCTGGGTGTTCGTGTTCCTGCAATCCTTATTCTAAGAAAAAAGCAAAACTGAGCTTTTTGAATATAATTCCTTGTTAAAGCTGTTTTTGAAAACGATTTTTCTCTTTGTGTTTTTTGAAAGAAACTTAAAAATTATTTTTAATTGATATAGCGTAAAACTACAGAAACGCTTTTTTTGCCTCTGTTTTGTTCGATTTACAGCTGCATGGAGTGTTTTTTTCCGACGTCCAAAAATTTTTTTGATTAATTCAAATAATTTTCCTGTAGGGAAACCAACTTGTAGATTGAATACAGAGCGGAGGTTTCGTCTGCCGCGGTGTCGGCGGAGTCGCACCCTGCTTTTCTCCGGAAGTTATCCCCGCGTATTCTGGCTTCACCTGTAAATAACGCCTAAAAAAATAAAAGAATTTAAAGAGGCTTCTTGCTTGGGGCTCCAAAAAAATATTTTTTTAAATTATTTTTGAAACGGGGATCACGAAAGATTACTAATTTCTCAAATTTTTCATTCTTAGTTTTTGAACCCTAAATAAAAACTCATACCTGATCGCAAGACATGAAATCAACTGGAACTTGGTTCTCGTTGGACATTGCGCTTAGAGTGAATGGAGTCGCTGAAAAAGGGGTCTATTTCCAACTTCTGAATTTTCACATTCATTTATCAAAAAAAAAAAGTTTAATAAAACTTGGAGAAAATTTTAAACGGAGGAAAACAGAAGCGGATGCCCTATTCAAGCGAGGGAAGAGTATGAAAATGACGAAAAGGGCGGTATCGGAAGTGGAAGCTCCGCCTCCTCCGAAAATGGTAAGAGGGCGTTTTTCCTCTCCGCGATGTTTGTGAGGATAGAACTAAACTCTAGTTCAAAAACTGATAGGAAATTTAAAAATAACCTTCAGCCATTCTAACAGATGGTGAAAAAAAGAAAGAGGCATTTTTGGCGAAAAAAATTCCTGCCAACTAAAAATAAGTCTCTACTAGAAGAAACTATAATTTCAAGAATGTTGGACACTAAAATTTCAAAAGCCGACAGAGTTTTTGAATTTTTTATAAGACCAAAAACTTTTGAATCAATTAGCTCATTTCACGATTTTTGCGTTTTGGTGTACTTTGGAAATCATTTTTGTAGTCACCTTTTTTAGGTACCTCATTTAATTAATATTGGAATTTTCATTCAAAACGTTCACTCAGCCTTATAAAAAAGAACTGAATGAAACTTCGGCGTCGATTTAAAATTTTTGAGTTTGCTGAGCCTCTATAAATTTTAGAAAACCAAGATTTTTTTTTTGGTTTTTTCGAGTTTGGACTACGCTTTCAAGCAGCTTAGAGTGTAAACATTGTGTTTTTTGAACTTTATTTAAATGGGATTTAGTTCTCTGTCAACATAACAATGAAGGCGCGAATCGCATTTTTTTGGCGCAAAGAGGAATCGAGGTGATTGTCTTTTGAAGCGCCCTACAGCTCACAAGGGAAGTTTTTCTAGCTTCCGGTTGATCTTTGGTCAAAACTTGGCTGAAATTCGTGCAATGTCGGATTGTGGATTATGGCGTTAAAAATGAGAGGCTCAAAAACGGCCGCAGAAGGGCAGCAAAGAAGTCTTATGGAGCCTTTTATTTTTTCGAGAAAATGGCGCTTGAAAGCCGATGAAGGGGCGCAAAAAAGCCGCGAAAGAGGAGCCTTTGCCAATCTAAAAGGAAATTTTTATAAAGCCTTTTTTTATCCTTCCTACTGTGCATATGGGTGTAGTGCAAAAACTCCTGATTTTAGAAGTGGAAAAATATGTATTAAAAAGATTTATTTTTGAGTGATTTGATTTTGAAGAATGAGCCTCCAAAAAGTACATTTTCTGATGATCGAGAACTGTTTCAATACCTCTTTATTCTGTTCACAGTGTTTTCAAATAGGTTCATCTTTATATTTACTAACTATTCGTTCATTTTTCGCAGTTGATTGAGCTTGCAAATAACCGTGTATTCAACCCCATAAGACATCAGAATTCAATACCAATAAGTTGTGTCGATAATCGAACCTAACGAAGTTTCAAACGCTCTCCTGCCATGCCATTTCCTATTCAAAAACATCTTGGTAGGTTAAAGCCATGTTCTTTGTCTATTTGAAAACGTTCATGGAAGAGGCGAAACGAAGACAATAGGAGTCGCCCTGTGGGCTGGCACTTCCAAAAAAAAGTTGCACGTGTGATAGATAAAAAGCGAAGCCGCTCGCCGAATTTGAACCGAGTGCGTGACGCTCTCCACAAAAATGCAAAAAAAAAAAAGCCGCTGGTCACCACTCCGAATGGCGTCCAATTTGAAAATTTTGAATTTGAATCCGAGTAGAATTTGAACTTGCTGAGAAAAGAATGTAGTTTGCTTTCACCCAGTGAGGAAATCGAATAATCGTTATTGTATAAGCTCTGAAAAAGAGACGTATTCTCAGAATTAATCGAAGTTTGGGTCAAGAAATCAACTTGCTGGGAAAATAATTATATACTCCGAAAAGTGAGTTTAATGAAAGAAAAATCCCACTAGAAAAGGCAATATAAAGTAAAATATCTGAGAATTCGACTGCATAGAATTTTTTTCAAAATTTTCGACGAGAACTGAAAAAGGTGGCCAATTAACTTTAAAAAGAAGACGATTTTTATCAAAGTTATGAGACCTTTTTTCCAATTTCTAAGTCCTTGTTACAGTTTTATGAATAGCTCCCACTGTCTCGAAGCGTCGCGACAGAAATACTTTTCAATTCTTATTGTATGACATAATAATTTCGATTTTCAGTTGAGTTACAGTACTCTTGATGAAATAACAAATATTTATTCATTTCAAAAAAAGTTCATGAGTTTAGCAAACCGAGGTAATAAGAAAGTTGTTAAAGGCACAGGGGTGAGCTTCAAGTGAAAAAAACCATCTCTAAGATGGAAAAAAACAAAATGAAGGAGTAAAAAACAAAAACGAACATTAAGAAGTAGTGGGTTAAATAAGGCAACACAAATACAATATAAATGAGCACAAAGTAATGACACAGCTTCCAAGTCAACAGGCGATATTTTAATCTTGTGAGCAAGATGGAGATTCCTCCCTCAGTCGAGCAAGGATTTCCAGGCGACGCGTCAATTCATCTACGTTCAACTGAAAACGTTCCATGATTTTTTGAATGATCGAGTTTATAGAGTAATGGTTAACATTTATCCAGAAACCTCCCAAAAAAATCAATTCTCTTCCTGGCCAGTTAAACTGAAAGTAGTCGTACTGGGAATGATAGCTCCAAATTCAATTTTCCCAGGATTTTCATACCAAAATACACGAAGACTTTGACTCTCACAGCTGATATTTTACATTCACCAATTTCGCTTCAAAAATCTAGATTTTGTGTTTTTCGAGAAACTTATGATTTTTCCATATATAACTAAACCTAAAAAAAGTTAAAGATAAAAATTGTTCAGAATTATAATCTCTATATTGCACGGAACTTAGATTTCAGGTTTTAATATCATTGAAAATCTAAATACCGCATGGTGCTCTGAGCCGTCGAGTGGCCTTTCTTGAGGACGAGGAAAAGGGAAGTCTCGTTGGTACCGACCACGACCAAGACCTTGCAGGCGCTGCTCAACCCTCACCGGCCACTAAAATTCAAATCTCTTCAACTTGCAGAAGTCTAATCTCATCAAAAAAATTTTCAAAGCGTGAAAAAGTATAGTATTTTTTTAAGAATAAATGGAACATTAAAAAAACTTGGAGAGAAATATCTGAACACAGACTCTTCTTTTGTACTTATTGTGCAAAAAAACAGATTCGTACCATTGATGCCATTAAGCGAACTTGCTCCTGTAGACTGGAGCTGGCCTCCGAGACTGGAGCTGGCCTCCGAGAATCCACTGGAGCGCCCGTTGTCGGTTCATCTGTCGAAGTATCCGACTGCAAAAAAATAGAAAAAAATAAAGAGGAAATTTTTTTGAAAAAAACAGTCAAACTTTAAACTCATTCTAAATAATTGTTATGCAAGAAAAATGTTCGTACCGTCGTTGAAAAAAATAAACACCGGCTCTTGTTGATGAACTGGATCTGGCCTCCGAGAATCCACTGGAGCGCCCCTTTGTTGGCTCATCTGTCGAAGTATCCGACTGAAAATAAATGGGAAAAATAAAGAGGAAAGTTTTTTTTTTAGGAAAAAATCAAGTTTCAAACTCATTCTAAATATTTTTATGCAAAAAAATTTTCGTACCGTCGTTGAAAAAATGAAAACTGGCTCTCGTTGATGAATTGCAGCTCTTCTCACTCGTTCATCTGGCGAAGAGTCCGTCTAAGAATAAATATGAAAAGAAGCAATCAAGAAAACATTTTTTGAGAAAGCAAGACCGATTTTTGAACTCAATTCAAGTTTTATTTTGGGCATGAATAAGTTTCGTACCATCGATGCCATCAAGAAATCAGAATCGCGTTGATGAGGGGCAGCTGGTCTCGGAGATTCCACTGGAGCTCTTCTTGCCGGTACAGCTGGCTGCGAATTCTATAACAACTGATCAACGAAGAAAACAAAAGGGTTTTGAGTTAGAGATCCTTTTTCAGGTCTTCTCTCCGCGAAAAAATACTTCATACCATGGGCGGCAATCTGAAGGCATTCATCTGCTGGGAAGCTTGAGCTGGCTCCAGAGGTTCCACTGGAGTTCTTCTCGCCGGTACAGCTGGCTGCGAGTTCTAAAAACAATTGATCAACACGGAAAATGAAAGGGTTTTGAGTTGAAGACCCTTTTTCAGGTCTTCTCCCTGCAAAAAAAAATGGTTCGTACCATGGGCGGCAATCTGAAAACATTCATCTGCTGTGAAGCTTGAGCTGGCTCCAGAGGCTCCACTGGAGTTCTTCTCGCCGGTAAAGCTGGCTGCGAGTTCTAAAAACAATTGATCAACAGAGAGAAAAGCGGGGTTTGAGTTAAGACCCTTTTTTCAGGTCTTCTCCCTGCAAAGATATGGTTCGTACCATGGGCGGCAATCTGAAGACGTTCATCTGCTGTGAAGCTTCAGCTGGCTCCAGAGATCCCGCTGGAGTTCTTCTTGCCGGTAAAGCTGGCTGCGAGCTCTATAAACAATTGATCTACGGAGAAAATAAAAAGGTTTTGAGTTAAAGACCCTTTTTCAGGGGTTCTCCCTGCAAAAAAATGGTTCGTACCATGGGCGGCAATCTGAAGACATTCATCTGCTGTGAAGTTGTAGCTGGCTCCACAGATGCCACTGAAGCTGTTTCAGCGCCAGTTGGTTCAGCGAAGTTCCGCTGAACAAATCTCTTAATCGGAAAAAAGAAAGTCAACTTTTTGTGAATAAATGAGACATACCGATGGAGGTGCGTGGATGAGAATGTTCCTCTGACTGGGAAGTTCTAGCTGGCGTCCATCCATCGGAGGCAGACGGAATACTGGTCTATTTTGGGAAGGAGACCCTGACATGGAAGCTGGCACCGAAGCTGGAGGTTTTTGCTATAAAAACACTTGATTGTTGATAAAAAAGGAATTTTGAAAGAAAACCCGAGTTTTAAATTTTTCCTCTACTTGATAATTGTGTAGGACCTACCGTCGGTGGTTGACGGAGGATGATTTCTCTTTCGGCCGCCGAAGCTGCTTGGCGGGTTGGCTGAGATGAACCAGTGCTCTGCTGAATAACAACAGTTCTTATAAAGTCATTAGAAATATAATCTTGAGGGTAGGACCACATTTTTGGCTCTTTTTCCATCTCTTTTTTTGATGAGGAAAGATACCATTGGGGGCAGACGGAATACCGAGGCTTGTTGTGTTGGGCCTGTCATTGAAGATGGCACTGAAGCTGGAGCTGAGCTTTCCTAAAAAAAAAAATAGGCTCAATCGGAGTGGAAATGAGGATATCGAAGCGGGACTTTTCGGCTTTTTTTGTTTCTACTTAGCAAAAAAGTGAGACCAACCATCGGCGGCAAACAAAAAGTTGGTTTGTCTTTCAGAAAAAAAGTGAGACCAGATTTGTAAAGTGAGATTTTTTTAAAAAGTGAGACTAGATTTGTTTCTTGCTAGGAAATGAGGCTCACCATTGGAGGCAGACGAAAAACGGGTCTTTGTTGTGGAGAAGGAGACGCCTCACTGTGGCGCGTAAGGATCCGCTAAAACGATCTCGATTGTCGAAAAAATAGGGTTTTAAAAATAAGGCCAAGTTTCTAGGCTCGTTTTTGGACTCTTACTGCGAAATAAGAAAGCTCAAATGGAAAAATTCCAATTTCCAACTGAGGTTTTTTTTTGAAAACTCTAAAAACCAACCTCTGGTGGTGTGTCGAAACCAAATCTCTGCACTCCTTGATTGAACTCAAGCTGTGTTTCCGGCAAGTTTCGCTGTACAATGAAACAAAATACCATCGTTTTTATTTGATTCACTTTTTTTCTTAATTCCTACAGCCGTCTATTCAACGCGTTTCTAAAGGGAAAGGAGTATCCTTGCGAAAAAAAATTTTGAATATTGTTAATCTCTACGAAAGAAGGCTGAGCTTGATCTAGTCACTCATAGTCTTGTTTCACTCCTTAGCTAAACAAATAAAGTGAAAGTCCTTATTTTGAGACATTTATGTAGACTTAAGTGTTAAAGATCAGCTTCAAATATCACATTAAATTTTCTAAACAGGATTAGATCTAACCATCAAATCTTCATCCGCTTCGGTTGGATGCAGGGCCGCAATGTTTTCCTGGTATTGAACAATTGGGAGCTGTTGTTGGAGCAGCTGATTTGAGGTGGGCATCTAAAATCTTTTTCTTTGAAATCCTGAAAATTTAGATTTTTTTATTTGTTTAAAAAAAGCCACATCGGGCGGCGACCGGAAGATCAGTATGGGAGCAAAAATTTTTCTTCAATCTCACATCTCAGATCCTAAAACTTTTTCGACGTATCAAAAAAATTAAAGATCAATTTCGTTTAGATATTTTGGCCGTCTGCCGCACTTTACAGAGTTCCAAATAAGTCCTCCTGGAAAATGATTATATTTGCAATTACTAAAATTGATCTTATTAGGCATTTTTTTTTTCTCTGAAGAACTGCGACTCACGATACAGCACGAAGATATCGTATCAGGTACAGTTTGAACAACGTTCAGCGGAGGATCGGTGAAGCAGTTGAACATAGAGGCTTGTCTGGCCGAAAGGGGCATTGGAGCTGCTTCGCGACGAGGCGGCACAAAGGACGGATTCGTATGCTGAAAAGTTGAAATTACGTAAATAGAGACAACGAGTGTAAGACAAGGCCGCCGATCCCGAGAGCGCCGTTGTTTTGAACTTTTTGGCGCGTAAATTATTCAAATTGCCGATTGATTGATACAGAAAAGAGGTAACACTGATGAAGAAATAGCGTGAAACGCAACTATCGCAAAAAGAAGTTTTTTCCATTGAAGATCATGAAAGTTACAGTTCAAGTTATGATTTAAAAGGACTTCTCATGGTCAGATAAAATAGAAAGGATCTGTTACAAATAATTTGAACTGTTAGTTTAAACTATTTTTTCTTATAAAAATAAAAAAGTACTATCGGAGCCGTTAAGGAGACAGCATTTCGCCAAGAAGCATCGTTAGTCGTTGGAGGTCCCGCTTGAGATGCCGTTGCATTTGGCCGTCCGAATGACGACATTTCTTGCTGAAATTATTGGTTTTATTAGAGAATAATTGATTATCAAGGGAGGGCTTCAAAGATTTTTACTGAAATTCTTGTCTTACTAAAAGCTTCCTGAGCTTTTTTGACAATTTTTTCCTCAAACCTAGGAAATTTATAAAGCTTACTCTGCGCTGGCTAAAGTCCACAGGGTCCGAAAAACGCGGTGTTCATCGAGGATCGGTTACGAGAAAATCGGTCCTCCTAAAAATAAGAATTTTTTTCACTTAACATGAATTAGATCCAGACGTACTCTTGCAGAAGATGATCCTCCAAAAGTGAAGCCTCTAGGAGTTTCCTGAAAGCAACAGATTTATACCTAATTTATTGCTCCATCATAAACTGTAAACTTTGATGGTTTTTGAAAATTACTTGTAGCAATAGGCTATGAAATTATAGCGCACGTTTGGTCAATACAGATTCCTATTTTCTCGATTTTTATTGTGAGTTCATCTTCAAAAAAGGACTGAAACATTACTTCCAACTAATGAGGCAAAATTTCAAACTATAAAACTTCAAAAGCTTACTCTGCGACGACCAAAATCGGAAGGGCCACCAAACGTAGTGTTCCTGAAAGGGCGATTACGCGAAAGTCGGTTTTCCTGAAATCCGAATATGTTATTTAAAAAACAGAATTGATTCGTACTCTTGTAGAAGATGATCCTTCAAAAGATAAGCCTCGTCGATTATCCTGAAAGCAAATGATTTATTCTTTATTTATTGAGCCATCAAAAAAACTAAGAATTTTGAAATTAGATTTAAAAATCGCTATTTTTTTGCTACACACATTGTCGAAATGAGCATACGATAAAGATTAGTCTTGATTTTATGATTTTTACAAAAATTGTCTGGATTTAATGCTTAAAAAATGAACATCAAGTGAAAGAATCGAAAATTGATACTGAACTGCTCGTTTTTTCAGAAGCTTTCTGTAGTTTCTGAGTTTTTCATTACAAAATAGGAGTGTGACCTTGGAAAGACACTCCTAATACACATTTGGCCAGTATTGATTCATTTTTCTCGATTAATTTTTGAATCGTATGTTTGATAAAGGACTAAGACACTTGCTCCTAGTTCAATGAAGCGAAATCGGAAAATCTTTTCCAAGTTAGATCATTTCAAAAACTTACTCTGCGTTGAACTAAGTCGAAAGGGTCAACATGCGTGGTGTTCATCAATGATCGGTTACGAGAAAGTCTGTCCTCCTGAAGTCATCTGTTATTTGAAAAAAAGTTGAATTCTTTCGTACTCTTGGAGAAGATGATCCTCTGGATGTAAGGTTTCGTCGATTTTCCTGGAATCAAATAATTTATGCTCAATTTATTGTGCAGTCAAAGAAATTGAAATTTGAAATCAAGCTAGAACTCGCATTTTTATTCCATACAGTGTCCAATGAGCACATAGATTTGAATCTCAAGTTCACAATGTTTTGAAATTAGCTGAGCCTAGTACTAATTTATTTCATTCATCCATTTTTTTATGGTTTGAAAAAAAAAACTAAATTCTACATTAGATTCATGGCAGAGTAGGTGAAGAATCCAAAAATCAAAAAGCTAGATTTCTTCCGCTTCTCAAAGGTCAATAAATTTATAGTAATGTTTGAGTTTTACCATTCACTTTGGCACACTTACCTGGTTCTTGAAAGGAACTAAAGCAAATTGTTTATCCATTTGTTTTCTGAAAAATAAAAAGAAAGTTTCATCATCACTTGAACGATCTGGCTTGTCTGTGTCTTCTCAATTTCTCATAAGCTGTTTTGGTGTCGTTATAGAGATAAAGAGAACGCAGAAAAGCCAAAATGTTGCAAAACAAAAACGCTAAGAGAGTGTAGGTATTCCTAAGTTAAACTGAGACAAAACTTCATTCAGAAAAAGGATTTTCGAACATTTTCAAACTTATACGTGTTATTTCTGTCTGGAGCATATGGAAAAAAGACGAATAAGAATGATCAAAATTTGCGTCTAGAATCAAATTCAAATGAATCATCTAGGCAATGAAAATGAAAAGAAGTAGGCAACGCTGTGATAAAAAACGGATTGCGGAGGATAGTTTCAAAAAAAGTGATGAAATAGAGAAAAAAAAGGGTATGGTTGCAGAGGCAGAAGCAGAAGCGGACCGTAGAGATGAGCCTGATCGAAGATCATAAAGTGAGAAATCGTTGCCGGAAGACGGCTTTTACAGTGAGGGAGAAGCTCCGCCCCTTCCTGGACCTGGCTTCCATGTCCGGAAAAAATCTAAGGGCGGGGGCGAATTATCAAAGGATAGTTGAAAAGGTAATGAGTAAGAGAAAGTAGAAAATGGTTGCGGAAATATGAGCGCACCTAAAGAGAAAAAAAAATGATCAAAAAATAAGGAATCATTACTGAAAGGCGGCTTTCATAGTTACTTCAAAGCTCCGCCTTATTTGGATTATCAGGAGTAAATTTAAAAAATGGCCGAGGTCTGACACGAGCTCCAAAAAAAGTGTGATGAGAAGGAGAGAAGAAAGAAAACGCTTGTAGGCAGAAACGGATCATGGAGAAAAGAGAAAGCTCCGCCTCTTTCTGAGAAAGCGTGGCTACTGGACTCAGAAAAAGGACCAAGGGCTGATACGAAATCCAGAAGGAAAGTTAGAAAGATAGAAAATAAATGATGTGGAGGCAGACCGTGGAGAAGAGAGGAGGAAAGATCAAAAAATGACAAGTTCGTACCGGAAGGCGGCTTTTATAGTGACCGGTAGACTCCGCCCCTTTCAGGAAAAAAGGGGCGTGGCTTCTACCTTTCTTACATCTTCCATGATTGGGGAAATATGACGTCATTCTAAACTAAAGAGTGGGCAAAAAGGAGAGATCAAGTTTTTCTGCTTTCATTCATTAACAAAAAAGTTTTGGAGTGTGCAACAATTCCGGGTCCCGATTGCGTCTCGAGGGAAAATTCTAAAGTCTCGAAAAGTCTCGATCTGTCAAGGCCAAATTTTTTCTCTCCTAGAGACAAAAATATCGATAATTTGGTCATTTTTTGAGCGAAATTGCTGTTTCACAATTGATGAGATATTGAACTATAGCTGTTCTCAAAACAATTTTGAAAAATTTTCTTTGTCTTGATTGAAAAACCTTTCTTGGACAGCCCTGGTGTATGGCCCTGGCCGATAGTCAGTGCATGAATATTTTCTTAAGCTTGAAAAAATGATTGGAAACTTTTCAAAAGGTCGGCATGGTTTAAAGAACAGAGTTCTCTGAAAAAAAAAAACGATATTCAATCAAAATTGAGTGATCAGGACTTTAGTTGACATCAGGAATGAAGGGAGCTTAAAGTTTAATCAGAAACGATTGATTTCCTCATTTTTCAAAAGCATTTCATCCTTTTCATTAAATTCGAATTCTCATTGAAGTAATAGTTTCAAAACTTTCAAACTGGATGGCATTCGAAGCGGTGACCTGTGGCTTTTGTTTGCAACTTTTACGGAGCGTCTTGGTTTGAATTCGACTAGCGGCTTCGCTTTTTATCCATCGCACGTGCCGACTTCTTTGTTTAAAGATGCCAGCGACTCCCTTCGCGTCGCTTCTTTGAGGAAAGTTTTGGAACTGAAGGCTAACTTTTGCAAAAGGGAATTGTACCATCGGACTGGGGATGCCATTTTACATTGCTATTGGGAATTTCTCGAAATTTGGCCAGAGAACTTTCATGTTTCAGATAAACATACTGACAGTGTCAGTCTGAACAACGTCTTGTTTAACGCGAAATGAAGGCTCAAAACTTCAAAATGGCCTATTTTAACGGAGTAGATTTTGAGGTGTCCTTTCCCAAAAAATAGCAAGTGGTGCAGGTTTGTACTTTTAGGGTCTTCAACTGTACATCAAGGAGTTTTCTTGTCAATTTTCGAGGTATTTCCACCGTAAATTATAATCACCTTCCTTGTAACATCACATCATCTCTAACATCTCTGGGTATTCTAAATTCATGAACAATTTGAAAAAGGCTATTTTATCATCTGATAAACGAGCTGAGCAAAAAGCTTCGACTTAATTCAGCAACTAGACTTTAGTATCCTTATTCGACAATTCGAATCGATAGCAAAAAAAGCCTTCTTCACCATTGTCTAAGAGGGCGGAGTTATCTTCTCCCCCGCCCACGGCGCCCTTCTCAATCTTTTCATCCGTTCCTACCTGTCCTTTTTTTGTCGTTATTTCGAGTCCATTGATTCTACTTTTCCATGTACAAAATCTCGGTATGTAGATGTTTAAAAATGAGAAAAAAATCAAAGTTTCTAAAAAAATTTTTTTGGGTTTAATTCAAAAATCGCGACCGTCATCTGAAAACCTTGTGAGCCCAGTTTATTTAAATTTACATACCGTACCCTCTTTCCCTTTTTTTCGAAGTTTTGAAAAATCAGGAAGATCGTTTGATCGATAGGCCAATAAATAAAGGTAAACGGTCAATTGTGAATCATTTCATTCTTATTTTATTTTGACAAGTTTTTACTAAAAAAATCAGTACGTTGTATTTGTATGCCCCACGCTTTTTTTAACAAGGATTTCTCGTTTTTACCATGTTATAAAACTATAAATGACAAAAAATTCGAACAGGCCAGCATTATTTTCAGCGATTCTGAATACTCATCCGCAAAATGGAAACACCTATCCTGTCTCACCAAACTGTGGTAAGTTGGGCTCTCTGTTCAAATTTCCATGAAAAAAAACAAATCCTTGAGATATGACCCGCGTATGCAAAAAGTTTTCCGAGTGTTGTCAGAAAAAGAAAGTAAATTTTTTGGTTTCCATAATTTTTCCGAGTTGGGCGCGCTTTTTTCATTTTTGCAGGATACTTAAAATTTAAAGTTTATTGAAAAATTAATAAATTTTTATTAGTGTTCCGGAACTTTTAAGAGTTTCCAGAGATGTCAAAGTTTCGTAACTAGTCTTTTTGGCAAGTTCTTGATTCAAAAAGTTGGAGATCCCTTTATTTCTAGCAAATGTGTGAAATTAGATCTTGATGTTTGAAAATTTTTCGGGCGCCAAAAGCATACTGTAGGCAAAGCGACCGCAAGCACTTCGGCGTTCAGCGGCGAACTACTTTGGTGTGGAAAAATATCTTAAGATCCGTGCGGCAATTGTCAGAAAGGCGCGCAAAATCTGCTTGACGAAATCTGTCTTTCGATACAGAGCTTTTCCATAAGGGGATGACTCATTTTGATTTTCAAAATTTTTTTCTCCAACCTTAATTAAATTTTTGTTTGCCTTTGAGCGCTGAATTTTTTTATTCTAAATAGAAAAATAAAAATATAATTTTCTCAAAAAACCGTTTACAGCCTCCGAAAAAGCCGAAGCGACAGTTTGAAAAACGTGAAGAACCATCTCTCCAGGAGCAAGATCCGGTCATTGAGCTCGAACCAGTGGTTGGTCCATCCCAAAAACAATTTTTATAAAGATTTTGAACAGATAACTTAACTCTTCCACACTCCACATAGAATATCTATTACGAATTTTACGCACACCTTTTATTAAATTTTTCGGAAACAGCAAGCAAAAGTAGTATATTTTTTTTAAAACTCCATGTAAACCACTACATTTTTTTGAATAAACGAATATTCATCTTTAGGACTCCCCACAACTCCTATTGAACCTCTGGAGCAATGACAACCTTGAAGAAATTGAAGATTTTGGCAAACAGAACGAAAGTTTTGAAGAAATAGAAGTCGTGTCAGTTGGGCTAGAGGTTAGTTTTCTTGACCTTTGTTCATAAAAAAAAAATGGCGACTATTGAGTTTTAAAAAATTCTAAATTTAACAGGCAACAACTAGCTTATCATAAATATCGACAGTAAACTAATCGAAAAAAAAATAAAGTTTCATTTTGAGTCCATTTTTTGATGGTTGAATGGATATTAGCTTTTGTTTTTCATGACCAAGGGGCCCAATTAGAGCAACTTTTTCTTTCACAGCCGATGGAAGACCAAGATATTGCCCAAGGTGCGCAAAATGAAGATTCTCAAATTCCTCATTTCGAAACTTTGGCCGATGGGATGGCGCCATGGGTTAGTTTCTTATAAAAACGGGAATTAATTTTTCATAAAATTATCTGTAAAAACTATCATTTTTTTGAAAAAAATTTTTTTACAGGAAACAGGAAGTTACTATTCTTTCCGAGGCATACAAGACGATCTTTTTCAAATGCCCCTTTCTGAAACCTCTGCGGATGAACAGGATCTATCGGTTAGTTTCTTTTTGAAAACTATAATTACTTAATAAAATTACTTTAAAAAGCTTCCGATCTTTTAAAAATGGATTTACAGGACATAGAAAGTTACTATTCTCTTCAAGACTCACATGAAGAACTTTCTGAAAAAGTCTCAGTCTGAAACTTCCGCTGTTGAAAAGACACAACGGGTTAGTTTTTAGTTTAAAATGAGAATCCATTTTTTGTGAATAAAGTCTATAGGAACCTATCAGTCATCTTAAAAAAGGTTTACAGGAAAAACCTATCGACACTTCCCTTCAAGACTCCCAAGAAGTACTATCTCGAACGCATTCTCCTGAAATATCCGCCGATGAAATGGCACCATGGGTTTTTTTTTCTTGCTCTTTAGAATCTTTTAAATTCTCTCAAAACATGTTTACAGGAGAAACCAATTTACAATACTCCTGAAAGCTCACAAGAAGAAATTCCTGGAACGCCTTACTCTGAAACTTCCGCCTGTGAATTGGCATCATGGGTTAGTTATTTTTTTCAAAAAAACGAAAATAATATTTAGTACTCAACCTTTGAATTTTCCTTGAAAAAGTTTTACAGGAAAAATCCGGTTTATAATTCTCTTCAAAGCTCACAAGGAGATCTCTCTCAGGCGCCTCTTTTTCGATAATTCCATCGGTGAAATGGAGGCTTGTTTTAGTTCAAAAAGTGATTTGTGTTGAAATGTGGTAACCTCCTAATTTTTTTGAACTCATCTTTACAGATACACTACAAGTTTTTTTGATATTACAATGAAGAATTATAATAATTGAGGGAATATTCTGTCTATCCTCAAATGGTTCTTTGAGAGTAACTTTAAAAGAAGGGCGACTGGATTATTTCCTTAAAAGTCCAGTATTTTCAATTGATATATTTTTGTCACATTATTTTCAGGTACAAGGATTACCTCGACAACTACCAACCCAGAAAGGGCAACAAATTGAAACGGAAGATTTTCATCAAAATGGTTTGAAAACTCAGGTAAATTTTTTGTCTCGCACGAAACCGAAAAAAATTGTTCCGTTAATTCTCAATGGGAAAAAAAGTAGCTTTGTTTTCGAAACGTTTGTGTGTCTCAAATTTTTTCTTCGTCTATCTTAAAACGCAGTTTACAGGAGAGAAATGAGGCCCAAAAGATTGAAACTCAGAAAAAGACTCGAAGAAACGTGATTTCAAGATTTTTCGAGAAAGGAAAGAAGGTTTCATATTTCGGAAGAAAAATTTGAGATAACAGTTTTTTGAGTTTTTCGGATATGTAGGATATGTAAAGAAGCACACTACTTCAATGATTCTTGTTTAATGAATCTCAGGAAGACGTTTACAGGAAACAAACGAGACCCAAAAAAATGAAGAACAGAAAGAGACGCAAAAGAACTTGTTCTCTAGACTGTTCGGGAAAAGAAATAAATCTCAAGTAAGTATCATATTTTGAAAGAACAACTTAAAAATAATAGTTTTTCTGCGCTTTTTTTCATAAAAAAATCTTGTTCAGGTCCAAGGATTATCTCGAGCCCCTTCGGCCCAAGAAGGACAACAAATTGAAATGGCGGCTCTCGATCATAACGGTCTGGAAATGCAGGTATTTTTACTTCTCATAAAACCTAGGGAAAAGGTGCGATAATCTTCAATGGGAAAAAATCAACTTTTTTGAAAGTTTTGTGTATCTCAAACGGATGATCCTTTTGTCTCAAGACGCTGTTTATAGGAAACAAAGGAGTTCAGAGGCTCGTGAGGGCCTCAAGTGCCTTTTATTTATTTATTTCAGGCTTAATGCCAAATTTTTCTCTTTTTTTTCTGTACATGTTATTTTGTTCTGCCTGTAAATAAATAATATTATATAAAAAAATCAACTTTTTTTGAAAAAGTTTTGTGTATCTCAAACGGATGATCCTTTTTGTCTCAAGACTCTGTTTATAGGAAACAAAGGAGGTCCAAAGACTCAAAGGAACGTGTTCTCAAGACTTTTCGGGAAAAAGAAAAAAAGTCTCAATTAAGTTTCATATATTGAAAAAAACTTTAAATAATAGTTTTTTTCTCGGATAAGTTAATAAGTCCTCTATTAGGCTGAATCTTACCTCTGTTTTTTTCAGGACTTGTGAGGTTGTCTACAGAAGACACTCATATTATTAGTGAGCGTGTAAAAAATACTTGATTATTAAAGTAAGCTGCCTCAAAAACCTCATATTTTCTATTACTGTTTCGAATTTTAGCGGGAATCTCTTTCAGGTCCAAGAATTTTCTCGAGCATCTCCGGCTCAAGAAAGAGAACAAATTGAAATGACGGCTTTCTGTCAAAACGGTGTGGAAACGCAGGTATTTTTCACTCCTTATGAAATCTAGTAAAGAGTTGAAGTCATTTTCAACGGGAAAAGCCCTTTTTTGAAACTTTTGTATATCTCAAACCATTCACCTCAAACCGCTGTTTATAGGAGACAGATGAGACCCAAAAGCTTGGCAATCAGAAAGAAATCCAAAAGAAAAAGTTTTCAAGACTTTTTGGAAGGGGAAAAAAGTTGCAAGTAAGTTTCATAAATCGATATATTTTTCAATTTTTTTCTCCCAATTCATTGAATTTAGAACATCCTGTATTGGTGATTCTAGAGATATCACGAGGCTGTTTACAGGAGTCAGAGTTTATTCAAAAGCTTGGCGATCAGCAAGAGACCCAAAGAAATATGTTCATAAGACTTTTCGGTAAAGGAAAGAAGTCGAAGGTCCGTTTCATACCATAAAAAACAATGAAAACTCTGAAAATATAAAGACTTTCACTGTAAGAACAATTTATTCAGGAAAATCTTCAGCCTGCTCCTGCTCCTTTTCAGTTATCGACAAAAGAAAGGGAGCACTTGCGTGAAGCCTCTCTCAGAGAACCTGAGGTCCCAGTAAATTTACTCTCCTTCTTTCCGCTTTCTGACTTTTTCATCTAATTATCAACTGAATTTTATTTCAGTTCCGACCAATTGCTGATATCCGCTGGAACATTCGTAGGCTGGAAGAAGAACTTGGTAATTTCGATTTAAGGACCGGTAAACCAATGGCGCCACCGCCTCCAAAGGTCCACTCTTATTCAACATATCGAACTATTTTTTTTTTCAGCGGAAGCGAAGATTTAAGGCACGGGGCTGCATTTCTAGAGTATGTTTTTTCCTCGAAAAAAATTAAGAATGAGTTGAAATTTTCCCCTAAAAGTTGTTCTAAAAAAATTAAAGTTTTTTTCCCTAAGTAAAGTCAATAGAAAGATGTTCAAATAATGTAGGCAAAACGCGATAAATTGTATACTTGAAATTTTCAGAACAATATTTGCAGGCAAATAAAACGACAGAGATGCCAGTTCTTCCGGTTCAAAGAGGACTTCATCAGGAAAATATTGAAATGCAGGATTTTCAGGTAATTTCCAAAACTTCCTCCAAACAAAGATTTTTTGTTTTTTGAGTTTCCAAGTCGAAAAATTTCGTTCCATTTGTTTCGAAACTTTAGAAGAATCCAGAAAATCAAGATGCCTCTACTCGAGAGCCTCCTGCCTATGACAATTGAGTTTCAATGGAACTATTTGAAAAATTTTAGATGACACGACTTTTTAAGCTATAAAAATTAAACCTTGTGAACAACAAATTCTCTTCTTTTTTTCATACTCCTCTTTAATTGTCAAAGAACGTGTCTACAGGATTTCCGTCCCACTGCAATTCCCGGTTACCGTCTAACCGTCGCTGAGAGGGAACAATTGCGGGAATACCAAGCCTTCATTGGGCAAGTTTAATCACCGGTGAGTTTTATTAAGTTTTAAAAAGGGATCCTGAAACGGAAGTCATGGTGACTTTGAAAGTTCAAAAAAACTCCCTCATCTTTTGCGGTCGCTAACTGAAATTTTTTTCAAATATTTTCGTTTATTAGTTTTCATTAATTCATTTGGAATGAAATTGTGACGACCTGTGGATATGAAACAATTTGGTTTTTGCTCTGAAACTACATACCTGAAAGAAAACCCCCTGCCCCCCCCGTTCATTCTAAACCCTCAAAATTTGAAAGTTCTTTAATTTTTTTGGACGTAAGAAATCGAGTGGTTTTTTTCGTTTTTTTACCTGCTAAGAAAAAGTAAAACATGAATGTAGATACTCAGAGTTAAGTTCTGTCAATAATTTTCTCGCGTAAAGCAAGTCTTTGAGAAGGGCAAAGCCAGATTAAAGCTACAAAAATACTGACTCCGAATGATTAGATACATTTTTCAGGCTGCAACTTGCAAAAAAGGAGACTAACAACATCATGGTCTTCAAAATTGTCGACTGTTTTATTTTAAAAAAATAACATTTCTTTTTTTTACTGTTGTGACTCATTCGATCGAAATTTAAGATTCATCTCTTCCTTTCATTTCTGAACTCATTTATCCCATTTAGGTTTTTTCATGTGTGTCTCTCTCCAACGTTGATTATTTTTAATAAGTTTGTATTCATCCTTGTTTTTAAAAATAAATCGATCATAAAAAAAAGATTCAACAAAGATGCGCATTGGTTTTGCATCCCACTCCCGTTCAGTATTTCAAGTTGTTTATATCGATTTTGAGATTCAATGACGTAGAACATAAGTTAATGATGAATGCTTGAGATTTGGTTCGAAACAGTAAGAAGTGATGAAATCAATCATCATCGTCAGTGCTAACAAGCAATGGAAAACAAGCTGGATCCTTTAAAAGCAAAGCAACATAGAAAATGGCAGTTCATCACAGCAAAAAAACAGTAGGTTGATACAGAAAACGGTACTTTTTCCTTCTGGGCGCTGAAAAAAGTGCAGAATTTCTCGGAAGGTCTAGAATTGAAGGCAACCTGAAAATTGAAAAATTAAGTTGTTTTAATATTTAGAAAAGTGTCGAGGTGATAATCAGGATAACAATCCCCTTGATTCCATATTGAACTTCAACTGGCGCATTCTTGCTTTTTTTTTGCACATGGCGGCTTAGTCCTTGAATTTTTACGTGTTTCGCGAACGGTTTAGACCATATTTCTTTACTTGCTGACGAGTCTTAAACAAGTAAAAAAGTGTTTTGAAGAATTCATACCTCTCTGCCTTCTAAAAGCCGCACCTTAAAAAGAACCTCGACGAAATTTGATTAGACCGCCTATGAACTATCAGGGTAATTTATAACAGATTTGAGCTTATTAACGCCGCTGAAAAAAAACAAATTGGAACACTTTTTCAAGTGCTGTCCTGAGTACTGCATATCAAAAATAGTTGACAAAACTTTGTCTGAAACTCATTTTCATTATGCGATGAAACGTTATGATTGTCCGTTCACTAGTTATCTCCAATTCATGAATTAACTGTATTTTTATGTTTTCAGATAACCCACTATGAGAAGCCAAAACGCACATCAAAAAATTTTCAAAGTTTGAGAATTTATTGATCGCTCAAAGTTTTGTGCTAAAGAAATTCAACTATCCCACTGTTTCCATAAAATTTCAATGGCATATCTCTGTTCTCTCCGTTAAGCCTATTTTAATTTCCATTGTCTTGAAATCTCCTTTTCAACCCGCATGTTTATCTTTTTTTTTCATTATTTCGACTAGATTTTTTTGAAAAACTTTATTCGTCGTGCAACAAATTAAAGGGAAAAACTGAAAAAAGAATCTTCCAGGGAAAAAACCCAATAATGTTATCGCGAGGAAAAAAAGAACAACGTTCACAACTTTTGAAGGTACATGAAGGGTACATAGGGTTGAATGTAATAAAAACAACAAAATAAATAGTAACAAGAGTAAGACAACTTGAACAGGAAAGACTGGTGAAAAAAATTCGGAGTTGCATTCACCTTCCTCCTTTTCTCGATCGCCGATCGCGGTGCTCCTTTGGGGCTACGTTGCGCTTATCCGCAAACCATCGCACGGCTCTCTGAACAAAAAAATTATCAGTTTATCAGCTTATTCATGTCTTTCATATATTTTTTCCGAAAAAGTTAAAAACCAGAAGCTTTGATCATTTTTTTGCTTTGAGAAATGTGATTTATATCAATGTCAAAAGTCAAACAATATTTTTTCGAGTGCGAAAAAAACTAACCATGTCTCGGTGAACGGGAGCTGGAAAGTTGTGGGTCACTGGCGGACGTCGCGGACGAGGGCTTCTGCTCGGTTGTTCGAGGACCTAAAAAAACTCGGGTTCCCTTTTTTTCATTTTTTGTTTTTCATTAGTAAAGTTTATAATGAAAAAAAAACATACCCTGGCATGTATATTCTCATCCAACCGTCTTTGGAGAGCTTGATGCCAATCTGCTTCGTTGGGGATTTCTTGAGCATCGTTTCTCGGAGTCGGGTTTTTCCTTTAAATATCATTCTAATAATTCATTATATTCATTTTATTGAGTAAAATTATCTTTTTAAAAAGTAAAAAGCAGAATTGTAAAAAGCGTACCGGGGGCTGGGGAAAGTTTGGAGGTTGATTTTGGAGCTGTTGGGGCTGAGTTCCGTTTCCGGGAGCCCTTGGAGGTGAAGAAGGCATTTCTGAAATGGTATGATTCAAGTAAAATCTCAAGCAGAGCAAGGATTTCCAAAACATGTTCTGGTTATATTGAACAAAGTGTCTAACTAGGAACACTTCCTTTGCGAAAAGGCATTTTGCTTTTTTCAGATTGCAAAAGAATCTATCACTACCGATGCATGGAAAAGAGGGTTTGAAAACAAGATTTTGAGATATTTGGATATGATCCATATCCGATGTTCAAAGAGAAAGAAGTGAATTCAGATGTAAAGTTTAAGAAAATGTTTTCGAAAATCGTTACAATGAAAAGTGAAAATGAAAAAAATGAGAAGAGAGGGGTGGATCAAGCAGAAAAGAGTGATAAAGGGAAAAAAGATCAAAAAATGAGGATTTTGTACCGGAGGGCGGCTTTTATAGTGACCGGAAAGCTCCGCCCCTCTTGGGTCAGGAGGCGGACCTTCCGTATATGGATTTCGAAAAGGAGGCGTGGCTGTACCTGATGTACGTTGGCTTGAGGGAATATGACGTCATATCAGGAGAAACACGTAAGAAGCAAAATATGAACGTTACGAATAGGGCATACAATAAAAAAACTAGAGAAGATTATTCATTTCGGAAAGTTAGGCTATCACCACTAGGCTTCGGAAAAAAAAGCTATCTTCAATTTAAGTTTACCGATAAATGATTGCGGCAGTTAAGCTTTTTTCTATAGTGCAAGCTCTTGTAAAGTCTTTAATCAGATTTTTTTTTCTACTGAGAACATTTTTTCTTTACCGACCCCAGTTGAATCGCATTTCAAAGACTTCTCGTATCCAACCAATTTATCACACTTTTTTTCATTAAATGCCCAAATGCGAATTCTTACTCAAAAATATACAAACTATTCACATTTATTTTCAAATTTTATTATCATGTTTACATCAGAAAAACAGTTTGACATCATAAATTTTACCTCGGTGCTCATTTTGAGATGAAGAATGATCAATCGGTTGTAAAAAGTTACAAACTGAAGGATAAGGTGAGAAGTCTCATCATCGGGATTGAAATGGCTTGATCAAAAAAAAAAAATTGAAAATTCGGGGCAGTGAGAAAAAAAAACAGTGGTACAAGAAAACGGGAAGTTTATATGGCTGATTGTCAAAAAAATTAAAAAAATTGTCAAAAACCGAAAAAAAGATTATTTATTATTGAAAATGGTTTCCTTTCACATCCAGAACAAGTGTCTTCTTCTCAATTCCTGCTGGAAAACTGCTGCTTGACCGTCGATTCTCTTCCGGGCGCTCTTCCAGGCCTCTCTGAAAAAAAAAACGTTCCATTCGATGCAAAAAAACAAAAAAAGTCAGGTGGTCGTGATCCAAAAAAATTTGCTTTGAACGAAAATCGGGAAAAACATTGCAAAAAAATTAAAGTATGGAAACAAGAATGAAAAAAATGGCTCAAATTCAGTATTGTCTCTTTCTTGAAAGATTCTAAAGATCTTACCTCATATTTTTCCATGCTGAAAGATCCTCACTGGCTTTGTCAAAAAACGGAGGCGATCTTCTCTTGTTAAAGTCTGAAAAAAACGTTCATTACAATTTTCGAAACTTCCTGAAATTTCTTACCTTTTCTATTTCTTCGACAGAAGAAAACGAGAAGTTCGATAGAGTTGACATGTCGCCGACTGCCGAAACCCATCGTTCCCAAACTTGTCGCCGTCCACTTCGGCGTTCTCTGGCAGGCTCGATGAGCCATTCGTTCACATGAAGATGTGGCTGAAAATTATTCATTTGATTTTTTTCCGATTTCGATTATCTCACCTGTGATTCCCTTCTACGATGTAAGAGTTCATTTCCCAGAAAGCTAGTAGTCGTCAGTTTGGGCGTACAATGGAAACATGATTGAGCCACTAAACGTCATCTGCAAATTTGAATTAAACTTTCTGAATGAAAGAATAGTTAAACCTCAAATTTGCCAGTCAGCCCAGCTTGCCGGGCCATTTCCATATGGAAAACCAACTAGAAGAAGCCGTAGGTAATGTATCTGAAAAGGTTAGTTCAACTAAATTTCTTTTTTGATGATCGAACCTTTCATTTGGTTCTAGGATCCCATCGAAACCCATCGTTCCCAAACTTGTCGCCGTCCACTTCGGCGTTCTCTGGCAGGCTCGATGAGCCATTTCGTGTCATCTGCAAATTTAAATCAAACTTTCTGAATGAAAGAATAGTTAAACCTCAAATTTGCCAGTTAGCCCAGCTTGCCGGGCCATTTCCATATGGGAAACCAATTAGAAGAAGCCGCAGGTAATGTATCTGAAAAGGTTAGTTCAACTCAATTTCTTTCTTGATGATCGAACCTATGGTTGCCTTCTAGGATCCTCCCGAAACCCATCGTTCCCAAACTTGTCGCCGTCCACTTCGGCGTTCTCTGGCAGGCTCGATGAGCCATTCGTTCACATGAAGATGTAGCTGAAAAATTATTCATTTGATTTTTCTTCCGATTTCGATCGTCTCACCTGTGATTCCCTTCTGCGATGTAACAGTTCATCTCCCAGAAAGCTAGTAGTCGTCAGTTTGGGCGTACAATGGAAACATGGTTGAGCCATTGAACGTCATCTGCAATTTGAAATCCAAATTGGTAAATGAAGGAGTTTTTCTACCTCGAGGTGAAATTATCAGTTGTTCGAGATATCAGGGCTGTTTCCATGCTCCCCACGTGGTACTCCATTCAGCGAAAAATCTTCCGAATTTGCGACGCTGGAAAAATTATTGATCGCTCAAAAACTTGGATAAACATTTTTTGCAATTCAAACGACGTCGAGAAGCGAACGAGAAAAAAATAACGAAATAAAAAATTAAGGTTCCGAAAAGCAGTGAAAAAAAAAGAAAAAGATGAAGCGCACAATTGTTGATCAAATTTCAAGAAATTGTCAGGGCGAAGAAAATGGAAGAAAAAAAGAAGAATACAACTTATTTAAGAAGAAAGCTTCCCAAGTTAAAGGCAAAGGAAAAAAGAAGGAGAAGAGACCAATAAGGTGACAACTCAGAATGATGTCCAACTCTAAAAAGAGCGTCTGATAGCTTTTTTTGGTGGAAGAAAATGCGTAACCAAAATGAAGAAGGCAAAGTCAAAACTCCTGTACTACTTTGAACACGGCATGTGCGACAGTGCATGCACATGGACCACTACACTTTACGAAAAATACTAAAAGTTAACGCCGGGGTGTGGTGACGTATACCCTGACCGGGTGCAATTTTTCGTGCCAAGAGTCTTGACCTATCAATTACCTCTACTCAAAAATTTGAAATTAGAACGAAACCAAATGTTTTCCCTATTTTAAGTATTTATCTCACTGTAGTTAACAGAAGTCGCCATTAACATTTCAAAAAAAGAGTATATAATCTGATGTCTTTGTGTGTCAACTAGACCAAATGTTTTGAAATGGCAACTCGCAGTAACGGAACCTGAGTAACGAGAGGCTTTCAGAGGCTCGAATTCATTTAAAAAGTTGTCTACAGGCTCTAGGCCCATTAAAGACAAGCGGAATAGAGCATTCCTGAACAGGCTGCTTTCTGGCTCCCTCTTCGTAGATACTCGTGAAACTCCAAATGTTCCGGATATTTCTGCTGCTCCTCCAATTGACGGAACCATCGGAAATCTGCAAAAAACATCCTTCTTCTTAAAAAAATTGAACGAGAGAGGTTTTGATGAGGACCATTCCTATGGTGTAGTTAAGGAATGTGCGCTCCACCGGACAGTATGCAGACACTGCGACTTCCAACGACAAGACGACATGCTTGTTCTATTTTTTCGTTCAACGAATCTTCTATTATGAGTCCTTTCTCGACTTGTCAATCTTGTGTCGGGTTACGGTCAAGTACTAAAAAAACTATCCTATTTTTGTCCTTATGAGTGAGACGGCAGAAACGATTAGTAAGATTCGCTAAACTGAAATGAAAATAAAATCTACCAAACGCAACTTTGTGAATACACATAAAATTCCAAATGTTCTGGATATGTCTGCTGCTCCTGCATTTGACGGTACACTCGAAAAGTTGCGAAAATCATCGTCGCTCTTAAAAAAATTGATTGAAAGAAGTTTTGATGAGGACCATTCCTGTGGTGTAGCTGAGGAATATGCGCTCCACCGGAGAGTATGCAGACACCGCGACTTCCAACGACAAGACATAAAACTTATTCTATTTTTTCGTTCAACGAATCTTCTATTATGAGTCCTTTCTCGACTTGTCAGTCATGTGTTGGATTACGGTCAAGTACTAAAAAAAACTATCCTATTTTTGTCCTTATAAGTGAGATGGCAGAAACGATCAGGAAGGTCCGCTAAAACCTGAAACTCCAAATGTTCCGGATATTTCTGCTACTCCTTTAATTGACGGTACCATCGAAAATCTGCAAAAAACATCCTTCTTCTTTGAAAAAATTCGATTGAAAGAGGTTTTGATGAGGACCATTCCTGTGGTGTAGCTGAGGAATATGCGCTCCACCGGACAGTATGCAGACACCGCGACTTCCAACGACAAGACGAAAAACTTATTCTATTTTTTCGTTCAACGAACCTTCTATTATGAGTCCTTTCTCGATTTGTCAGTCTTGTGTCGGATTACGGTCAAGTACTAAAAAAACTATTGTTTTTTTTGTGCTTATAAGTGAGATGACAAAAACTATCAGAAAAGTGCCGTTAAACTGAAATGGTTATAAAATATATTGAACGCATACTTGTGGAAATACAAAAAAATCCAAATGTTCCGGATATTTCAGTAAACCCTTCAACTGATGGTACCATCGAAAATCTGCAAAAAACATCCTTCTCATTAAAAAAAATCGATCGAAAGAGTTTTCGATGAGGACCATTCCTATGGTGTAGTTGAGGAATATGCGCTCCACCGGACAGTATGCAGACACCGCGACTTCCAACGACAAGACGAAAAACTTATTCTATTTTTTCGTTCAACGAACCTTCTATTATGAGTCCTTTCTCGATTTGTCAGTCTTGTGTCGGATTACGGTCAAGTACTAAAAAAACTATTGTTTTTTGTGCTTATAAGTGAGATGACAAAAAAACTATCAGAAAAAGTGCCGTTAAACTGAAATGGTTATAAAATATATTGAACGCATACTTGTGGAAATACAAAAAAATCCAAATGTTCCGGATATTTCAGTAAACCCTTCAACTGATGGTACCATCGAAAAATCTGCAAAAAAACATCCTTCTCATTAAAAAAATCGATCGAAAGAGTTTTCGATGAGGACCATTCCTATGGTGTAGTTGAGGAATATGCGCTCCACCGGACAGTATGCAGACACCACGACTTCCAACCTCTCTACAGAACGCATTTTGGTAGAATTTCATAAAGTTCTGAATGTTTCGAATACTTCCGTCGGCCCCCCAATCGATGACACTATTGAAAACGAGAGACAATCATCGTGCTTCTTATGAGAATCGAACGAAAACAGGTTTTGGAAAAGACCTTCCCGATACTGTAATCGGAGAATGTGCGCTCCAAGGACAGTATGCAGACAATGCGACTTTCAAAGACAAGATGATGAACGTTATCTTTTTTTTTTAAAAAAGCAAAAAACTTTAAAAAAACACCAAGCTTACGGTTCATGGAGAGTCATCAATCTTCCGGGGTCCGAAACGTTTATCAACCACATTTTTCTCCTCGCCTTCTTTGTCAACCTGAACTGTTTATTGATACTAAGAAGTTTTTCTGGAAAAAACGAACCTTATTTTTAAAATTTTTGATACCAACGAAAAAAGAGCAGAAGTTTCTTCGTGCTCGAAAATGGAAAAAGTTGAAAATAAAGCTTTACTTCAACGAAGTTTTTCAATCTGATTAAGAATGGGAACCCCTTTTCTCTGCATCTACAGAAATTATTGGGCTCCCGATGGATGAGAAAATAGAAAATTAAATTGAATTGAACAACTTACAAAACCATAAAGAGCTTTTTTTAAGGGTTTGTCTCAACGTCTTCTGGTCGACAAAAGGCAGTGTTTCTATCATTTCAGAGTCTTCTCCAAAGCTGAAAAAAGTATGAAAAGTGTTTCAGTGTGGGACTGAATAACAATTTTGTGGAATCGGTAAATTATGATCAAATTCTATTCTTCACTTCTTTATCTTACCTCATGATTTTTTCTCGAGGTATCCTTCGCTGCGGTTGGCCCTTTCACACTGGGATAGGAAGAGAAAACGTCACACTTATGAGTCTGACTTGTATCAATGATGAGATAGGAAATTTATTCAAATGCCTCACCTTTTTTCGTTCAGTAAGTAGCCGCGGAACGCCACCGCTTTTCCACTTCGATTTGAATCACTGGGAACGACTTCTCTTTTCCAAATTCCTTCTGAAATGAATTCTGACAATTCCGAAGAAAATAATAGTTGCACCTCAAAAATCCCGGTGAGTCCAGGTACCCGCTTTTCTTTACAGTCCAACTATTCGGCCTTTTTCCAACCCATTCATGGAAAAGCTAGCGAGCTAATCGGCGAACTTCTTGCGGTACTGGAAAATATCATATATTACTGAAATATAAATATATATTGAATATTGATGATCGAAAAGAAATTTTTAGCCCTTCCAGCAAAAATCGGAAACATTGTTGCTATTGAGAGGGAAACTAGAACAGAATCACGAATACATAAATGTAATCAGAACACCTAAAAAGACACAAAAACCAAGAAAAAAAGAAGAAGAGTGCATTGGTTCGATAGCAGCGGAAACTCAAAAAAGAGCTCCACTCCGTAGAGGGCATCTGGCGACGAGGACTCAGAGCATGCGCGAGTTTTCGTGCCAAGAGTCTCGTCATATCGATTTCTTCTAATTCTTGAAAAGATCACAGAGCTACAATCTCTTTTTTCTGTTTTATGTGTTTCACTGCAAAATAAATTTCTGGGCAAACATCAGACAACTTTTTTTTCCTTCGATTTGGAACGATTTTTCTTCACTTTGTTTTTGCTCGAGCTAGACCACAACATTATAAGAAGTCGTTCCTGATTACGTAACACGTGTGCAATTCTATTGACGGAAATCATCTTCTATAACTAGAACTCTTTCAGAATGAAGACCACTCAAATTCTTCCAAAAACAGAAAAATATTTTTTTAACGAGAAAACGACGGAACTGTATTCATTCACTTCTTTCAAAGAAGATCCTTTTTCATTTTTCTTCATCGGGCGTGATTTTTTCAACGTACCGGTACACTTGTTCTATTTTAATGTTTTTAATAAAATTAAGATACCGTTGAACTGATGTAAAAATAAGAGCTAGTGAACGCATTTTTCTAGATGCTCATTGCGTTCCAAATGTTTCGCATGCTTCTGCGCTTCCTCCAATTGATGATGTTAACAAAAATGTGAAAAACTCATTATTGAGTTTAAAAAAATCGATCAAAATAGGTTTCTCAACAGCTTTTCCAATAGTTCAAACGGAGGATGTGCGCTCCATCGGACAGTATGCAGACACCGCAACTCCCAACGCCGACATTATGAAATTATTTTTTTTTTTCTTTGGATATATCTTCTTATATGAGTCTATTTCCGAATGCATGTCTCATGCGAGATTTTTAAGAAACACCGAAACAAA